GAGAGAGGTTGATCAGTGCTCGGATGAGATGAAAACAGTTGAGAAGAACTTTCTGACATGACATGTGAGAGGAGATGGGATGAGATGAGAAGAGCTGAGATGAGGTGAGAAGAGTTCACATGATCTGAGATGAGATGAAGTGCGGAGTGTGAAGTGCAAGTGTGAAGTGTGAAGGGTGCAGTATGAAGTGTGAGGAAAGTGTTCGCTTGGCATTGCATTGCGCCGGGGTCGTGCGCAGGTCATGTTCTTGGACAACATCTGTGCAACAGCTTCACACAAAGCACGCACGCACGGGCCTGGCTGGCGCACGGCGCATGCAAATTCTATAGATGAAAAAGGTCTTATAATGTCTTATAGTATATCCCTAAGGCAACTTCCGCCCCGCCTCGTGCGGGTACTACTGGTATTTTTGACTTTGGAAAAGGGTAAAGTTCAGCAGCATTCAGCAGCACTTTTGATTACACAATATTACACAATCATTATACTGCCATTTGCGAAAGCTGGGTTTTAACCCATTAAAACCCTTTTCTGACCAGTTCACTACAGTATCCTCATGGCCCATCCAAGAAATCGTATTCACCAATGCTGGGTGCTGCCTGGCAGGCCTGCAAGGGTCTGGGTTTGTCACCTGCCTGGCAATAATGAGTCATGTGATTTATATATTCTGATCTCTGATAATCAGGACGAACTCTTCTATATTCTTATCTGCTTACATGCATACATACATGCATACAGACAGACATACATACATATGTATATACGCACACACACACATATATATATATGCACCCACATATACATATATATATGCGCGCACACACATCACATGTATATATATATATACACACATGTGGATGAAATTCAATGACTTTGAAAAAACATTATGCATTTCATGTTGGCATGATATTTTTATACATCACCATGGTCATGATAAACTAAATGCTGTTAACATATGTATGGTGTTAAATATCTGGTTGGTGGTTTGGAACATTTTATATTTCCACATATTGGGCATAATATGGAATAATCATCCCAACTGACGAACACATATTTTTCAGAGGGGTCGAACCACCAATCAAAATTATTGGTATTATAACCACTATTATTCTATAATCCCATTATTGATGATTATCCAATTATAATCCCATTATATGATGTTAAATATGTATGATGTTTGTATCCTATCCAGCCTATCCCCTACGATTTCCCAGGTTGGCACCGTTTGGCGCTGTGCATTGGCGCCTGGATCCCCACCTGGGGCCATTTCACCTTCAGCACCGTAGGGCACTCGCCGGCCGCGGGGGCCCTGGCGCTCTTTCACTGTGCCTGGAACGATGCTGGGGGATGGTGCCAAAATGCTGGGGAAATTGTGGTTGTTCACTTTGAGAGGGTCAATTTCTAGAATTTCTCTCAGTTTGTTCCTGAAGTCAGTTGAAAACTGGAAGAAATCTGTAGAAACATAGCGTAAACATAGCACATTTAAATACATTTAAGTCACTTCATTGCAGGTTCGAGGTGTGGTTACCAGTAGATTGAGCGCCTGTCGTCGCCCGAGGTTACCTTTTTCTAGCTGGCGACTTGGCTCCAAGATGCTCCTCCAAGAATGACAGGATAGGACGGGTAGGGCCCACATAAATCATCAGAAATCAACCAAGACCAGGATTTTTACACATTTTTACCAACCAAAATGGGGGATATTGGCTTACGTTCCAAAACCAAGGATTTGACCCAAGATCGCAATCAAAGCAACCAAAATGCATTTCCTCTGCTAAGAAAGGACCCCGTGAAGAAATGACCTGCAAATTGACCGAAACTATCCTGAGCAATCGAATACCATGGGGGGCCCAAGATCCCAAGCTGGACTCCAAGTGTGAGGTGGGACCCTGATTTTCATCAACTGCTGTACGACGCTTCTCTTCTTCTACTCTGACTGGTTTGCAGCTGGCAGCTCCGCTGAGCTCTGCGACGTTTGATGTGGGTGGGGCCTGACATTTTTTATCAGTGATGTATGACGTATGACGATAGGAATTGCATCGTGCCGTATGTTTTTATATGTCCTAAACAGGCTTTAAATTTGCATATGATGTTTGAGTTCTTTTTGTCAGCTCTCCCTGCAGCTGAGGTAGTATTCATTACGAAGATTTCCGGGAGTGCTGTAGCTTCACACTGTCGGTGGAGTCTGGGCGTTCACAGTTGATGTTGTTCAGGCAGCCGATGATGTCAACCCCGAAGTGGGTGATATTATTCATTATTTATTCACCAGATTTTAGCCCTCAGGGCTCACCAAGAATAAGGACTTCACCGGAAACATGTGAACATAAAGGAGATTCACTGAGTTTCACTACCTTTTTGCGTTGGTTTTCTCTGCAAGAGTGGGTGCTTGCCTGTTTTGACCAGGGACCGGGCAATCGCGCTAGAGGGAGAATCATGATGACTCATGATGCTTCAACTTAGTTCACCTTGTTGGATGTCAGCCAGTTCTAATTGACTTCCAAAGGTGTTATCAAAAAAACAACTTGCTTGGTGACAAGCCCATGGTCCTCTGGGATTGGATCGATTGATTCATAGAGCTCGTGATGTACAAAAGAATAATTCCAAATCAGGAATCATGATGTTCTTGTACATGGCTCATGCGGAAACGATGTTGGGCCCCAGCACCTCATCCTTTGTCAGTTGATTCCCCTCATCGTCTTTTGCAAGGAATTCATGGGCGTGTTCCTCCGCTCCTGCATCGTGCTGTCGGTATCCGCCGATCTCCTGCGCTTTGCATATTTGTTGATGATTGATGCATGGCGACCGGACGCCTTTGAGGCCTATCGCAGGCTGGTGGTGTGACTGGGACTGACGGTGTCTGACGGTCTTAAGTGGGACAATGTGTGAACATTTTGATAAACCATGACAAACCATGACAAACCATGATAAACCATTGGATTTTGAGGTACCCAGGTATCCTGTTCTTACAGACAAGCCCATTTGGGAAGTCGATGTGGTCCCCCTGCCCCTTTCTTGTTAGATAGATGGGATGGCCCGTGCAAGCGGTATTCAAGCGTATCAGAAGAAGTATGCACATAAACGGTTGCTTTAGGCATGCATGTTCAATCACAAGTCTGATTGATTATTTATGCATGATTTGCTTCTGTATTGAATATATTGTTTTCACATGTGTACATAAAGTGATATTACTCTATATTTACAATTATTTACATATATACAATGATATACATGTATGTACAAGAATTGTATATATATATATATACTGTATATAGATATTCCATATATGAATGTATAATCAATACATAATTTAAATGGGTATTATATTGGTATATGTGTCTCACTGTCTCGATTGTTGTCAAGGGCCTTGTAAAGATGATCCAAGTTGCAACTTGGTTTTCGGAATGGCCCGGCACCAAGGTCGGATGCCTGGGGTGAACTTGATGCAGGAGAATTCTACGTCCGGAGCTGGTCCATGTCCTTGAGCAAATGGCAGAAAACAGGCCCTTGCCAGAAATGGGGGCTTTGAAGACATTTTTGAAAAGCATGAAAAATGTGGTTTCAATATCTAAGATTCGGATTTAGTGGTAGAGGGTTTGTCCGCAAAGTGGGTACACACCCCAAAATTGCAACTTTAACGGGGGAAATGGTGATAGATCCTTTATTGACAAGCCAATTTCCCAAGAATTAGGTGAAAGGCAAAGGTGTAGGGAAACTTCCTCAGATTTGAGGGTAACAATCCGGTTGTTCCTCTGATTCTTCCATATATCATTTATCCTCCAAGGAATTTCCACGACAGAAGCATGGGACTTGGGTCGTTTGTAAAATGCGTTTTTTCACTGGATTAGGTCTTATACTTTTCATGATCGTATTACATAATCCTTTGACACACGAAGACCCCAGCCAACTATAGCCAACTGGTGTGATTCCAGCCATGGTCGTAAAACAGGCGACATTGTCTTCCAATTGGTGCTTCATTTGACCTTGAACCTAATTCCAATTACGGGGCTCATCATTGGGAGCCTTGGGCTAGTTGATCCCATCACGGTGCGGAAACTGTGCTTGGCCATTGGCAGTCTTCACATCTTGGTACCTGGGCGGGAGCGAAGGGTCTTGGTTTAGAACCTGATAGTTCCCCTAATTTCATGAGCCATATAATGTCAACCCCGGATTAATAAACCCTGGTTTAAATTAGTTACCCTCCCAATTAAACAATCTAGGGGTTTATTAATCCAGGGTTGACATTAGGGAGTTTATGGGAGTTTTCTAGGTGTTCCAGCCAACAGTACAGCCTGAAATTGAACTTGAGACAACGAGGGACGCCAGGGAATGACCGTTGGCCGCCTTCGCTTGAAAGAGGAACAAATTCGGTGACTCAGCCGCTATCAACACAATCAAACAAATCCTAAGTTTAGTTGGTTTATTTCCAAACTTGAATTCTCAAAGCTTCAAATTGGTCACGAAAATATCAAACATGCCTTCTGCCTCAAGATCCTCAAGTTGGTCACACAAAAAATCGATAAAATGCAGCTCCCAACATCCCGAATTCACCATCCCTAACCATTCCCAACCATCCCTAACCATTCAAAAAAGCATCCCATAGCATCCCATAGCGCCCCAGGCCTTCTACTTCCTTTCCTTCCACGGCGAAGTAGCTCTGAAGCTCCGCGGCTTCCGCAAGGCCTGGGTCCTGGCTCGGAATCTCAGCACTTCGGAGGTGAGTGCGCAGATCACTTGGACACGAACGAAGAGTCGGGTGGTCTCCGATGCGGCAGAACAACGACCCTGGGATACCCTGGGCCCTGGGAATTTTGGGGGAAATTGGGTGAGAAGCTGGATGACTTCAAGACAAGTCACCCCCAACATAATTAATTCATCAACATATCAAGAATGGGGCACTTGGAAATGTGCCAGAAAGATGGGCTCCATGTTAGCATCCAAGTGTTGTAATGGTCATTTTCTGATTGAGAAAGCAATGGTGACTTGGGATGCCCAAATGTTGAGAAACACCCGCTTCTAAGAGCTTAGATGTATAGTGTATGGTACCAAAAAGTATGAGTCAAAATTGGGCAACTTTCTGAAAGCCAAGATGGAGCCTCACAATTACATTGGGTGTGGGAATTATTTTCCGAACTTGGATGCAATGGACAGCAATAAATGTCTCATATTAGTACATATTAGTGTTCGGGCGTGTAATTGACCGCTAAAAACACATTAATACACATTATGGTTAAACCAAACAAATGGCCAGTCAGTGGTTGGACATGGTTTGATATTTTGTTCACGTGTTTTGCCTCTAAAACTCTAAAACCGTACCTCCCCCATGACCGACTTGCCTTCTGTGGGTTTGCAAATGCCCATTACCAGGATCCATTTGCGTCCTTTGCTGCACCATCTTCCAGTGGTTGCAGTCTTTGATGCCTATTTTCAGTGGCATTGCAGCGGCGATTTTGGGTTTCATCTTCCATCGGCCTGGTCTGATCGTGGTCGGCTGCGTGTGGAGTGCCTTGCTGCTTTTCATCACCATCCTCACCTGGCACAGCTGGGGAAACGACGAGGAGAACGCCTGCGCCCCGGAAAGCGTTCATCGCTACTTCCCGTGCCCAGAGATGCTTCAGGAGTGGGCGGAGAAATGGTGCAATCTTGGGTTTCAAGCACAGGTTCTACACCGATACCATTCCACTGTGATGTTGGGTATTTCTGCCGCTATTTTTGGAGCTTTTGGAAGCTGGGCTCAAACTAAGACGACTTTTTTTTCAAGGTTCCATGGTGGCTTTCCACAGGGTGCGCAGTTGAGCGCAATGCATGGAAGATGTGTGCCAATGTGTCTGGAACGCTCCTGCACATAGCTTTGATCGAGTCAAACACACGCCATTTTATGAATCTTGCACTGCGGAGTTTCCAAGGTTTCCATTCTTTGACCATCACCTGCCTAACCCTTTTGACTTTTGCGATGACCCGCATTCTATGGTTGCAAGCCGAAGGGAGCTTAGGACTGTTCGAAGCGTTCAACGTTGATCTGGTTGACTTAGAGAGAATCAAACAAGTCTTGCAACCAGATTTGGGATTACAACATCACATAGATAGATAGATAGATAGCTAGCTAGATAGATGAGATGAGCTGAGCTGAGCTGAGATGAGATTATATAGATGGATAGAATGATACTCAGAATGAATAGTTTAGGTTACGTTTGTTAGGTTAGGTTATGTTAGATAGATAGGATCCTGCAGATTGATCCTTGTCCCAGTTGTGTATCCCTCACTTTTTGGGAGGATGGTTTTATGCCTTTGTGGAATTGCTGATCACCACTATTGGCATGGCAATGGTTCTGGTTTCGTCCTGCTCTGGACTCTCGGCGTCTTTTATCGCAGAATTTCCTGGGAGGAGCGGCTGATGGATAGGATTCTTCCTTTCATGAAAAGCACGTTCTTGCGGGTTACAGAAAGCTCTCCTTCAACACGTGGTGGCCGTGGATGCACATTTTCTTCCTCAACTTTTCTGGCAACAGAGCCAATCAAGCCACATTCTACGAAGTCTCGACAAGTTCAGTTAAGCTTGCTCCTGGACATTTCTCACTGTGTTTTCAACAAATTTAATCAATTTTACTTCTTTTTTCAAAGCACAGCACGGTTCCTGCCGGGCATTTCAACAACTATCCTCACACAGCCTATATACAATTAGAGTCTAAAGCACTGAGACTTGCAGCATTCCAAAGAAAAACACGTTCGTGCGTGTCATCGCTGAAAACACAGATGACATGCATGTAATTCTGCTTCAACCACCAAGGAAATCCATTCAAAGACCTGCTGATCTTCATGTGTTTGTCCGTCTTGCGGCATTTCGGATTTCAGCGGGGTACTTCAGCTGGCGAGAGGGTCAGGGTGTCAGGTGCTATCATCTTCGGATTTGTGGCTTGTCAAGGCCGAAAAATTGTGGCGACCTCGCGGGTCGATCAAGCCTCCAGAAACAAGGGTTTTTGGATTTGGGGGAATGACCCCCAACATGGCTTCCTATTTTGCTTGGGAATCATTGTGATATCATTAGTTTGCTGGGATGCGATTTTCTGTATTCATACGAATGCACATTGTGTGTACATATTTATTTACAATAAAGATATGTATATGTATATATATATATGTTATATGTCACACATACAATGTCAATGTGTGTGATTAGTTGTTCTGGCTAGAGGGAGCTCTGCTAGAGCTTCGGATGAGGTTCACATGTTTTTCGTTTTGCTGACCTGTTTCGCCCTCCGAACCTTCTGGAAAGATGAGAGCTGGAGTGCCTTTAGCTTCGTTGCTGGGCCCGATGGGCCGAAGGGGCCATGGGGCCATGGGGCCATGGGTTGGACCCCCCCTTTTGGGGCCCAGAGACGGTGGAGATATTAAGAGTTATTGGGTCCATGTTTTTAATCTTTGGTGAATACCTAACATGAAATAGAAAAACATCAGATTGAACTCCGATAAAAAGGGCAAATTGATGATGGCCGCTGCCCACCCTGAGGAGACGGAACCGCAGTTCCTGACCATCCCGCAGCATCCTGAAGCGTGGCTCAAGAAATGGCAGGTTTTTGGGAGTTTTCATGGAAGATGCCAGGTTGGCTCATAGCATCATACTTTGCGGTCAGGTGCCTGAAATATAGTTTTGATCTGCGGTCTGGTAATACACACACATGTATATATATATAATATAATATATACTATACTTGTTTATAGTAACCCATCATTATATGTATATAAAAAGTAAATATAATGTGCATACTTGTAAATGATTGAGAATGATATGATGTCATACTATGTCATACTACTGTTTTTTCCGGGTAGAGTGAATCTGTCGATGGTGGATTGTGTGGTTTGCCAACCTGGGCTGCTGCGCCACCGTGGGCACCCCCAGCATTCTTGGAACTAAGACAGTTGCAGTGGGCTGAGTTACATGGAAAAGAGTGCTATTCATCATCTCATCGAATCTCATCCATGTTTTATCTCAAACATATTCGTACACATCCTACCATCCTATAGCCATCTATAGCCCATATCTACATCATTCGCACTTTTTCTTCAGCACCAAACCACACCGAAGCATGGTGGCCATCCCGCCCAGGACGTGAACCGCTCGGCCGAGTGGCCGTTGTGCCTGCTGCGTTTCCGCTTCGGTCCTGGACCTTTGCAGGATCTCAGGTACCGGTTGGGGATGCAGGATTGGATGACGCATGACCGATACCCTGATTTGGATGTAACTGGTTTAGCTGGATATATAATGTAAGTTGTTATAGGATATAAATGGGTTATGATATCAAATGGGTACTCCATGATGTCCCAATGATTAATAAGTGGGTCTTGTGCTCATAGCCTAGCGTGACTACAGCAGTCTAGTTGCAACATCATGTAGCAGAGGTAGTTGATGAATTGTGACAGCATGAGTTCAGAATATATGTAATGTACAAAAGGGGGTTCCTAAAATGGTGGTACCAAATCATCCAAATAATAAGTGTTTCCACCATATATAAACCATCCAGTTTGGGGTGCCTCCATTTTAGGATACCAACAAAAAATTGTTTGATGCAGCAGAGTGCAGACCTAGGAAACCAATGGATAAGCATTGCTGAATATATATATAATATATATATATAACTGCTATATGCCCATCCGAACCATCCAATCGTTCAACCCCAATTTTTGTCTCATATGACGCAATTCTCCAATCCATTGTTCACATTCACATGCTTTCCGATAAAATCCCCTAAAATATGTTGATGAAATCCCCTCAATTTCAGGAATCCTTTGTGGTGGGAATATCAGATTCCTATCCTTTTAGTTGATTCAACCCACTCAACCCATCAATCCAAAGGAGTCCAGATGTTCCTTAAATCCCAAGTTTCTTTATAGATTTTTCATACATAATTCTGAAAAATAAATGTGTATACAAATTTTCCGGATTTTTAATGATTTTTAATGATTTTTACATACATATATATATATATATATATTCACATATACACATGCTATGGGATATCCCAGGGAATCCCACATTTGGTTGATGAAAAGCCAGCCATTTATGGGAGGCCCGCGGAGCTGCTGAGCGTGGCAGATTTCGCCCTGATGGCATCCTTGAGCTATGAAGCTCCCCTGCGTGCTGAGGAGGAGACGTCCGGTGCTGGTGTGACCGTTGCGGAAAAGATGGTTATGAAAGGGAATCCCCAATGATAGATTCCAATAGTTTAGGTATGTTTAGGTCTATAATGGCTATCTATAATAATACAATGTTTATTGTCTTGAAAATTATTTCCAACAATAGCTATAATCTATCGGTAATAAATGGTAAACCCGACAATAATGGGACAATATGGGACAATCATACATGGGATACTAAATGAAAAAAACATAGTAATGTGGCAAACACAATGAAACTTGGATATATTAGGGTATTAATTGGGTAACATGGATTTATATAGGATAATGATGGGACAATCTTGGATTATTATGGCCTATATATATAATAAACCATCCCCAATCATATAGCTATTGTGGATTCCCTATGATGTCGTAGTCACCATCCCCAATAGATGTTTATGAAATTGGGTATGCCCCTAGACTGGAATGATATAAAATTATCTGTTAGTATAGGGAATGATCCCCAAATCACCATATTTCAAGTTAGTGAATCATTATAATTCATCCAGGAAAGATGGAGCTTGCGTAACTCATCTTCCGAGATATACTTTTAAGATCTGGTGCTCACTTGGATGTTTCAGCTTTCGTTTGGGATGATGATCGCTGGCTTCACCATATCACATATCTCACTATTCGACCACATCAATCCATATCACATATCTCACTGTAACATTGATGAACAGTTGGACCAGCAAAACCAGCCGCTACAATAAAAATGTGCCCATTGGCCAGGCATGTTCCCACTACTTCCCCCGCTGGCGGGTGGAACAACGCCCTGAAAAGCAGCGGGTCATGGACTGGTCCCGCTTTCTGATGTTGACCTCCGCCCCATGGCTCGTAGACATAAAAAACACATCTTGGAATTTGCAACCCCAAAGGATTGCTTTGGACATGTTGAATTTGTTTAGTTCAATATGTGTTTTCACCCGTGGTTTTTTGCTGATGTTTGGGTTCTGGGAGCAGTGTTGGGCGGTGTTTCTGGGAGGTCTTAAGGCTAGATTTTGGACACATCCAAGAGGAAAATAGTCTTTGAATGCAAATTAGTCAGTTTTTTCTTAAAAAAAAAGAGTGGTATGTAATGTGCAAATCAACCAGATGCGAAGTGAAACAACACGTGCATCGCAATTGTTACAGCAAGTGTTGAACATTGCGTCAGTTTCATTCTGCAGTCTTGGTGTTCAATTTCTCTGTATGTTACTTGTCAATGTGGTAGTCGTCACCCTTTGCGAGTCAAATATCATTGAAATTCTACTCTAGGGGACATCTTGATTTTTTATGTTTTTCTTCCCTCCATTGCCTGGAAACCTGATAGCATCATCCACTTACTGGAAAGCGATGCCAAATATTTGGTCGCTTCAACTATATACCATGTTTTTACTTGGCCATTGTTTCTGTTCGTTGAACCACCCGTTTCTGTTATATTTTCTGTGCTTGTTGGAACAGTTGAAACCCCGATTGGGGCCTCTTGAGTTGACCCCCCTGTCGAAAACAATTACCCCAAGGAGGACAACAGCACCACAGTGATCACGGTACGTGGTACTTTGGATTTCCTGGATGTCCTACAGGTGCGGGGCCCCGGGGCAGCCAATCAAATCATGGATGTTCTGTTCCAAATGTCACGATTGGAACGTTACATTCCAATTCATGGATCATCATACATAACATATATTACACATGATGATTTTAGGGTACCTTATCTTTCTGGGGTTTGCAGTTGGAGGTTTCTTATGCTGTTGATCCATTTTGGCAGGTACAGGTGGATGCGGTGAGTGACAAAATCATGGAAACTCTCAAAAACATGTTTGACCAGCACACTGTGAGATTTGAACCTGATTTGAAAAGATCACAGACTCTAAGAATCGAACTTGATATTAGTTCTGAGTAATTAGTTGGCAGGTAACCTCATGATCTATGGGAATAGTATATGATATAAAACTTGCATATAATCTTATATATAAATAATATTACGCGCAATAATATATATATATATATATATCATATATATATATATTATTGTGTACATGTATATAATATACATACACAATCACACACAAAGCTATGAGGTCGCCCAGACCCACTTGGGCAGTCGCTAGGACGTGGCCTTGTGGCTGGTGCCCGCCTTGATGGAAGGCCTCAATAAACTGGGGCCGGACATTTCCACCGGAGCCCTGGACATCCCTGCGCCGTAGCGCATCGTTGCGCTGGGGTGGAATCATGGGACAGGTGTGGCCAGTGTGCGCTAGCTGCGCTAGTTACCCTCTGGTAATTTAACATAGCTATTGAAAATGGCCATTTATAGTGGATTTTCCCATTAAGAATTGTGATTTTCTATAGTTATGTTAGTTTACCAGAGGGTAGATAAACTGGTCAACTGGATGCCAAACTCTCAAAAGGTTTGTTGTCTGGAAATTTTCTAACCCACACCTGTCAAACAGATGAATGTTTGACATTACTTACTATATACATCTATATACTGATATACTGCCTATGGCATAAACCCCGCAGTTGAGCATGGAATCCCAACATCGCCCATGGGAGCCAAGATCCTTCCAAGATCCTGGTGAGAGTTCCAGCCCTCCTTCGGCTTCAGGCCTTCCATCATGATATGGGTTTGTCTGAAAATAGGCTATATTCCCCAAAAAAATAGCCATTTAATAGGGATAATGATCAGCAAAACCATTGGGTTTAGGGGTACACGATTTTCAGACACACCCATATGACCTGCTTAATATATGGCAGACTAACACGACTGAAGAGTCGCTTTACGCTTGGCAAGTTCAAGGTTTGAAGCCTCATTTCTGGTGAAGTCTCCAAATTTCTTGACGAAAACTCATAACCGTCACCTTGCCGACGGCTGTGAGGAAACTGGGGCAAATCGATTTCGGAGTATGCTGAGCTCTTTCCGTCAACGCGTGTGGCTGCAGACCACACCTTTAAGTCCGTGCTAGAAGCCACACACTTAATGATCCAATCCCATCCGTCCAGGCGTTTCTTCCTCACTGGGTGTCTTACCATTTGCTTCAGGCCTGCCATGTTCCATGTTTTTCCTGACGGACCGTGTCCTGGTAAAACCCCATTCAATCAGATTGGATCTGATTGTTGAGCTGGTGAGTCACCAGGCCTATTAGCCAATAAATACATAAATATCATTGAAGATCAATATTAGTTATTAACATATATATATATATAGATATTAATCAGTATTATATAAGCAGTAACCAAAAACCCATATAGGTATAGCTCTATGGCAAGAATTATATATATATATGTGTGCCCATGATTTGTGTGTTTTTTTGCCCGCCCTATCACCAAGCTCCAGCTCCCCCAAGGCATTCCTTAGGCGGTGGCATCGCCAAAATGGTCGCGCTGCAGATTCCCATCGCCTCGCGACCGCTGGCCATCGCCTTTGCATCTCCCGGGGTGCAGGACGCGGCGCGGGTGCTCTTTGGACACGAAAACCATGATGGGCCGATCCAGACCAGGCGGCTGTCCGTTTCATGCTACCCGTGTTTTGATGGTGTTTCGGAACATTTTGGAGGATTATGATAGGTTTTGAATGGGATATTGAGATGGTAGATTTAACATCGATGCTCAATCGATGTCAAGTGGATGATTTTTTTTGCGGGGAAACAGATGCTGAGGGACTGAAAAATGTATGAGTTTTGAAACAATCTGGGATAAGTCTGGAATAATCAACAATACAACAGCATCCCCATGTTTGAACTGTTAAAGCAACAGAACCCGTAGTTGAACTTGGCAAACATGATCATTTAACTAATTGTTTAAGCACCGAAACAGGCGATGAAGCATCCAAGACTGGAGTTCAACCCCTGAAAAGACACCAGAAAATGACTTTCGAAGAACACTATTTTGCATTGGACGTCCTTTTTAACAGTCCAAGGAGAACGCTCCCTGGTGCGGGTAGCGCCTATAGATGTCCTCTTCGGTTGGCTGATCTTTTTGAGGGATCACCCCCATTTGAACCAATAGATGGGTAGATAATGAGATGGTATATGACTTAGACCCCCAAGCAACTGGTTCATGACTCTGGTTGATAAGTCTCCTGGGTTTGCCCTTCTACAACTCCGTTGGGTTTGCCCCACTCAACAACTCACCAGTTACGATCTATTGGATGGTCCTCCAAGTATGGGATAATATGGGATAATCATTGGGGCTTAAGAATAATGATACAATATAATACACACACACATATATATATATATATTTAACTACGCATATATATATATATACATACATACATATGTACAATCATCATATGTAACCATTAGTTACATTAGTTCATCCAGATTATAATTATATATAATAATTTATATGGGCCTGTCTTTTTTTGATGCGTGCAGTTTTTAGTAAAGGCAGGAAGTTCGATTTGCGCGAATCATACCCCCGAATCATACCCCGAATCATACCCCCGAATCATACCCCCGAAATCTGCGAATCATATCCCTAAAAAATAAGGATTATGAATGTTTCCTTTGGGATCGTTTGGGATTGCATTGGCCTCACTAGTTATAATGGACCTGACAAGCTAATTGACCAGTGTTGGCGAATCTTCTCCACGCGCACAGAGTCTCATCATTATCCCTAAGCTGGCTGGCTCTGGGTGGCTGGCTGGCTGGCAACCAAACCAAAACTCCGTCGAAGAGGAACATAAGCCTAAGCGTAGCTGAGCTAAAGGTACATGAGAAGAACATCCAGAAGAGACGCCGGCAGGCCGGCGGATATAAATCATAGATGTGCATTGGGATCTTCACATTCTTCATACTCAGGTCCTGTCCAAGGTCGTCTGGCAGGTCGAGCCATTGCAGCCATTGACAAAGTAGCAATCGTAGGAGGTTGACGGTGGGGAAAAGGGACTCAAGCAACAAAGCTTCCTGAATTCAAAAAAAGATGGGTTTCCGAATCATACCCCGAATCATGCCCGAATCATACCCGAATCATACCTCAAACTTCCCAATTCTGAACCTTGGTGCGTTTGCAAGATCAGAACTTGTGTTTTGTGAGCTCTTTTCTTTGCAACCATTCGCCACGGGTCCTGCTGCTTCTGAGAAAAATCCGACAACAGCACCCTGCAGCGCGCAGCAGCACCCTTCACTAGCACCCTTGCAGCACGAGTTGGGTACAGTACGTACCCTCCTTGCAGCACCCTGAAGCATCACCCCTTGCAGCAGCACCATGAGACCCATATACTCCATGTATGATATAAATGGCATTAATTAGCAACATTCGGACGATTTTGGGAGTAAGTATAGGTACATAAAGGGCCGCGAATCATACCCACGAATCATACCCACGAATCATACCCCGAATCATACCCGCGAATCATACCCCCTAGTCAAACTTCCCGGGTTGGACACGGTATTTTGAGACGTCCCCATATATATACCCATTATACCATGTTATATTATACCCATCCTACTTTACATTATAGTGAATACCAATCTACCTCAACCACTAACTAACATACATCATTATATACTATATAATTAGTCCCATTTAATTAATCACAGTATACATTAATTTGATGAAATAACCCATTAATAATGCCATTGCATATCCGTCATATAGCATTGGTCAATTTACTAACAGTGAAATATCCCATTGGTCAATTTCAATCCCATTATCTCCTATTTAACCCCATTAAATCCCATTATTCTCTATATTCTCTATATTTTCCATATTTATAGGTAAATAATTTCCAAATTATCCCATATCTTATTTCTTATCACTATCCCCTTATTCTCCATAGCCATGACATGATCCTCCATTAAAGCCAGCCCACAATCATCCACCACCAGGCTGGAGGACCTCCAGCAGAGCTTGTTGGACGTGGTGCCTCGTCACGATCTGATCTCGCTGATCGATCAAGATCCGGGGAATACCTTGATCGCTCCCTGTGAGGCCGACACGGGAACCACGGCATTTCAGGTTGGAAAAATTTGTTGGGATTATGTTGGAGATGGCTATGTATGTATACATAATTATATGCATATGTATATGTAGATATATAGATGTGTCAATGTATGGCAAGATATGGCTGAATATATTTTCATCATACATACAGTACATATGGGTTAAACAAAATCATATAATATAACTATATATATATAACTATAGTGATCATAGTTTGTGGCTTCCATGCTTGATTTTCGTCTTTGGGATGATGATCCCAGCCACCAACATGTTTTCGGTTTTCACAACCAACTGTGTAAACCGGGCAATCAAGCTGGAATCAATCCAGCCGAATCATTATAGAACTTGTCATGAACTTGTTTTGTGCAAGAACAAAGGTCGCGATTTGACATTGCTTCACCCCATTGCATGTTGGTCCCACATCCTCATTCGAATCTTCATCCCTTTGCAGGGCCACCCCTGGCAGTGCCACAGCATCTTTCGTATCCTTTGGGGCATTTTCTCCGCCTGCGGCTCCATGACCTTCAAAAACCTCACGCTGCCCTGTGAAGCTTTCCGGGCGGCTATTCCGGACGCCTGTTGAGCGGCCAGCTACGGCCTGCCCTTGGTCCGGAGGTTCAAAGATAACTTCCAGCCATGTTTTGTTTTCGTTTTCCTGGGGGCTCATTGTCCTCAACTGACTTTCGATGACTCTTTGGCACTCTTTGGGTTAAGAATGGTTGAAGAGTCAAAGCTCATGCCAAATCAGGGATGGAAGATAACAAACCAGACATCTAGAATCGAAAATGATTGATGCAAAACAACGAAAACCGATAGCCAACTAGGGATGATAATCAGATAATTTATACATACATTAAGTAAATAAATCAATCAATAAATACACATATATATATCTGGTTGGTGGTTTGGAACATTTTTTATTTTTCCATATGTTGGGAATAATAGTCCCAACTGACTAATATTTTTCAGAGGGCTTGAAACCACCAACCAGATATATATATATATATATATTTATATTTATCAATGATATCAATCTAAACATGGGTGCAAAAAGAGAACTTGGTTTTTCCTCAAATATATATATATATATATATCGTTTATAGCTATGATATATTATGGAAAAACCTGAACACTTCACCTCTTTAGCGTGGCAAATGGCGTTCCAAAGATGAACACCTCAGCAGCCAAAGGCTGCCGTTGAGACGCTTAATCCTGGAGAAAGTACCGGAGGACACGTTGTGCATTTGTATGACAACGTTCATGGTTGTTTGAGGTTGAGCTGATAGACTTTCATGTTGGAACTTATCTATAATTAGTTATTACTGTTGTTCCGGCGTTTCAAAAGACCAATTGCAGTGCGAAATGGCAACAGTTCGGATACTGGACTAGCGAACTGTGGTGGCTGCATTTTCTCAGGGCCAACGCTTCATGAAGCCATTGTAGTGAAATGAAACTTAAATTCACCTTCAGCATACAATTCACAGAGCAAACTTACTACTAAACCAAAATAACATCCTTATATATTGGCTTCTGGTTTCAAACGCTCCCAGATGGTGAAATGTTGTGTTGTATGGTTCATATTTAGTTTCCACTCATGGTTGTTTCAATATTCTTCAAGACTGAAATAGTCCAAGTGATGATTTTGGGGGACTCCCCAACCTTTAACGCAACACCCATATGGTTCATTGTCCTTTGATGCCTGGTTTGCAGCCTCCAAGCCTGCCGATGAAGCACCAAGTGCTGATGAGGTGTCACAAGCCTTGGAGCTTGTAGGTATCTTCAGTCATTGCGCCATTCATATCACCATCATAGTAAAGGAATGATCATTGATTATTAATGGTGCGATGATGTGATTCTGATTATATTTACTTGATATTCTTTGATATAAGCACTTCTCATGATTATGATTCAAGTTATGTTTGATTGTGATTTTTCTTTCTGGGATGCGTCACGATGATGTGCCCGTACCAGCCAGCTATAATTGGGCTTAGATCAAGAATGACCTCATAAGTTGGTTGCGATGATGTAGCATCGTACCATGCATGGGGCCTGGGGGTATGATTGCACGGTGCAGGGTAAGGTGGTAAGCTTCATACCCTCTAGTAAACTAACATAGCTATTGAAAATGGCTATTTATAGTTGATCTAAGTTGATTTTCCCATGAAAAATGATGATTTTCCAGTTCGCTTTTTGTATGTTTACCAGAGGGTAATCATGGACCCCAAACTCTTTCCAGGCAATGGTGGCCGAAGCCAAAGGATCCAAAGGATCCAACGGAGCCAACGGATCCAACGGATCCCAGGGTGCGAAGTGGCACGAGGCTGGGCAAGTTCTGCTTGGCCAATTGAGGTGGCTGGGGTTAAGGAAAGGTGATTTGGTAGCTGATCACTTGGGATCTTGGCTGATGTTGGTTGATGTTGGTTGATGTTGGTTGATAGCTAGTAACAGCATTCCGAACTTGTTGATATGATTTGGCGAAAGCAGCTTGGTTGGCCAACTGTGAGCTGCACAAAGCTGAGAAACCGTTTCAGATCAGTGGTTTTTGGGAAGCTGATCACCGGAGATCATCTCGGGGATATGTTTTCAGCCTCAACTTTGCACGATCCAAAGATACCCTCTGGTAATTTTATATGGAAAATCAATGAACATCACTATTTTAACGGGTAACCATCTATAGATGGGCCATTTTCCCTAGCTATGTTGGTTCACTGCGGTATGATCTGACAGACTTTAGTAGTCACTGGACTGCTGAAGCTGTTCAGGCATCGGCCAGGCTTCTGTCAAGGAGATCTTACGTGTCGCGATGAAAAAGGAAGTTTGGTGTAGCCGATGGTCATTTCAGCTGGTAATGGCACAATTTCATACAATTTCCATCTTCAATACAATCCGGTTTTCAGTCGAAAATCACTATGTCACTAATTGGCGTAGGTCCATACTATGTCAAGGAACTAATCCTGCACATTACCTGTGACCTCCTGGAAGACATTTCGATTGAAGATTTTCCCACCATGGGGTGTTTCAAACAGAGTGTCCCGATGATTGAGATGGGTTGCTGGCAGATGGGATATCCCCGTGATGTTTGAATACTTCGGTGTTTTGACTTACTTTGATTTGGATGTCCTGAATGTCCCATCTTTCAACACATCCCCCCCTTGGCCCCTTGGATTCTGCGATATTCTGCGGTCGAAGGACCCGGCCTGCGTCAGAACGCCTCTACTGCAGGGCTATCAGCGGCTGTGGAAGGAATCAGCATTGGGAAGCAGCTTTGGCACATTTTTCAGACTTTCAGGACTGGAACCGGTAAGGGGGCGGATCATGATAGTGATGGTGAGGATGGTGAGGATGGTGATGATGGTGAGGATGGTGATGGTGGTGATGATGATGATGATGATGGTGGTGGTGGTGATGATGATGATTATGATGATGATGATGATGATCAGCATCATCATGTTGGTAACGTCATGCAAGTAATATCAACACATATCAAAACCAACACATATCAACACCATGCACTGTGATCATTATGATATCATGATTTGGGGGTAGCGACCCGTTGTTCAGACAAATCCAGTTTGTCCATGTTTTCATCCAGGAAAATGGCTTCCAAATCAATCGCATCATTTACAGCGCCGGCATCAGTGCCTGCGCCTTGGGAACCCAGTGGCAGCGCAGTTTGGCGCTGCTGTCGCAGCTTACTGCGGAGGGAGGGCAGCCAGATGTCGTCAGCTACAACGCGGTGTCACGGCTCACCACGGGGCGTGCCAGTTGTGTTTGTTTTTTTGGTTCAAACATGCCACTTTTTTGGGGGGCGCAACATGAGTCGATATTTGGCAAACCCTGGTCTGGCGGCCAACATTGCATCATTTGTTACTTGCTGTATTGAATTGCATTATACTAAGACCCATGTTGTTCAAAATTCATGCGTTTTAATGGTCGTCAGGTAGTCAAAAAGTGGACACATGATATGAAAGTTAAATTCATCATTGCCAAAAAGTATATATCCACCATTTCTTGTGTCCCCAGTGGCTTGGGAATCGCCAAAGGTCGTGAGCGCGAGCCACGCCGCGAGCAAATGGCAATCCGCCTTGGCGGCTTTAAGGGTTTGGTGGCCCAGGGTAGGTCCAAACAAAATGGTCCAAGAATGCCTGGGACATGGCAAAACATGCTATACTCTCTGGATATTGTGGTATGTTATGAGATGTAATGTGTAAAACACAATGCAAATGTACGTGAAAATTGATTCACAGGTTTTTATTCTTATTGTTTAGCACGCACACACACACACGTTTATATTCCAAATATCATGTGGCGTGCCACAACAATAAATAACCATCATTTTGCCACGAGGAAGTTCCAGAAAATCCTTTTGAGATCACCAACTTCTCGAGACGGAAAATCCATGGACCGCAGGAATTGAAGTCCTTGGACTTGGAAGCCAACGTGGTGACATATAGTGCTGCCTTGAGCACCTCGGATGCAGGGGTCAATGAGTTGGTGGTGATTTTCCATGGAACATATGCAGAAACTGTCAGAAATTCTTAAACAACAAATGGATCTGCACTGTCAAAAGGGACATCTGGAAATTCTGGAAACCTTGGACTTGCCAATTTTTTTGGCTTCCGATATGATTTTCTTTCAACTGCACAGCCAAGTGCATTGATTTTATAGGGATTTGTTGTTTTGGAGTGAACTTCTCCATTGCTGTATTGAGTGACAAATCCCTTGCGCTGGGTTTACATCTCATCCATTGAACCACATTCAATTCTAGTCAATTGACCTGATTGAGAATGGTTTCAACCCCATTTATAACCCTACAATCACGGACATCAATCCCATACCGAATATAGGAGAGGAAGTTCTGATGGAGGCATTTCTATAGTATCCATTAACTACTGTATCAATATTAATCATAGAGATCCTATATGATATCATCGGTAGAATCCACAAAAGGATCATTCGATATAGAATATCCAGGTTTGATATGTGATACTGATTCAAAGTAATATCAGTAAGTTTTATTCCACTCAAATCCACTAAAAAATCAATAAAACCCCATCAATCTATTTGAATAAAAGCCTCCAAAACATATCAATTTAACCATTGTTCTGCACCTTGACGCAAAAGCAAGGTGCGTGCGGAAAAGGGCAGCAGTGGCTCTTGGCCATGCAGCTTCTCGAGGCGATACATTAGTCTGGGTAAATTATAACGACCTCACTGTTCTACCGAGCCCTGGAATCATGGTTTTTATAGGGGAATGATCCCCAAAATGGCCGAACTATTCAGGTTAGTGATTTTTTTTAATTTACCCAGATTAGTGAATATATGATAGGTATTGTAAAGGTAGTTGGGTGTGCATATATATGTAATTATATACATAAATGAGATTAGCTAACTACCTTACGTTTGATACATTATATCTAAAGGTAGTTGGCTTAAAAGTCAGTTGGGGAAGTTGGGCAACTCAGCTACACTCGGGAGGACGAGTCTGTTGTGATAACCGAATGTCATGATCCCCAAAAATGGCGAAGCAAACAAAGTGGTCAAAACCCAAGAATCAACCGAAATCCTTTGGAGGTTTACACAAACATATACCGGTATCACTTCAATAAGAATTTCAGGATCCTAAAATGGAGGTACTGTACCATATTTCTGGCCATATTTTGTGGGGATATTCCCTTACATAGGCCTAACAAATAGGCCTTATAAATGGTAGGTATCTCCAATTTAGGTTCCTGAAATGGCCATTGATCACTGAATTTCTGGTGATTCTTTGGCTCTTCCCTCCAGGAGATGTCCGAGGAGAAACTGCTTCGGAACGTCATCACCTACAGCTCGGCGATTTCAGCCTGCAGCTCGCCGCCAAGAACTGATGGGTTTCTACCCTCTGGTAATTTAACATAGCTATTGAAAATGACCATTTATAGTGAGTTTTCCCATTAAAAATGGTGATTCTCCATAGTTATGTTAGTTTACCAGAGGGTAGCTGACATTCCCGGTTGAGATTTGGTTTTGAAATTCCATTGATTCCATTGATTTCCTATATGTTGGTTATGGTTGCAAGACCTGGAAAATGATCTTGAAAACAGAAAACTGAGTCAATATTATCAAAATCCCAGCCTGTTTCTGCTGTTTATACTCCTGCTGTTGCATATGTATGTTTTAGACGCGCACAGATACACAACATGTAAATCTCATATCATATCAACATATATCAACATCAAGATCCTCCATGATGGCTCCCTCACCCCCTTTGTTGCGGGAAAGGATTGCCAGTTGCCCCACCACAGCTCCATTTGTAGGCGAGAAATGTGCGCAGTGGCGGACCGCCTTAGCGTTGCTGACGGCGATTTTGGTGTCTCACCTGAAAGCGAAGCTCGGCTGGTGCCAGTTGGCCGCCGGGGTGGACTTCCAATTTGCTAAGCGGCTAAGGGTTTCAGATATATCTATGTGTCACTACTCTTTCTCTTTGGCTTTGTGACCAGTTTTTATATCAGCCATCATGTGCGAGTGCCAAGTTCACAGTTACACCGTTGAGTCCTTGGCGGCAGGAATCTCATTTCCTTCAATTCTGCCATCAGCGCCTGTGAAAAAGCAGGACGTTGGCAGGAGGTACTGTGCTTACTGCAGGCCCTTTCAGGTGGGAGCGGTGTGGGATGGTCGACCCAGAGGGACTCCAAAACGGGGCATCAACACAGCAAGGCTACCTGGCATGACCCCAATTTGACACCAGCATAAGTCTTGGATGGATATCAGAATAAATACACAGTGTACATCATAATAAATACACACACACTATATATAATATATTATATACATTATATTATATTATATTTTATTATATTATATTATTATAATATATGCATATATATATATTATATACACATATATATATAGATACACATACATATTATATATATATATGTACATGTGACATCAATGAGATACCCCATTTGACACATTGAATGGGGGCAGGTCTTTTCGCGCTTTTCCAGGCCAAGACCTGCGACCCGATGAGGTGAGCTACAATGCCATGCTGAGCGCCTTCGAGTGCCTTGGAACTTGCCACATTGCTAAATAGCTGGAATAAATTACAATACTGGTCATTCCAAACACCATCATGGTTATTATAAACTAAATATCTAAATGCTGTTAAATATGTATGGTGTTAAATATTTGGTTGGTGGTTTGGAACATTTTTTATTTTTCCATATATTGGGAAGATCATCCCAACTGTTACTCACTCATATTTTTCAGAGGGGTAGGTCAACCACCAAGCAGAATAAATTGTGAGACAACAACATCTATACAGAGTTTCATGCTGAAATTAGCTTCAGGCATTTTTCCAACAAAATAAAGGAATCCAATAGGGCATCCTATTGCGTTTTCGTTGCCATTTTTCACTCAGGAAGGGTGGTCAATGGCAGCGAGCCCTTGAAAGTTTGCGCCAAGCTCCAGGAGATTCCTTTGAGATCAGCATCATCTCGCCCCGCTGGCCTGGTGAGAGCTAAGAATCGGAATGTCTGCAACGAAAATGGGCACCAAATCACTGCAAGGTGGTGCCCCATAGTTAGCTAAGCTGGTTTATAACTCCCATAACTATGGTTTATGGCAGATATAACTATAGTTAATGGGGTTTATAAACCAACTTATAACTGGGGGGCACCATCCTGTGGTGAGAGAGAGAATTCATGAGAATTCATTTTTTGGAGAGGTCGTAGGTGAGATTATTCGACATTTCTGGCTTCTAAGCGTTCTAAGCTCCATCTCGACCCATACCATCCATTGACACTAACCAGTGCCAGCCCATGCCACTCCCTTGGACAAGTTGCGCTGTGCCAGATACAGCGCAACCATCAGCGCCTGTGAAAAGTCGGGCCAGTGGCAAGTTGCATTGCAGCTGCTCGAGGATGTTGCCCATCAGGGGCTGGGTGTGAATGGGATTTGCGTGAGGATCCTGCAAGATCCTGGAAATATCTGAAAGATCTTAAAGGACTTAATATATAATTGAAGTGAAAGAAAGGTTAAGCAAAAGTGACTCCACGGTTGGGATGTTTATTCTTTGGCTGCAAGTATTGAATGCAAAGGATGCCAGGAAACTCCAGGGTGCAGCCAGTCACTCCACTGATTTTTCTGTAAAGCATGGTAGAGCTCAAGAATTGTTCAGCGCTTGATCCTCGGGTGCATCCCTTTGCTCTGTGAACGCAGCAACCTCTCTGATCTGTCGATGCCGTACCCTCCACGGATGAAATTCCAATTCTTTTCTGGCTGTCATTTCTGATCTGAAAAATCTGACAGAAACGGGTAAACGGATGTCTTCAAGGATGTAAAAGGTAGAGTGTCAAAGCAAAATTATGTTTGAGAATATGATGGAATCTAGACTCTAATCTAGACTAAACGGTCAGCTCTCCATCTGCAATCCGCAGTTGGTGGTTCCAGAGTGGCGAAATAAAAAAGGCCGGCTCACTAGCCACTAGACGTCACTAATTAGATCTATATGCTACTGGCGCCTTACAACTGTTGTTTTGAATGTGTATTTAAGGCACCATGTTAGTCCACAATAGGTTTCTTCTGATTTATCAAGGCAATTCCACGCCCCAAGTGATTCCCTCGAGGAGCTCCAGAGCGAGAACTTTCGTGGAGATGTCATCGTGTACAGCGCTGCATCGCGGTGATTGATGGCTGTTGGAAAATCCCTGTTTTATTTGACCTTTCCATATGTCTGGACATATGGGAAATGGGGAGACTATATGGGGTCATGCTAGTATATCTTGCTGATGAAACGGACCAGGCCAGATAAGGCTGACGGGATGGATTCATCTAATCAAAGCCTGGTCTCCAGGAGGGAGAAAAAACACACAATTGCCAGCAATAAGAATGTCATAACATAAAGCATTTGCCATACACCGCCGAAACGTCTCAATTCTTTGGTTAGCAGGTGGCAGGTCAGCAACTGATGGGGGGTTTAGTACAGATGCTTAAAAAAACCGGCTGTGTTTGACCAACATTTGCCCACATCAGCGTGGGAATTTGTTGGCCAGGGCGTAGTTTTCTGGCCACTTTCTGAGGCCATCAGCGCCTGTGAAAAGCGGGGTCAATGGCGCCCCGCTCTGCTGCTTTTGAATCAGCTCACAGAAGAAGAGCTGGAGGCGATCCATTGAAGTTCGTTCTCCAAAACAAGATAAACATTCATAGATAAACAACATTTAAAAAAATAAAGAAGTGCTTCAGTATTGAAATGAAAGGAGCAGCTAGCTGCAGCGACATAGAGACGCACTTGGTGATTTTGATCTCGCCAGGCAGATAGTGTCAGCTACAACGCTGCCATCGCCGCCTGTGAAAAGGAGCATCAACCATGAACGCAGGTCATAAACATCACCCAGCTTGAAATTAGGCATACACTCCAGTTTCATAAAGCCTGATATATAGAGTGTACCTCATTGATTAGTGACCATTTGGTATATTTGGTCTTGTGCTTTCAAAACGTACTCCCGTGTATCGAACCATTCGCCCATGATATTCCATGCTGACAACATTGTGGGGTGGGGCTGTTGAAACCGCCAAGCCTCAATTCCAGGAGCGATGGCAGGTGGCGCTGCAACTTTTTGCTGACATGCTCCGACTGAAATTGCAACCCAATGAAGCTGGGTTGCACTTGTCTCCCCACGAGTGGGGATGTTCCCATTGAACAAGTTTGCTGGGTCTATCCGGGTCTACACTTGAAAATCTTAGTATTGATGAAAAGCAGGCCAAATCATTTAAGGATTACCAATTTACAAATCACTTCACTTAACCCAGATCTGAATTTAATCCCTGGGTTGTGGAATTGTGGGTTATCACTGCTATTGGTTGCTTCATGTTGCTTCTAATTATTTCTCAATTACAAACTTTCTGAGTCCCTAGCTTGATTATTTCCCACATATGACACTGTCAGGTTTATCAAATTAACGCATGATTCTGTTTGAGAGAGAATTGCTTCGCTTTACTACTACTTGAGATAACAATTGTTTAATCATTTGATGTTCAGATATGATCTATATATAATATAAACTCAATTGTCTCTATCTCTCAATTTTCTGTCATTTCTTACCAGCCACCAAATAATTTGACGTTCAGAATATACAGCTGCATAGAGATAAATGATTTAGTAATCCTCAAAATCAATTTCATTTGTACACACGATCCATTTCCATCATTTGAGAGGATTTTGTGCACCATTATATATCTAGTAATATATATATATATATATCTGTGTGTGTGTGTGCGTCCCATTATAGCACTGCATTTCCTTCACTTTAAGAAAGTAATCTTCCATCCGATTTTCTTCACCAATCATTAATGTTTTAGTTCATCCGTATATCCCCTTATGTCCCACTATAATCCCATGATATTCCCATTCTCTAATCCATATTCCCATAATCATGGGAATCCTGTTATATTCTCATGATCATCCCATTTTTACATATAAATAATTATAGTTCACCAATTATAATCATCTTCCCATTTTCATGATATAATCCATTATGATCCTATCATTATAAATGTTTTATTAGTTACCCTCTGGTTATTTAACATAGCCATGGAAAATGGCCCATTTATAGATGGTTTACCTATTAATCATGGTGATTTTCCATGGCTATGTTAGTCATAACCAGATGGTAATCAACATAATTATATAACCTTCGGAGCTTCCCCTTCGGCAGGTCATCTCGATCTCCAGCTGCATCAGCGCCTCGCAGAAGGCTGGCCGCTGGCTGCTGGCCTTGGAACTGCTGCAGCTGGCGGAGCTGCTGGACATTGACGGCAACCTGGTGACCTTCAACGCTGCCATGGCGGCCTCGGAGCCCTGGTGATTTTAAAGAAACAAGGAGAAAGGTGGTATCCTCTGGTTATGTCAAAATAGCTATTGAACATGGCCCATTTATAGTTGATTTATTTAATAAAGATGGTGATTTTCCATATCTTAGTTTACCAGAGGGTATAACCTTCGGAAATTAGGGGTTTGACATTGATGTGTGGAATTGCTAACCATCACATATAAGGAGTTCAAAAGATGTTCATAAATGGATTTGGGTGCATCACCATTGGCCATTGGTTTTAATGGTTGTAGTTTGTTGACTTCGAGGGATAGGGCATATGTAATATTGGTCGAAATGGATGAGTCAGGCAGCTGGGCTAGCGGCTAGCAAGGGTTGAGGCAGAGTGAGGCAGTGCTTGGATTTATCCAAAACTAATGTGCCCCCAAACATCCCCAAACCCAGCAGTTTCTGTTTGTCAGTTTTAACAGTGTTGGTCATTTTCCTCCTGGACACGGCCATATCTTCGGGGTAAATCCCTCTTTCAATGGCCATATCTCCGAACCATGGTTCACGTGGGTTCCGGCTTGGAAACTCGCACCAGGCGCAGAGCCTTCGCTGGCGCCACGCGATCAGTTTGATGCGGCGTGCCAGCAGTGCTCTGCTGGAGGCGGATATGATAACCCTGACGTTGATGACAGGTGGGACCGGCTGGGGAGGGCCCTTTGGATGGCCGGAAAGATCAAAGGTTTTTATGGATTTTCATGGTGTTTATATGTTGATAATTGGAAAAACCGGGGGTTTTTATGCGATAGTGAAATAGTTGGATTGATTTGAAGGGTTAAACCACCACGTGGATTTTTAGAAAAATGAGGAGTGGGATTCGGGATTGATGTCAGAAGGCTGGAGAGGTGATTGTTGAAACCAATCCTTGCCTGGTTGGTGGTTTTAGTATTCTTTGATGGTAAATGACTAGCTTGGATGATCCCAATCTAATATTATTTTTGGGGGGTGAACCGCCAGCGCAGCGAAGCGATTTGTGTTGTGGCGATCTGTCAACAGCGGTCATGGTCCATAAATGATGGCAGGGAGAATCATCCCAAAACAATCCTGTCTTGGTTATGTACTCAGTGAGGTACGTGATTTTTTCCCCAGCATTGGCTCCATGTACGAAGTATCTGCCACGACCCATGACCTACATGGAATTGCGATTTGGTGATACATGGAGCATATGGCGCAGGGATGCCCGACATTGAAGAACGAAACCGGCGGAGTCTCATAGGGAACACTGTCAAATTCGTGCTAGTTTCTTGTAACCTTGTGCTAGAGACAAAAAAAACATGTGTTTTTTATGGTTTGTTGCTTGCAGTCACAGCTGCACGGTACAAAATCAAAATTTAAGCTGCAACCAAGAATGGCAATGTCCAGTGGGAGGTTCCATTTTGATTTGTATACTCTTTCTCCGCGATTGATATTGGTTGGGGGTAGTTCCATCTAAATGTTCTGGATTTCTTGACCTTTCCAAGTTCCAATTAGAAAATCAAGAAAAAGAGCGGCATGATCAAGGCCAAAATAACATTTTTTTTTTGAGCTGTTTTGCTTTACGCCCTGGTTGGCCGTGCCAATTAAGGCGTTTTCGATGCCATTGAGTGCGGCACAGCACTGCGGGAGACACTCTTGCAGGCCATGATGCAGCTATTCAAGACGTCCGGGCTGGTATTTGGAGCATCATCTCACTTATACAATTCGCACCCTGGGGTAAACCAACATAGATCTGGAAAACCGATAGTTCCCTCAGGAAAATAATGGTAGGTTTCCCGCATCTATACTAGTTTAAAGGAGGCAAGTCCTTGCTCGGTGAGTCATCCATAAATGGGTTACCCGCTGTAAGCAAAGGGTTTCTCAGCGTCCCGAAGAGATTCCAGAGCTTTGACCTAGAATCATATCAACCAGAATGCAGAAAGTAGGGAGGTAACTCCAAGAACATCCAAGAACCCTCCTAGGTCCGATATCATAATATCTATGGGACCGGCTGCCCCCAATATCTCGGAAAGGTGCCTCCTCAATTACAGGTTCTGGAACCATGCAATATTGATGTGCTTGCTTGGAATCGTTTGAGACGTGAGATGAATATTCACCTGCCATAAGTTTATATAATTTATATAAGTGGTGTTGATGTGGTTACCTTGTCCTGCAGGTGGAATGCATTGGTAGCAGCCTCACGCATTACTTGAAAGATGCGAGGGTCAAAAACGGAGGTTCTGCTGCTGTTGGCACGTGAGCGATTTTGCTCAGCATTGTTGGATTGATTCCCATAAGCATCAATGAATGTTCCTTGTGTGTAGATGATGTTCCTGTCAACCTTAGGGGCCTCATAGCAGCTGGGCCTGTTACAAACACTTGCCCGGTCTCAGCCGCTAGTGGCACGAGCCAAAACCGGCGCCATACACCAGGCTCTGTCAGCCATGTGCGTGGAGCCTGGTGAATGTGTCATGACAGGCCGCCTTCAGCCGTTGGGAGTTTCCAGGTCTGTTGCGATGCCATCAACGAATGCCGCAGAACGGTGCAGTGGCAAGGGGCGGTGGCTTGGCTCACATGGCAGGGATCTAAGGAGCTGCGGCCGAACATCGTGGTTCATGGGGCCGTGACCAGTGCGTGTGAGAAGTCCAGCCAGTGGCTTGAAGCCGCCCAGCAGTTGGCGACCGTGGTGAAAGTGGGGCTGCGGAGGGATGTGGTGCTGCAGAACAATGTGATGAATGCTGGCCAGAAAGGCTTGAAGGGACCAAGTCTTTGTCTTTGTCTTCTCACCCCTGAATAACTGACAATGTTGTGCATGCCATTGGCCAGATCCTACGTAATTGCTCTCTTTGGATCTTTGATGGTGCTGGGTGGATAGATGTTGGATGATTGGCTAACACCATGGAAGATTGGCTCTGCGCAGGCACGGCATGGCCCACCTCTCTTGCAACCTTGGGCACTCTGCCCATCACCTCTTTGGAGCCCACTGTCATAACCGTGAGCACCGGAATTGCTGTACCTCGGAGCTGTACAAATGGGGAGCAATGTGGCATGGACTGGGTGGTTCCAGGGGTGGGAGGCTTGGCACCTCCTTTTTTGAGCAGTGGAAAATCGATTTTTTTTTCTTCATAGAAAGGACCTTCTGATCCTATTGGTTTCATGGGAGGCCTCACTTCCTGGCCAAGGCTTTGGCGCGCTCTTCCTGGCGCGGAGCCGTCCAGACTCTGGCGCTGCCGTGCAATGAGGTGATGGGTGATGGGTAGAAATTTTTGACCCAACGGGGTAAACTCTGAAGATGGCCATTCAATGTCAATAGGGAAAATGATGATAATTTTACCGATAAAAGCCATGGGATTTGGGAGCCTATTTTCAGCCACACCTATCCACTGCAACTGACACGAAAGAGAAATGGCGGGATATAGATGACTCAGGCAGAACTCACCCGTAAAACCACCCAAAACATGCCACAATATGCCACAATGGGATTGGTGGTGTAACACAACAATAAACCAAAATAGAACTGTGATTGAACTATCCACCCAAATCGGGATGGGTCAATACCAACTGTATCCAACGGTTGATATGCGTAAGAGAGAACTAAATACCACTCATAGCGGACTAATAGATCCGTCACACCATGGCCAGGTGGCGTATGGAGCAGCTCTCAGTGCATGTGAGGCCACTTTGGTGGTGAAATCATTTTTTTTAAGAAAGGTTCGGCTCATCGAATCTAGCCATGGAATATCATGAAGTTATATAATTTAAAGGTCAGGTGAGCGCCTTTTTAGGCAACACATATATGTTAATATTGTTGAAAAGAAACTGGACAAAATATTGGGAAATCCCATGGATTTCCCACATTTCCAGCAGTGTTCTGAATTGAGATGTGGCCACCTCTAGCAGCCCAGGCTAAAAGCCAGTGGCAAGAGGCTGCCACGTTAGTGAAAACTATGGACCTGAGAGCGTTGCAGCCAAATTTGAGCCTTGGCAGATTCCTGACGAGGATATGACAGGATCATTCATATCCAGTTTATATCAAGAGTCCCAGTCCCATGTTAGGATCCATGCTTGGAAACTTGGGTGATTCACCCCTTGTAAACCCAGAGATGGTTAGGATGCAACCCCAAACATGCCATATCTTTGGATATATGCCAAAGGAAAAGATCTCAGCGATAGTTCACATGTTTTGCTATTTATGTGGTATGTCTAATATTTTCTTACCATATCATACCATTTGATAGGGATAATCATATTAAATTTTAATCTTATTTTTCAAGATTTCAACTAGTCTGGTCAAATCGTTGTGCAAAAGCGCATTTTGGAGTGCAGTGCAACCCCCGAAAATATAATCTTAAATCATGTGAAAACTGCACTCCCAGGAGGTCTTTTTTTTTTTTTACTTTATTTCTATTGTGAGCACAAGAGGGTAATCATGTCCTCAGATTTCTTCTGTTTCATTGGGCCCCATACCCTCCGGTAAACCAACATAACTATGGAAAATCACCATTTTAATGGGAAAACTCACTATACATGGCCATTTTCAATAGCTATGTTAGTCATTACCAGAGGGTAGATGCCATAGATCAAACTTTCCTCCAGCGATGCCGCAAAGTCAAGGATAATTTCCAACACGGCCATCAGCAGTTTCGCAAAGGCCGGTGGCCCCGGTGGCCCCGGTGGCCCCGGTGGCCCCGGTGGCCCCGGTGGCCCATGGCACCTGGCAGTGCTCGCCTTGCACAATGCCTGCGAGGACGTTTGGGAGCCCTTCATGGGATGTTTCAAGTTTAGCACGGCTGAAGACCCTGGCAGTTTGTTGACTTTTTCCAAGATTAGAGCTTGCAGATCATGGATGTTCTGGAAAAGTGTTTATAGAGCAGTCGAATTCATCAATGCTTGAGACAGGAGCGCCTCGCAGATGAGATCAGTTACAATGCTGCCATCAGCGCTTGTGAGAAGAGTGGGCAATGGAAATGGGTCACTTGGCAATGGAACGAGGTTGGAAATTCCGTGGAACTGCCAGTTACCCTCTGGTAATTTAACATAGCTATTGAAAATGGCCATTTATAGTGGATTTTCCCATTAAAAATGGTGATTTTCCATAGCTATGTTAGTTTACCAGAGGGTAGTTTGGCAATCAGTCTAGGAGCCTAGGACTTTTGATTCCATGCTTTTAGATGGGGATGCAGCTGCAAAAACCGAAATGGATTCCTCAATTTCAAGGGGCGGAATCTCTTTAAATCGATTGGGGACTACTGCCCCCATACCCATCCACAAAGGGGATCCATAACCTTTCGGGTCGTAGAGTAGTACTGTAAACATAAGCCATGGATAGCCATGGATGATTTGGGGTTGAGGTCGCTGGTGTACCTCGTTTCAACCTCGGATAGACGGAGATTTTGGAGGAACTTAGCATGTTTGGATGACTAAGTCAACATGACTAGGTCAACATGAGATTCTCTTGCACTTCCCCCCGTCTCAACCCGGGGACGGATCATGAATCCACGGATCGTATCCTAAAAGAATGCCAACAGAAAGAAACGGACGGACACATGCGATGATCCCTGGAACTACTTCAACTAGGACTATATATTATACAAAAAAATACATGTGTAGAAATTGGGGTAAAGCTATAATTATACATAATGAATTATATTTGATTACAGTATATATATATAATATAATTTAATATAATATAATATAATATGATATGATATGATATGATATATAATATAATTTAATATAATATATACATAATATAATATAATATAATACAATATAATATAATATAATATAATAATATAATTTAATATAATACAATACAATAATATATATATATATGATATATGATATATATGATATATATATATATAATATAGTTTGCTATAAACAATAAATAAATATATATATATATATATGTACATGCTATTTCCCAAGAAGCCACTTGCTAGGCTTTTAACCCATGCAAACTCCGAGGCTTTGGACCTGTTGGCTCAGACCCTGGGAGCCAGGCCCGGGATGAAGTGCCGCTGTGCCGCTGGAGCGGCCATCTGAAGGTCACATCACTAGGTTTTTGATGAGGATTATTCCAATATCAAATTACTGTATATCATTCCTACATTACATCAAATTATTGATCATTTATGATAATTTACCATCAATACTAGGTAAATTATATTCCGATGGGTATTCTAATTCTTGTATTATTTTTTTTATTTGATTGGTAGTAGTAGTCGTGATTTTCAACTATGTTCAAGCAGATTTTGGGATGATGAACCTCCTATCACATGTTTTTTTTTGGATGAATGACGCTGTTGTTTTTTTGGTCTATGTTCAGATCATCTTCAACCTCAGCATCTCAAGGCTAGTCTCAGAGGTGGGCTACAGCGCCGCTGCCAGCGCATGTGAGAAGGGTGAACGATGGAAGTGGGCCATTTGGGCTGCAGACTGTGGATTAAACATTGCATGGGGCATGGTAGCTGCCATATGGGAATGTCTGAAAGTGGTCTGTACTGCCACCTCAAATGACACCCTTGATTGGGGAAAATATAGGAAAACGGTGATTTAAAAACAAAAAACATGAATTTGGAGGTAGGCTATTTTCAGACAAAGCCATGCAAGTCCAACATAGTTGTGTTTGAGCAAGCATATGTACATAGTGCGTTGAGGCCTCGGTGTCTTAGGCCTTAGGCAGGACCTCGTTTGAAAACACCAAGGCACTGTGGCTGATGACGGAAGCTCAGCAGTCCCAAATGCAGCTGGACGTGATTTTTTGCAGCACAGTGATCAGTGCCTGCCAGAAATGCGAGGTTTGAAACTTGGGTTCGGGTTGCGAGGGGATCAAGTGATCACGGGATGATACGTGTGGAACTTCCTTTGCTTCCATGATTGGTGTTTATTTGGCTCTTATCTTGTCGAATGAAGAGTTTGCAGCAGCTAGAAGTATGGTAGATCGGGGAGGTGTTTGGTTGTGCCCCCAGAGATCCAGACCCTTTCATCTTCAACCCGTCAGCCCATCAGCCCATCAGAACCAAGCAGCTGGGAAGGAGTGGCCACGTGCTTTGATGATGTTCCATGAGTTTTCGTCCTTGCCATGCGATTTGGTGGCCTACAATGCCGCCATCGCCGCCTGCGAGACCGGTGGGGTTGGCCTTGGGGTGGGGCTGTGTTGGGCAGGAGTGAGTGCACACCATGAAGACGGGGTTCTGATGTGGTATGTTATGGTCCTGGCTATGGTTGGAGTGATGATACATGCATACAAAGGACTTGCAAAGCACACTGGTCCGGGTGGGATGGACATATCATTACGATGATATCACTGGTGGATGTTTATGTAGGTCCTACGTAGGTGTCATTTTAGGACTGCTCAGCACACATGGTGAACACATCTCGGAAGCGAAGTTTGGTGTTTCCCGAGTTTTCCAAGGGAGGCACAACGCTGCAATATCACATACTATCCCCATAGTTGTATTAATTTGGATGAGTTTCCCATTCCAAGTGGCGATGTTCAATTGCCATATCAGACTCCTAAAGAAGGTACAGCTTTCGCAGCTGACAGGCAACCAATGGCCAGAAGCTTTTGGGCTGTTGCAGGAGATTGAGACGCAGTGGCTCGGTCGGAAATGCAGTGTGGTATTCAACTGATGGTAATACAACCATGGTTCAACATGGGGATGACCCATGGGTTTACAAAAAGCGGCCGTTGATGCTTATGCCCTCATTCTCCCTCATCTTTGGGCCACAATCCTCTAGATCAATTATTAAAAAAACAAACTTATAAACTTCATCTTTTCTTGGGATCATTTACGCATCAATTGGATGGCAAATGCTTGCCATGTTTTTCCCTTTTCCCATTTTTCCCAGGGCGCCCGGGGCGCCCAGGACCCTGCGACCGGACGTCATCTCCCACTGCTCCGCTCTCGGCCGCGGTGCCTGGCCCTGGGCCCTGGTGCGCCTGGAGCGCCTGGCGACGCAGCCAGTGCTCAACGCGGCAGCTGGGCGGCAGCTGGGCGAGGGGGATCCAGGGGAATTTTCAGGGCAAAGTTTCATGGGATTTTGCTGGGATTTTGAATTTTGGTGGAGTGATTTTGGTGGAATTGATGGACTTTTGATGGTTCTGGTGGGTTGAGAGTTGTTGAAAACAGTCGAACGGCTGGTTGCACTTGGTTGCAAACCTGCACATTGGGTGAATTTGATGGCATTTTTTTGTTGGATTCAACATAGCGAATTGTGATGCACAGAAGTATTGTTAAGCGTTTGGTCTGGAGTCTTGATGATTGTGGATTGATACTTCGTTTGAGTTTCTCACAACCTGGCTCTGAGATTCTTGTGGAAGCCACCTTGGCTTCCGGCTTTCAAGGTCCAAGGTCTTCCTTAATTTTTTCAGGAATGCAGGTGAAAATGACCTTAAATAGCGATCGGATATTATTTTGCTATATGATCGGATCGTTCCAAATGAGTACTTCTCAAATCGTTCATCTAAAACATGGCCAGCCATTTGTTTGGTCCACTGGCCATGTGTCTCCTTTGGCCCCTTTTAACGGCCCAGATCATCCCAGATCTCTGTCCCACTGAGGTGGCGGGCTCCTGTGAGAAGGGGGGCGAATGGCGAATCGCAGTGCAGTTGTTGGATCAAGGCACATGGCCACGGGATTTGATGGACTCAAAAAATTGGGAGAAGCCAGCAACAAGTCTGCAATGACATCCCATGTAATTATGTAATTGTCAAACACGTGTGTTTCAAAATTGGTAAGCCCCAATTTAGATCAATTTAGCGATTTGATACCGCTGTGAAAGAAAAGAATGATTTCCGTCGGAGAAAGTAGTGCTAGGAGTCATAAAAATCCAGCAGAAACACCACAAGGGTCAGGGACCCATGGTACCATTCCTGTGGTGTTTAATGCACCATAGCAACCCTACTGTAACAGATACTGTAGAAAAGTAAAATCGTCCTAAGACATGATATGTTTATTAGAATAGTGATGAACATATATTGGCATATTGGTAAATTACTGTACGATTTTCCATTTTTTTGGATTTACATGGATTTACTTAAACCTAGATCCTCCAAATATCCCAAAACAAAGTGTTTAAAGTACTGCGACCGTGGCACCAGCACCATCTTTTTTTCGGGCTATAGCTGGAAGGGTCTCGGTAGATTTTTTTTCACGAAAGGTGAGGACATCATCAGCTCCAACATCGCCATGGCCGCCTGGCATCAGGCCGAGCGCTGGCCGGAGGCTGGAGATGGGTAGATTTCGTGTGACATATTTTAACAGTGTTCCAGGCCAGGCCAGTTGGCTGATTTACTTGTTAAAACATCTTTAAAGCACACTTTATTGTGTTCTACCCGAGTAATTACCTGGGATCATGATTCACATCGAGAGCGTGCGGCAATTTGGGATGGGGTGAAGACACTACGGCAAATTCTTGGGTGGAGCTGCAAAGTTCAGTCTCTTGGATTTATATAGATGGTGAATCAAATGATCAAATCCGCTAGCTGGCTCCCTAAAATATCTAAATCTGTTCAACGTCCTCCATTGATTTCCACAGGTCCTGGATTTGCTCGCGGAGCTGGAAGCAACGCTGGCACAACCCAACGTGATAAGCTACAGATGCTTGGCGGATCTGCCTCGGCTGGTTGCCAAGCAGTCTTGGTAAGTGGTTAGCCACTAACTACAGGTGACTTCAAGACATTTCACATGGGATAATGGGGTTTACTGGGTCAAATGGGGTTCAATGGTTTGATTTTAATATATAAGTGTTTAACCTCGGTTTGGTGGACTTGCTCGTCTGCCTGGCAAGACATCGCTGGTTGCCACCGGGGAGGTGGGGTGATGCTTGTGATCAATAGACTCCTCGTTTGGATATTACATGGTCGATGATAACAGCTTTGACATTATAATAATCATCGCTAATTACAATGTGTTACTATATGTATATTGTTGCATTTTTTGAAGTTGCCAGAAAGAAACTGTTGAATTATGATGTTCAATGCTATAAAAATGCATTATAATCATTATAAATAATTATAAGATATGATAAGTGTATACCGTATATTGATATATTGTGGGTTTCTTTGAACATAGCGTAGCTGCGCAAATTCATGGTTCATCATCAGCGTATCTCCCCTCGCCTGAGGTGTGGCCATCGGTGCCTCTCAACTTGTGGGGCGCTGGCGCTGGTCCATTGAGCTGTTGCGGAAGCTTCATCTTGCGGGACAGGTGACTTAAGCATCAAAAATGGTGGTAGAATGGAATCTGAATGGGTTTTTTGAACTGGAAATAATATGAAATAATGAGAGATCCCTCTGGTCGTTGAATGGTGTGCCATGGAACATCACCTTCTGAAGGGCATATAAATCGTCTCTGGGCCATTTTCAGAGCTATGTTAAATGACCGGAGGGTAAGTTGTTTTTGAGTTGGGAAGTGTTTTGACTTTGTTTCTTGTATTTCTTGGGATCCAATGGATAATTGTTGCCACTCAAGCTGATACTGATCGAACCCAAAAAGGCCGATGCAACTTGTTTTGGTTGAAACAAATCCAACAGGCACCACATGGCAGCACAGGAACCAATTCAGCCAACAGATTTAGGGATATCATATGATATGATATTATAATATATTATATGTAAGACTATCAGACATGAACAAGAAATGAATGGGATGTCCTGAAAACTATAAGTAGCAGAGCCAGAAAGGCCAAGACATCAGAAGTTCAACTGGCCCTCCCTGGCACCACCAGTTGCCCTCGAACCGTTGCAACCAGGTCGCCAATGTGATCACATACAACGCGGTGATGTGTGCTTGCTTCGAGGGAGGACAGTGGCAGATGGCCGTTTCATTGCAACATGTTTAACATAGCAGAGAGAAATCCATAAATTTTAGTTTCAGGTGGAAGTCATTGATCAATGGATGTAAGAAAGGGATTCTCCCCTGCCACCGGGGGGGCCCATCTCCCAGCAGATTTGGCAGCTGCTGATGCTGGGATCCAACTATCGCTGTCTATGGGAAGCCAAGGTATCAAAGCTGCAAGCAGCCTGATGCAATCAGCAGCAGCATTGCTACCAGCGCCTACTTGGTGGCTGGGAGGCTTTTGGGCATTTTGTTGGGAGGGATGAGTATTTTTCAGTGGAGGTACCGCATGGTACCGCACTTAAAAAAACTGTGGAGTTTTTGGGATCCTTCAATTCCTATGCTGCGCATTTTCAGCACTTGAAGCATTCCAAAGTCACCTGATGCATTCCCAAAAATCTCAGCATGTTTTGGTGGTCCATGAAGCGTCAGAATCACAGCAGCCTTTCCCTGGACTCATCTTGGCCTTGGTATGGCCCCAAGGTGCCAGGAAGCAGTAGCAGCCCTGGCTCAGCTGAGCCAAAAAGCCTGGCAGGCCACTGCAGTGCTCAAAAGGCTGAGCTGCGGGTCCAGCGAGTCAAGCGCAGCTCACATGGTGACGTGGATAGTGTCACTGGATCACTATCCAAAATATCAATCCATCAAGGAACTGGTGTATATATATACACAATTTATATTATATTATATTATATATATATACATTTGGGTAAATTATAACGACCTCACTGCGACCGAGCCCTGGAATCATGGTCAATAAGAGGAATCATCCCCAAATGGCCCTAATTCAGGTTAGTGAAATATTATAATTTACCCAGATATAAATATATATGTATATACATATGCATATATATATAATGGTATTTATCTTCTAGTAAACTCACATAGAGATGGAAATTCCACCATGAATGCAGATTTTTTCCAAGGAACATCTTTGGATTTCCATAGCTATGGTCACTGGAGGCGGTACTCAGTACTCTATGGATGGGCCAGTGGGCCAAATCACACATCCCTACCACTGGTGGTCATGTTACATCCCAAAGTGAAGCTAAGCACAGCGCAATCATACATACCCTCTGGTAATTTAACATAACTTATGGAAAATCACCATTTTTCATGGGAAAACTCACTATAAATGGTGATTTTCCATAGCTATGTTAAATTACCAGAGGGTAATTACTGTACCAATGTTGGATGTATCTCTGGTAAACATGTCAAAATGTTGGTTTGTTCAGAACAACTGCCCAAAAAATCCACCAAATTTGGGATGAGGATCACCAACACCAAGTTTTTTTGTGATGGGCTGAAGCCACCAACCAGTTTTGATATCCATGAATCAACCATTCAGTTATCCATGTGTTGTTTCTATGTTCTGATTTGTTGGGCAAAAATTGACATCCATTATATCATCAAACATATTTGTTGACTATACATGTCTACAGTCTATAGTATATAAATATTTTTGCGTATACATATGCACACACACATATACATACACATAATTTTGACATCTTTGGATAGTGCAAATCCATCCTTGGTAGGTCCTTTGCCACGCAGCAAGCTTTCAGGAACAGAACGTGAGGCAGATCCAGCTACTCAGCAGCTCCAGCAGTGTTCATATTAATCTCAACTATATATATATATATATATGTGTGTCTACATATGTCAGGCATTAAGTATCACTAACATGTTCTAGATTCATGAAAAAAACCCTTCCGCGTCATCCAGCGACTTGGATCATGTTCATCCATTTTCTGCTTATTAATTCGTTGGTTGCGTTGCTCGTTGCGGCACTGCCTGACGACATCTGACGACGCAAGAAGGATGCCGCCCATGGACTCCTTGCAGCGACATGGCATCGAGACCAAGATCTCGCAGGCTTTGGAGAAACTCGACAGAGGGGATCCAGGGATGGTGGAAGATGGGACCCATTTGGAGATATGAGGTATGGTCAATACTCATGGTTAATAACCATTAATAGGGGCTAGTTTTGGATCATATCAAATCAATGGGAATTCCAGGATCCTAAAATGGAGGTACGTTAGTACCATATAAGGCCATATTTTGCTGGGATATTCCCTTACATAGGCCTAAAACATAGGCCTTATATATGGTAGGTACCTCCACTTTAGGATCCTGGAATGGCCATTGATATTATGACTGATTATGCATGGGTCATGACTGATGTCCCCATTGAACATCACCCAACAAATAAAGGTATATGGTCTATAATGGCTACTATAAGGTGATGTCCAATATACCCAAAATGGGACAGTTACCAACCCCTGTTATGACTCTTACATATTAATAGTAACTGAGCCCCAAAAGGATAGAAAAGTGAATCTTCCTATTTTCATGCGGATTTACTTGTCCATCGCTTTTCCTTCGTTTTGGGGGTGACTATTGACTATAAGATTGTTTAGATATACATAATATGTACATACAATATACATGGAATGTCATACAACTAGCCACCGGCACAGCTCGGGCAAGGAGACCTGATGGCAATAGATAGAGAGAGAATATATCATACAATCGCAACATTGATCATACATCCAATACACCATATAACATACTAGCAGTAGTATTCACAGTACAACATATAAGTATTAATACAGAAGTATTTGATGATGCAAAGTGCATCGTATTTATTTAATTTTATTGGCATAGCTATGCACATGACAGTTACATAGTTGACAACAAATCCGGTCATGAACTGGTTGGGATGAACGGGATGAACATCCAAGTGAGGACATGTACCATCAATTGCCAGTAATTGGGTATTCCAACGTGAACCCCTGGGTAAACTAACATAGACATGGAAAACCAACGGTTTCCCTAGGAAAACGAGCTAGAAATAGTTGGTTTTCAACATCTATGTTAGTCTACAGGAAGGTATCTTACAGTTGGAGGGACCTCAACACCCTGATTACCAACCTTCTACTCTTGCGCTACTTGATCTGAACTTGATCTTGGGAATCTTTCCAGTAGCAGACGGAAATAAGGACGAGTCAAATTGTATGGGCCTGTTTCCCATTCGTGAGTACTGGGTACCATTTGGAAATGCAGAAATGTCCAGTACCATTTGGAAATTGCTGAAATGAAATCAGGCAATCAGGATTCCTTATTCTGCCTTAGCTAAATCATCCGGATAAATGCCGGATAGGCGGGGGATTTCCCATTGCCACTGTTTTTTTGCAAGAGAGTACCCAGAGTTTTGAATCTTTTGAACCATACCCAGAGGCCTGATATATGGCCAGGCTTTATTGATCCAAGCTTTATTTAAGATTTCTTCTTTGAAAATCAACATCTTGATGCATGCATATATGTATGTGTATATACGTACATACATGCGCATAGTATATTTCAAAAGGCGATACAGAGCGGTTCACCTCCATTTCGGCATGTTGAAGGGGTAGTATTGATACTCCAAGCATGGTTTCTCTCTTCATAGATTTTTGGGTCCCAGCAACTCAAGAGAGCATCCTATCTGTGCTGGTGACTCCTGTGTCTTGTTTCGGTGAGGCAAACGGCAAATCACTGTTTTGCCTGCCACTTCCTACCCTTCACCCAACACGCCCAGGAAGGTGAAACAGATCCTTGGGGCCGAGAAGTCACCACAGATTGCAGGCCACCTTCCAACATGTTCTTGAAAGCCATCCAAGAAAACTTGGAAACACATGGAAATGCAAGGAATTCAAGAGGAACATCACCTTCCAAAACGCCAGGTTTCCATGTGGTTCAGTGTTTTTTTTTGTTGGCAGGTTCTTTAGAACTCAGAACCCGAATTGTTCATATGTTTCAGTGTTCGATAGGTTCAGATGTTAACTGTTATATATAATAGCTTTAAGTCTTGGATAAAACATGCATGTGCTCTGTTTGCACGGCCCTTGGTGCTTTGTTGACCTGCCTCAGGGGATGTTCATCATGAATATGAGGCATCACCGGGGCCCGGGGCACAGTGGTGTTCTTCTCAGCAGTGGGAGAGTCCACAGTGGGATGATTATGATATACCCTCTGGTAATTTAACATAGCTATTGAGAATGACCATTTATAGTGGATTTTCCCATTAAAAATGGTGATTTTCCATAGTTATGTTAGTTTACCAAAGGGTATGATATATTATGATCAAGACATTCAGAACAAGTCATGTAGATTGAACCCCCCGTCTGTGCCGTAACTTTCTAACCATGGTTACCAGATGTTACCAGCCACATCAGCCACATCTAGCCTGGAGTCCGTGGAGTTTTCTTTTAGGACAAGTACCTCCTGGTGGAGCGAGCCACGAACATGGCGGCGGCCGCCGAGTTGAACTGCCTGGGCATGTTGGGCCTGACGACTCAGCACCTGTCCACCTTGAAACAATGGGCCTCAGGAGATCACGACCCGGGGAGATGATGGGAATGGAAAGGTGGAGATATGTGGAGATTCTCCAAAAGCAGTTGGGGCAGGAAAACCATGGCAGGAGATTAGCCCGGCTCAGATAGAGAGAGTTGGATTAATGTTCGTGCATTTTCTGGAAATCATGTGGGAATGATGTTTCAGATATCTGATCAAGTGTACACTTCTGTAAGAGCCGCTGCACCAGGACAGGAGGTCTCACTGCGTTTCAAATCCAAAGAGCAGTGCAACTTCCTTCGAGAAGAGACACGAGAAGAAGAGGCTCCCAGGAGTGATTGCGTTCTGCTAGTGTTTTTGGGTGGTATGAGTTGGTGCAAGATACCAAAGAAACGATGGATTGATGGCTATGCCGGGTATGATTTCCCCATGTAATGCGTGGTTTGTTTTCCAATGTGTACACCATGTTGTCAGTGCATTGCATGGCGTGGGATCGATCATTCCCCAAAACACGTTGCTGACACATTCCCCCAGCAATACCTTTGAAAACAACAACAACAACAACAACAACAACACCAACAACAACAACAACAACACCAACAACAAAAAGCGGGTTCAAACACTCCTACACACGCATTCAAACCTAGTTAATTATACATCTTGTCTACGTCTACGTACATGTTTGGGGGATCCGCTATGGGCGCCGCAGGAAGCATGTGGAGGAAGTCACCGTCGGGGGAGTCTTGCGTAGCGCCATCACCAGCAAGGTGGGGATGCTGCAGCGCAAGCTTGCTGCAGCTGGTGGTGGTGATGTCCTCAACCTGGCACTGAATCAGTGGGCGATATATAATAACAATAACAATAGTAACAATCATCATAATAGTTAAAAACAATAATATTAATAATGGTAAAAACTAATAATAAAGACAATAGGAAGAACAATAATTATATGTGCACAGTAAACATCTCTTTTTAAGTGTATTACTATATAATACCATGATTTTTAATCGGAGTAGCTTGATAATTTTGTAGGTGCACCGTACACCCCAAAGGCAATTCAAGGAGTTGTTTCTGGAGAAAATGTACGAGGAGCCCCGAATATTTGGATGCCACAGTTTTCCGATGTTTTCCAGTAGGTTTTTCCTGAGACTTCTGCCTTGAGGCAGGGGGGCTAGATTACCAAAGAGGACAATTTGATACAATTTGCATATATCGTCAGTACGAACATGTCAAAAGGGGAACAATACCTAGATCATCCATGCGGCCTTGGCCCGATTGTTTACAAACATCACTTGGACGTATGGATTAATATATATATATATATACACACATATATATATATATTATATAATATATATATATGCTATATCTGGCGCTGGAGAGAGATACATGGTACGGCTTTTGGAGCAGGTTGCAAGCCTTACATACCATTGGGCCCAGCTGGTGGCCAGGTGGTTACGAAGATTACGGAGTATTTCTGGAGCTTTGAGACGAATTATGTGCTTGAAGCGTTTCTTGCCACGGGGTGTTGGGTTGAAGGGGCCTACACTTAGTAGGGGATAGGAGGAGCTCCCAGCATGGCGCTAAGATTTTATCCTGAGCATAGCTTACATAGCTTTTCTCATTCACCTTTGTTTGTTGGCACGAGAACAAACAAATTCTATGATTCCTGGGCACAGCTAGGGTTCTTGGAGGTGATTAACCAAGGTTCAAGGGTGTTGGTGCAGAAGCTTCTGATCGCTTGGTGCTTTGGAGCCGCCAGGGGCAGGCGGAATTCTCTCCTGGATATGGCGGGTGGTGGTTTCCTGCTTGGTATCTGGGATGAAACCCACCACCCTAGAGATTAACTATCCAAAACGGTGGCTATGTTGGATTGACTGTAGCATGTATCATTGGTATCATCTTTATTTGTTTCATCCAGCGAGTCAAGAAAGATAGATAAAACAATTGTTGAAACTGGTTGGATTACTTGGGGGAGTAACTGGCTAGTAACCATAGTTGTAATATGTCGTAACCAATCTTTATATTATATATGGGGTAACCCAAATAGGGGACTCACTAAACATGGTCATCTACCACTTGTTAAGCAGGAAGATCCTCTAAGTATGTAAGTGAGTTGCAGCACCATGCAGGACCTGATGTTGTAGGCATAATACAGCAACCTTCAGATCTCCATTTCTTGGGATTTTTACTGGAATCAGTAATTAAATGATGGTTTGCAGTTTTGATCTTCGAAAAAGACCATCGCTTCACCACCTGTTATTAATTCCTGATACTTGCTCCGAATGGAAAGAGAGAGGTAGATAGACTTAACAACCTTTTTTCCCCACTTCCCCACCAAAAAGCGCACGCAAAATACGCAAAACACAGTTTAGTTTAGTTTCTGTCCCTAAGATATCGATGCATATCGATGCCAAGAAGGCCTCTCACCGACCAACCTCCAAGACCACAGAACTGCAACTTGTAGCTCCCCCCAAAAAAATCAACCTCCAAATTTGGGGGTGCAGTTGGGGGTATCAATGTACAAGCAAGATGGTATAACCGGATTTTAACCCCAAAAAGTTGGGATAGAACACCCAAAAGTGTTCACCGGCCAGGTGGAGCTGAAGACGAGCGCCAAGTCGCCAGCGCCGCATCCGGAAGTGCGCTCTCCGGCGGTGAACAAAGAGGCGCTACAGCAACCAGGACTCGACCCATGGAGAATGTTAGATTTGCATGGTACAATTTCGGGATTTTGCATGATTTTACACCACATACTGTAAATAAATATATATATATATAAATAATAATATTATAATATAATATAATATAATATAATATATTATATTATTATACTATAATATAATATAATATAATATCATATCATATAATATAATATATATATATATATATGTATATATATATATATATGTATTATGAACCATATTGGCAGCGCTTCCGAGATTTTAGGGTGCGCTTTGTGGTTTTTGTTGGTAAAACCTATGGTTTCCGGCCATTTCGTCCCAGTGATTTCCGCGGATTATCATCCATGAGGGCCCCGATGAAAATCAACCAGTTATGGTGTTATGGAATGACATTTCTGGTTTTGGTAGATATAGTATGCTAGTAATAATTGAAATAATAGTAATATATATAATAGTAAGTAATAATAGTAATAATAGTAATAATAGTAATAATAGTAATAATAGTAATAATAGTAATAATAGTAATAACAAGAAAAACGCAATAATAGCACTAATAGCAATAATAAGAGTACTAGCAATAGTACTAGTACTAGTAATAGCAACTGTAAGAGTAATCATCATCATCATCATCATCATCATCATCATCATCAGCAGCAGCAGCAGCAGCAGTTTTGATCAAATCACTATGAACATCCGCCAGCTCGGTGCTTGCGGAAGGTGAACATCAGCTGGTTGCTGAGAACTCTTGCGGATCCTGCGACCCCCTCCTTCGCCATCGATCGCACCATCAAGAGCTGCAAGACACCGCGGAGGAATGAGGACTGGTACCACGGAGGAACTGAGAAGACCTGAGGTGGGTTGGTCGTGTCCAAAACCATAGAGGATTTAAACTTAAACAGCAAAAATGTGGTTTTGGCGGATTTGACCATCAAAAGTTGGGGATTTCACTGGTGCATACACACGGCTTGGTCCAAGATTGGAGGATTTGGGAGTGTCCCATTTAGTAGCCATCAATTTTGAAGGAGCCAAGTGCTGAACATCTTGTTGTTGAGTTTCTTTGCAATGGACAATATTCGAATATACATGGGTGCGCTAACATGGAACCCATGTTTTTTTGCCCAACGTTAGTTTTCGGGAGAGTATTTGACGTCAGGCATGGGGATTGAGTTATTGATCTACAAACTGGGGATATTCTCATTAAACTGTGCTTTAGTCTGGTGCACTGTGATGTGGATGACGGGTTCATGTTGCCAAGCACTTCACGCTTCAAGTACTGTTCTTTGGCGTGCAGGACTTTGACAAAGCCTACGAGCATTTCATGGCACTCTCCAACTGGACAATGTACGTAGCAGACTACATCAACCATCTTCGAACTGTACAGCCTCGTTGCTTGGACCAACATGGACCAGCTATGTCCCAATGGGTGGTGGTTGGCATCCTGCAACAAAATTTTTCGGACGTTTTTCTGGCATGTAGATCTTGAAGATATGGATGAGATTAAGAATAGATCAGATAGTTAGATATACATACTTCATGATGGTAGGATGAGGTGAGCAAAGGTAATACTTTGTTTCTTCCTGAAATTCTTCCTGTTTATAGTTTATGGATTGGACTCGACATGAAGGCACGGGCATGCATTATATTCTATACGTAGAGACGGACAGAGGCTATAGATGGGCAGCTATAGATTCTACAGCTTTTGGATCAATACAACAAGATGGATCAAAGGGTTTCTCATGACTTAATTTGACTTAATGCATATTTTCTCCGGCATGAAGAGATTGAGGCTTTTAGTTGGTTGTTATTCATTAGCTTTTAGGTGTATTGCACATGACATAGAATATCATGTTGGACAAACTCAGACCGGGAGACGTAAAGAGAGGGATTTTGGGGCCGCTGTCCCTGTGAGATCCTGTGAGGCAAGATTGATGACAGCGCGCTCTCCCTGGAGCACGTTTTTGTGCCTGTCACGCCCATCATGTTCAAAGAAGGCATTGGCGAGATTAATGAGACCTGACCAGACGTATCGGTAGTCAAAATTTCTGATCCATCGCCAGGTGAGTCTTGCTGAAAGCTTCCAGGAATATGAATGGATAGAAGTGGGCCCTTCAATAAACACAAATCGTCACAAATCCAGAATAATCCAGAATCTGAGAACTATGAGCTATGACTGACTATGATGTTCATGTTGAAAGTTGGGCTTTTTAATATACTTGTTGATTACCCGGCTGGACTCTCCCTTGGAAATCCACTGGTTTTTGAATGGCATCAAACCTGGCATCCTTCAGAAACTGGCTTTGGAAACATGACTTACCCGGCCTGGTAAACATAGAAAAAGCTATTGAAAATGGCCATTTATAGATAGAAATAGTGGATTTTCCCATGAAAAATATGGTGGATCTTTCCAGTTCGCTATGTTAAATTACCAGAGGGTATGTAATTTTCTCATTGAACATTCCCTTCTTTCAGTCCTTTGGTGTAGATAAATTGACACCACATGGCACCGCCATCCACCATCCCTTCGTCGCCGAGGACACCGCAGCTTCTTCGTTGATGTCGCTGCTGCCCAAGGGCGTAGCGGAACCGTCGCTGGTGCTCTCTAGCTCCGCCGGAAATTTGCTGCTCAACGAGCAGATGCGCAGCTTGAAGGAGACCCAACTGGGAGGGTTTGGGCATGGGTGAAGGGGGAACATGGGGAAAGACAGGGAAACCTCAACTTTTTAACACCGGTTACGGTTATGCAGTTAGATTTTCGCGTTTTTTGGGTTTATTTGAGATGGCCCAACCCTCGGCTTAGCCAATGTCCCAGGAACAGCACCAGAACATCCACAGCTGCTTCGCAGGTGACACTGGCATCCTGACAGCGGCCGAGGCCTGCATGTCCCTGACGCTCACCCACATGAATGCCGTGGCACACCAGTGGGTGCAGGCCGTCGACTATGTGGAGTGGCCCTGGTGGCAAGCGGCGGAGTCAGACCTTGCTTACACACCCACCCCAAAAATGAATCTATAGATCCAGCGGGGGAGCATGTTTTGTAGGGGGTATAATATTAGGGGGATGGGGATTTAGGATTTTAATTGTTGGGCAGTGATTTTGGAGAGCCAAGGGTGGTTCATATCCCTACACGTTCGGGTCAAATGCTGTCCCTTTGTGGTTTCATGTGGTTTCATTTTTGTGGCAATAGAACCTGCTCAGTAATTACTGGTACTGGAAAGGATGGCACTACATCAGGCAGGTGGAAAACACATGAAAACACACTAGAATCCACAGCTGTCAAGGTCGATGCTTCGCAAGCAATTGGTGGCAGCTATTGGCAAAGAGGTTTCTCCATCTGAATTCGGGCGCCTTGCTGCAATGGCTGCCCTGAGATGGCCCTGAGAAGGTGGTTGTTGACATGGAGAGCTGGTTGGGGGGTTGAGGTGATGTTTGTGGCCGTTTGTTCGGAGGAATGAGGCTTCCTTCATGGCACCTTTCCCCCACGACATGGCTAAAATCAGGTCCTACATGCGCTTCCACTACCGGAAGCTCTTTTCGGATGCCTATCAGCCGCTCGGCGATGTTGAGCTGGCAGCCTGCTGCTGCGATTTCAGCAGCTGGCTGTGTTCACTTCCTACGCTCCCAACTCCCATGGCTCATTCTCCTCAGTACATTCAGAGAGGTGTCTAGGTGTCGATGATTCAAAGCAAATAAAGATTGCATTTTAGAAGTGATTTGCACATAGGGGCGTTCCAATTGCTTTGTTTGAGAGCATACATTCAGGGATCAGAACATCTCACAACCCTTGCCCATCGTTTGATCTAACCTGGTATATATATATGCCCATTTATTCATCTATAATCATTACTAATCATTGATTAGTAATGATTATAGATGAATAAATGGGCATATATATATATACAACATAATTGTACAAAACATGCATGCGTTATACAATGCCTAGATCCTGCACATCCCGCAACCATCCAACGACCATCCAACGAAAGGCCATCGCAATTTTGCTTCGCCGTGCGTCGCTCGGAGCAGCACGGACCCGAAGGCACTGTGAGTATCGAGGAGGAGTCGTATGGCGAAGGAGGTGGCTCAGCGGAAGATGGGTCCCCTGGTTTTCCCTCATCAAAGGGATGGAAATTCCTAAGATATTGCGAGAATATCCATGGACTATGAGAAGCCCTAATTTTTGATGTGATGAACTTTCCAAGATTTTTCCCGGAAGTGTGTTTATTTCATCCATGTCCTCCAACAGAAGAGCTGGGGGCTACTAGGAATAGTGAATATTGATGAATAATGATGAATATTGTATTTTTTTAAAACCGTATGAACTGGGAAAATTTTGACTTGCTATGTGGCTGTGCGTGTTGGCTTTTCTCTCCTCAAAATCTCGAGGAACGTGAGCTTTGCATGACTTTGAGGTTTCCCAAACCAGGTGACTACTCCAGCTAGAAATGATACTTTTGAGTCATTTTGAGTGCTCCCCACCATAGTTCCCCACAGAACACAGCGGTTCCCTTTGTGTTCTCGGGCCACGGGCTAGGTGCTGCCATGCACATGCCCATTGTCACGTTGGAAAACCATGGCAGCACGCCGACAGCTCCTGGGCACGACGTGGCCACCCAGGAAGCTGGGGGTATGGTCCACGGCATGGTAGTTTCCTGATGTTTCCTGAAATGGGGGAAGCCCAAAATCATCCACAAGGTGTCCTTAGTAGTTGGGAAACCAATTAGTGTTGGCCCTGGCAAAAACATGATGTTGGATGTTGGAAAAGACCATAGTTTGAGAATGTTTGAGATAGGATTTGTCCCAACATGGGCCCAGATGGAGAATATGATGACCATGGCATTTGCGTCGATGATTTTCTCTAATTCCTCAATCCACCAGAAAGGCGAGGCACATACCACATTTGTGCTGCGGGGTATGCAATGAAATATCATCCCAAAACATGACCATATATTGATATATATATATATATTGCTTATAAATATAGCATTCAAAGAATCGATCCTCGGTTGAATCTCGAGCTTAGATGAAGTTGGTTATTTCATTTGTTTCCTTTAATGGGATTCAGTTCTGTGACCAGAAACCTGTACAAGATAATACACATATATACACATACTATCCATAAAATTTGCAGAAGGCAATTCTCTGTTTTCCCACATGTTGGTCCATCATGTGAGCCCCTAGAAGCAGTTCCAAGGTCATGAACTTCCCCTTGAGTGCCTCCACGACGGTGTCCTTCACGGGGCCCGTGCATTTGCACGGCTGGCTGTGCCACAGCTTCTCCGGACAGACAGGATCGGGCTTGTTCCTCAAGTCCCGTGCCAGGCGTGGCGCAGCTTCGCACTGGGGCCGGTTTAGTCACGTCAACCATGGATTTTATAAAGCCCAAATGTCGTGAACATATGGAATATGGTGGGGATTAGATTTCGAATTGCTCTCTCACTATTTTTGGGAAGCCCTAAGTGTTTTGGATCCTCGGTTGACCCTAAGTCTGTTTTGACACTAGATCCTCTTGAAGCATTGTTTGGGGAGTAGATGGGTCAAAAGTTTTGTCAACCAGCCGAAAATATATAGATGCAGCCAACAAATATAAGCTTGTGGGGATGGGTCAACACAAAGTCTCGATGATTCTCAAAATGAACGGTGAGAGTGAACATCCATAAGAACGGCCTTCTTCGATTGAAATCAGCAGCTGCGATGGTTTTTTCATCCATGGCCTTTTGAGTCAATGGTGCATCCGTGGGGGTAGGAAAGAACAAGACCTTTGAACACTACCTTTGAACACTTCTGACACCGTAGAAACGAACAGGCATTAGGGGTCCAGGCGCCATGGACCATGAATGTTCGATTTTGGTCAAACTCGTTATGGAGCTCACAAAAAGTGTATATATATATTATATTTACTGTATTTATGTATATATATTTATATGCCCAGCTATGTTGTTTGGTTCTTGGTTCTTTCACTTGGTACATCCTCCAATCGCAATCACCAACCGCTTAGTTCCGTTTCGGCCCACTGCTGATGTTCCCTAGAGGGTTGTCATTGAGTAAGCCCAAACCCAGAAGTCTCTGGTGGTTGATGATCACATAGGATTGACATGGATTGTTCTTAATAAAATGAATATATAGATGAATATAGGGGAACCACCAATCTCATAATATTAGGTTGTACTAAGTTGTAGTAACTAGTCGTGTAACTTAAGGGATTGATTCCCAGTAGACTCGTGGCATCTCGTGGCGGGTGAGCCGAAACGGCGCAGGCAATTCAGTTCCATGCTGGTGCTGGTGGGCCGCGTGACCTCGGCTACATCCTTTGATCCGACCTATGCGGCCATCGTTCAAAACAAGGACCTCCGACAAAAAATGGGAACCCTCGGGAACCAACAAAGAAAAAGGGAGAAAAAAACGAGGCGAAAACAGGCGAAAACATGATCCAACCCTTGAAATTGATCCAAGATCAAGACTGATCTAGCTGGATTATGAAGAATCTATTGTCGAATGTTTGGGATTCTCAGAGTTTGAGGTTAAATCTATGATGGTTTTGGGACAATTGACCCAATAATGGCCTGAGTCGCCAACTTGAACCTATGAATCGGATTCAATCCCAGAAATCTCAAACGCCCAGTTCGCTTCCAGCTTTGCATTCCCAGTATGTTGTTGGGTTAACTGATTCGCAAAGTATAAAGCTATCAGTATGCTTTCATCGCTGGATATCATGATATCATGGTATATCGAGATACATCGTGTATATACTCCCCATAATGGCCCAATATACCCCATATATACTCCCCATAATGCCCCCATAGATCCCCATAGGTCAGAGCCAGATGATGTTCCCAGCCACGCTTCGACCATGGCCAGGATGAGTTGACGATTCCCCTGGAGATGTCCGTGATCCCCACTCCCAAGGCAGGGCGCCATATGGCACTTTGAAAATCCCCTATCAATGATTATCAATCTGGTTGGTGGTTTGGAACATGAATTTTATTTTCCATTGGGAATAATCATCCCAACTGACTTTCATATTTTTCAGAGGGGTTGAAACCACCAACCAGTCAATGAAGGGCTTCATGGGAAAATCCATTAGACATTGGGCCGCAAAAAAAACATCATCTCCGCTCTGAAGCAGGAGTTCAAGGATGCCATTGCTTCATTGTCGCCGGAGCAGCAGCAGTTTGCCAAAGCCTTCAGGGCAATGCAGCTGGAGCCTTCAGGGGGATGGATGGTGTTGACTTAAGAACCTCTGAAAAAGGAAATCGACATGTGGTGAGTTCACACATGTTCAACAACCAAAGCTCAAACCATCTCAAACTGAAATGTTGAAGGTTTTCTCTTGAAAACTGTTTAATGTTCTTGCAGATCGGTGGTAACTGTTGGACCATGTGTGGCATTCTTTTGGCAAATCTCTGACCTTGACCGCGGATATCACTGTAAGTCAGCTGGGGCTAGAGTCAGGTTCACTAGCCAGCTACCATGGATGAGCCACCAATCCTCGAATATCCTCGAAGATGAGGGGAAAACTTGCTGCACCAGGAATCCCATAAAGCCAGCAATGCATTTCCGCTCATTTCTCTGGAACTCTGGAAAGAGCCCTTGTGAATCCTTGTGACAGGAGAGCACCCTGTTTGGAGTGCTGGTGGTACAGATCAAGCCTCAGCTGGAGAAGCTTCTCAACTTGCCGGACGACAGTTTGACCAAGGAGCCGGGGGAGCCGGGAACCTGGCGGTCGGTTGGGACGGCCCATGATTTGCTGATTTCAGGAGATCAAGTTGACGCAAGATCTCATGGAGCTCTTCTTGCGTCTTGGTTTTGGATGGGATGAAACGATAAGTAACGATAGTCCCAAGGTTTTAACGGACATATTGATAGTACAAAATGAAGAAAGACACATCTAAACATGTCCGACTTCATCACTTCTCAACACTCACTTTTTCTTCGATCCATGTCTATCTAGCAGGACCACGGCCCAAAGCCATTTGCTCTGCCTCCCAAGGAAATATCAGATCCCCAGCGATTTGCTCTCCTTTAGTGACTTGTCGCATCTTGTCGCCTTGTCGCCTCCAGTGGGTGGAAGATGATACCTCCTTCAGGCAGATGACTGGTTGGATTGCACCCAGGTGAAGGCAAACAGGTGCGAAAGTCCATCGTTAAAATTCAGCAGCATCCGTCCATGATGAAAAATCTTAGGACGTTGAAAGGTTTTCCGGTGCAGGCTTCCCAAACCCAACCACCCTGGCAAGAAGAGTACCACCAGTGGACCAGGTCATGGTTTGGATGAGAAAAGAAAGGGGACTTGATGAACAGGAATCCCATGTCAATATATTGGCCTGGTGCGTTGCACTGGCAGTTTAGAGCCCTTGAACCGGTTTGTTTTTCAGCCCCCAACCGCAACAGACCCCCGAACATCATCTGAATAATTACCATGAATATCCAGACATGATTGGATATGAACATAATCCCATTAATCCTATAATTCTTGATTTCTTGAATTTCCCAATTTCATCACACCCCTCTCCATGCCCATCACGTAACGCCGAGGTGAGCCGGAAGGTGCAGCCCATGAGACTTCGGCCACTGAGCGCTTGGCTGCGGTGAAGGGCCATGTAGCTGGGCTGAAGGGTTTCCATGGTGGATTCCTAAGTCACCATAGGTTTCAAAAGTCTAAAATGGTCTAATGACTTAGATGATTTTGGGGGTACCCCCATTTTAGGAAAGCCCCATATTATATGAAATTAATTTTCACTGAATCTCAATAGTTTCATGATTTCAACATATTTCAGCTTCCTATAATACCACAGTTCGCGGTTGGGAAATGAGCTTGAGCAATTTTCAGTTGAGCTGAACCCACAATAACCCACCATTGAAATGACAGGTGAGCTGCACGACGGCATTGGATGGTCACAACAACATGCTCTACCTCTAACCGATGTTTTTTTTGAGAGTTTCCCCTTTATATTTTTTAAACATCTTCAAACTATAGTGAGAGTATATCATAGTATATCATTCAAATGAGTCAAATGACTTTGAGAATGTTTGAAATGTAAGGGGTTGAGATTGTGTGAGATTGTACCGGCATGCTAGTTCTCTGATTGGCTGGTGCCAGGTCAAAGCGATGTTCGACATGATCAACAAGGTTGCCGCCGCGCTTGGGAAGCGTTTGGGCCGTTTAGGCTTCACGTGGCTAACGATCTGACGTTGGCAGGGTCTCTTCGAGATTTCGTCTTTACTGTTTTTGGTTCCGAATGGGCAGATTAAACTTATACTATATAATTCATTATATAATATTGTAATCTATAATATTATTTACAAGTTTATGATCTTATATAATCCCTTGTTTGCAGGTCCCTAGTGTGCATACTCTTTCATATCCTCGCCATGTTTTCTCACTGGCATCGCAAGATTTTTCCCGCAGCTGTGGCTGAACCACAGCACTGCAGTTTGAGTACGTTGCCAAAAATACAAATGCCCTGGTGAATGGATTTCATGCGATAGGGCCCGATAGGGTGTGGAACTGAGCTTGGAAGCTCAACCCTGGAACTGGCTGACTTGGAGATGTTCCACTTCATTTCTTTCGGATCGCCTGTTTTTCGATCCGCGCGGGCATGGGCCATGGGAGGAAAAAGAAGAAGAGCTTGAAGAAGTGCGCAAACAAGCGCAGTACATTGAACCCTTGGACACTTGGATCCTAGTGGATTGGAGATGGATCTACAGATAGTGAGCCCCAAATTGAGATGTTTCAAGTATTAAGATTGTTGAAGTAGGAAAACCCATTAACTAGTGTGGGCTATTGGGTCTTTCTCTATTTTGGGTCCCAGATGGGCCATGATTTTCTCCCAGCCGAAAAGAGCCAAGGCGGACCTGGCGGACCTCTTTAGAACTACCGGATCTTTGCCCAGCGCCATTCAGCAGGAAATGGCACCGTATCCAAGTGGGAAAGATGTGTCCAGTTGACAGATATTATATGATATGTTGGAAAAGGGGTTGACACAGTGTTGCATCCTCGTTGAGATGAAAGTGATGACGGCCCCGGGTCTGACTTTTGAACACTCGTCAAGTTTCCTAGCCGTGTACTCTCTTGCTTGGCCCCGATTTGAGCGGGACCCAGGAGTGTTCAACGCCCATGCTCGAGGCGATAGAGTGCGAGGAGCGCGAGGAGTGCGAGGTTGAAACGAAAGTGCACTCCGGCATCAAGAAAAAGGGTCGATCGCCACTCGGCAGGATGGCCGGGCCCGGTGTCTGGGCATGATCCTTTGCCCCCTGAAACAATATACCAAATTCCACTGCGCGAAATATCTAGAAATCCTATGAAATCCTGATTTGGTTAGTTGTGAATCCCTTACCTGCCGTATTCAAATTTAGGGGTAGGAGATTAATGCCAATCCTATATCTATTATCAAACATGTGCATATAGATGTGCAGCCAGATGGATGCTCTGAGAAGCATCTTGTTTTGCTTACATCGTACCGGTTCAAGTTTGCAACTGCCAAGACCGGGTGAGTGATTTTCTCTGGCCTTGGTCCGTCAGGTGTCGGATAGCTCTTCCAGTTGCAGTATGCCCCCATGTGATCCCCTAAGAAGGTGTTGCAGAGCCCTTAAATTTTGACACACCTAATTCCAAGCATGAATTCTTCAATTTCCAATGGCCAGTAGAGAACAAACAACAAGAGCAGAAACAAATTGTGTATCAATTTGTCATAATTGACATTTTTTTAACTATATATTATATTATATTATTGCAAAAAGTTCATATTTTTTGTGAATAACATAATGAATCAAACATACCGAGCACCCAAGGCGCGCCGCCCCCGCAGCGTCCGTGCCTGCGGCTCCCTCGTCCGCACCCTCCGCGCCTGTGCCTCCCCCAGCGCCGCCGGCGCAGACAGCGGAGGCGGCAGCGTCTCCGCAGCCGGCGGAGGCAGCACCGGAGCCGCAGGAAACGCCCAGCCGCGAGGTGAAACCAGCCCAACTGGGCTCATGGGATAGTGCCAACAGCTGAAAAATGGTGAAAATCCAGTGAAATCCTTAGATTTTCTGGTGTTTTTGAAAGTTGTGGGGGGAAGTGCTTTTGATTTTGATGTGGGGGAAATTGGTGCTTTTGAGGTGGGGGAAAGGCAGAAAGACATGGAAATTTGGCTACACGTGGCAATAGTTTTGTGGATTAGTGGATAGTTCCCAGCATACTTTTCCAAGTGTTGGAAGTTGTGGATCTGCCAGGCACCAATGGAATCTGCCGGTGCCACAGCTGGTCCCAGGGACTATACTCAGGTCATTCGCCATGGGTTTCGGTTGTATGGTTTCTTGGAGCTAGTTCTGAAGTAAATTCCAAAGTTCAATCCCTTCACCCATTTCACTGACTGGCTATACCATATTGTACCTGTGGACCTTTGGCTGGAGCCTTAAATGACAATAATGAATAATTAATAATGACAGCTATTTGGGATGATTTACCATGCATTTTATTGGAACGAATCCTCCAAGATAAGGCTTGGGCTTCAGCTGCGCCAGGTGCCGCAGGAGATGGATACGCAGTTCGAAAAGCTGGACCCCGATAGCTCCCTCCGGCCCACCATCATCAATGTTGGTCGCTCGGATGGAGCTGCTGAAGGTGATTTTCATGAAGGGCAGGGCGGAGATGGTCATTCATTCACGTATAAATGTGCGTTTCCTTGAAACAAATGTGGATCAATGAAGTATTTCAGAATATTTCAGATGTTTCTTGCGTAATTAGCTGGTGGCTTGTAGATTGCATGTGCAGATGCACACCTCAGTATTGGCAGTATAGGAGGTGGTCCTTACCACAAAGAGTTAAGTTGAAACTGAACGCCAAGTCAATCCAAGTCAAAGAGACATAAAAGAAGTCACCCCCAAACATCTTTCTTGGGAAGCACTTGGGACCTGTAAGCCTTTAACCAGCTCAATCTTAAAGGGAATCAGGGAATCCAGATAGCTTGGCTGACCAAAAGAGAAAAGATGTACACTGTGAACATGTTTTAAACATTTAAACTGTCATTTATATTCACTTTTTCTATCTTTTTCTATACATCAACTTCCACTTCACATAAATTTTGCAGGGGCCACTGCCAGGCCATATAGGCCCCCTACCATCCCATCCTGCGCCATCCTGCGCCCAGGTCGGCTGTGGAAGAAGCGCTCCCAAAAGGCGCTCCTGGCAGAGCCCAAAGAGACGCACTTGACGGCGGATGAGCAGAAGTCCGAGAAGGAGCGGTGCCAAAAATGGCTAAAGCCATGGAAAAATACCAGGTTAGTGGATGGAAATAGAAGGAATCCCGCTTTTGATTACCCGGATAACATCTTTGGATCCCTTCCAAGCCATTGGCTGGAAGATGTTTTTTTTTTTTTGGTTTGAAGGGATACCTAAGGTAAGGGATGTGATGGATTTTGACGAATTTTGCTAGCCGACATATGACAGACTCATATGACATGGAAAATGTTCAGGAATAATCAAGGAATGAACGGGTTTGACGATTAATCATGATAAATATATGTATACATAATGTGCATATATATATATATATAATTTATTATAACTATAACATATGTATATATTATATAATGTTATATAAAAATTATATGCATATTATATGTATACATGTATGCCATGATGATTTTGATGATCGTGTTATAATTCTCCATATTTCTGGTGACTATCTCCCCAGGCATGGCAGCCTCATTATAGAAATCACCCAGAATTTGTCCTTGCTCTTGGTAGCTGGCAATTGATTCGCGGTATCCCTTGCCACGCCTTTTGGGCACACCTATTGCCAACTTAATCTGAGTCGGAGCCTTTATGAGCCTTTGATGACCCGAATGCAGGATGCAGCATTCGACTTGTTGGATGCCATTACCAAGCTCTTTGGCGTATGGTGGGTCCGTGATCACCCTTTTCGGAGCTTGATTTGCGTGTTTGCATATCATCACTTGCTTTTCGTTTTTTAAACATTCCTTCTTTTCTAACCTACCTAGGTTTTACGTAATGATACTATATAATATATATAATAATGATAATCTATGATGCTGCATGTAGATATTTCTGTGTCCCCTGAATGATGAGCTTGTGAAACACCAGCACATTTTATGACCTTAAGTAAAAATCAACTAGTGGGATTAACATGGATTAACCATCAAAAGTTACGATTCATGAGGATAGCTTAACCACCAAGAAACATGATGAACTGATGCACTGGAATCTTTATACTATAATTGGTGCTCCAAAAAACTCAGCTTTTCGTTGCCTTTTGAGCCCTTATTGGCTTCGATGAGGTCCGGAGCTCTCCCCTTGAGCCATGCCAACCTGCACATCGTCATCGCAGCCACGCATTGCTTTGACAAGACGGTCCTAGAGACGGTCGTGCAGGTCGCGATGGAAGCCATTGGAGAAGTAGGGGTTTTGCAGATCTGGGGTCTTTGGAAATGGATTCTTGGGTCTTTCCAAATATTATATATATATAATGTATGTATATGTATATATGTATATGTATATGTATATATGGTGGAATTAATTTGAATTGTAGGTACCATATTTGAAAAGAACACTTGCCACGATCATCCCGGCAAGCTGTGAGGTTGCACTAAACTAAATCGGAAGGTCCAGACACAAATAAGCCATGCGCAACATGTGCTCTTCAAATCGCCCAACTGCATTCAAGCTGTTTAGTGGACTTCAAGTTGAACTAATTATCAATCTTCGTTGTCCCTTAGCAAGATCCAAAGTCGTCACAGTACATCTATACAGTCTATACACTTGAATCATGGGTGATTTTGCCTGTTCCATGCCATGTTCACACATTGAACGTCGCCCAGCTCTGTGGGAGTTTACTCAGCCACCAAACACCAGGAGAACGTGAATCCCATCGAGAAAGTGGAACGCTCGACGCTGATCATGGCTTCAACGGTTCACCAGCAGCCGACTGTAGCCCTCATCAAAGAGTCCAGCGCCTTGCGCTTGTTGCAAGCATCGCCGCAACTGTTCCTGAAAGATGTGGCAGCTGCGGATTGATTTCTGGGAGGTCAATTTATTTGATATTACAGCACTGGTAGCAATTCCCTGTTATACTTTTTTTATATAATATCTATCATGTCGAGCGATATCTATTTCTATGTGATACATTTGGACCTCGTGGATTGTTTTGGATGGTCTTCATGTTGATTTCTTGGCCTCTGCAATCAATCCCCGTGACACCTTGTTTCAACTGAGACCCTTGTCCCGGCCACTGGCCGCTGCTGTTAGCTCCACAGGTGCTAGACAGCCCCTGGAGTAGTGATGTCGATGTTACAGTCCGGCACTTTCTTTCGCTGCTTCCAGGGAAAAAATCCGATGCACTTCAGGATTTTGTTGGGCTTGTGCAGAAATAGGAGGTTTATTCTCAGTTGATAGCAAATTTTTCATGGAACAGATTGTTTTCTGTTAAACCACTTGACCTGGGGGTGCCCTGCTTGCAGGTCATCGGGTTGAAAAAAGTTGTTGGGGATGTGGCAAAAACGGATCGAAATGGGATTAACATGGATTAACTCTACAATCTGGGGACAAATCTTGCCAAGTTGAAGGGGGATGGCTTTTGGACCCTGATCTCCACCCTTGCTTCAAGGTGGCATGGCTCCACCCGTGAGCTGAGGTAAAGAACTGCTGGCTCAGCCTTGTCGAATGTCTTCCAGGGATCAGGACGCGCGACTGGCAAGACACCAGACGTGGAGTGGTGCGGAAGGGGTCCTTCCATTAGCTTCACACGTTCCAATCCTATAATCCTCTCGTGCAAATAACAGATATTGAAGTATAATATGACATAATATGACCCTTATTCATCCTTATTCCTTGGGCCCCATGTTTTTTGAGGATTTTTGAGGGCTTGGAGGGTTGATCATGATCTCCAGGAAGCCGTCGCCTCGGTGTTGGGGGGCCCCAGATGGTGCGGTCATGTGCGGAGATGGGGCTCCAAGACATCTCAGATAGCAGCAGGGCCAATATGTGCTATGTTTATCTATGTTTGCCAGTGTCAGATGTTGCAATCCAGTGACTACTCAGACCGTATTATTTACGAATTGCAGGGATCATTGGGAACAATGAGCTACAAACACGACAATATGACAAGCCTTGGCAATTGCATGAGTTTGATGCAATGTGCAACGGGCCAATCGCTGCCTTATTAAGGGAACCTGAAAAACATGCGATTTGCATGAAGGGAATGATGGCCAATAGTGAAGTAGTTCACTTCCGCTGATTCCCAAGAGGATCATGCTATACTATGCTATACTGGTACTTCTCTAGCTTTGATGTGACAGGCCAGGGCATGGCAACTGGAAGCACCGGGCTGTCACAACCCAATGAAACAATATCAAGCATACAGCATACAGACGAAAAATATCAAACAAGTCTCTTTGCTGAAGGCCTGTAAGTATAGACATAGACCATTTTTTTATGGTTGAAATCCCATGAAATCCCTTAATTATAGCAGTTTAGAAACATTTACAACATTATGTATCATGAAAATTATATAGAGATTTTTTTTGGCCTGTGTGAGGAACTGTGCCTGCAGGATCCTGCAGGTCTTAAAATCTCTGATCCCAGGGGAGTCATACTCCGCGTCCAGGTTGGTGCACTGTGCCCAGCACTGGCACGCAGACCTGCGGGTGCCTGCGCTCGATGCCTTGTGCTCGTTGGCGGAGGTATGGCCCCAAGGATGTGGAAATCCTCTACTAAAACATTGTTTAATATTTGGGGGATGGGATTAGTGGCAATAAAATATTATCAAAAATGTGATATGGATTAAGATATGGATTGAGAATGATTAAGATAGGGTATTTGAATGTATTTGAAGTTTTGGCACATATGAACTGCCGATCATGTCTAAAGGATGCCCTGCGATCCACTCCATGCCTGGAATTTCGCGCAAAAAAGAACGGTGTGGCGTTGTGTCACCACCCAAAACAGCCTTGAATCAAATAGGCTTCACAATATTAGATTGCAAGAAGATTCTACAAAATTTGTCATGAAACAATTCCGCATTTTTTTTTTGCATCCGTGACAACACTGCAGGCAACACGTGGTCAGGGTCCATCTGGTCAAGCTGCCTTGAAAGTGGCTGGGCAAAACTTATAGGGATCTAAGAAGTGGTTTATGAAAGCAGAGGGTGACCTACACATGGCCGGAGACAAGACATAAAATCTCATGGTGCAGTTGAACAACAGATAAATGCATTGCCTCGCACAGAGATGTACCTGGAAACCCGTCGACCGTCGACCCGCGCTTTGGGATGGTAAGCCCATGTCAGCCCATTTGCTGACAAGCGTCCAAGGTTTGTCCAAACTTTGTGTCTCCACAACGGAGTAGTTCTACCACCCCCAAAAGGACGGAACCATATCTCCAGCATGGAATAGATGACGTCACTCGTGACATTTTCCCATAATTCTGAGGTTTCCAACTGTTCTTCCTCTTTGAAGGGTGCTACAAAAGCTGAAGATCCACTTGAATCCTGTTTTTGTGAAGCGACCGAGGCCCTTCAGGCCAGCAGACAGCCATCAGCCATGCGGTGCCTCCAAAAGTCCCATGGCCGCATGGTTCGGGTGAAAATTCTGATTGTGATCCCTTGGGTTGATGATTGCGATGCACTGATGCAGTAACACCTGAGAAACCATTGGAGGTTGCACTTTGAAACGAAGAGATTATGAAAATTGGCTCTGGGTAGCAGCCACGTGGGTTAGTTGATCCCCACCTACCAGTGGCGGCTCTTTCCCCTTGAGGCTGACACTGGCGACCAGCTGAGTTCTGATGATTTTCCCCTGCGAAATTCAAGTTCCAATGACTCCAGTCATGGAAGCTGCTTAGGCAATTCAGTGCATGACTTCCAGTGACTTGCATGCTTTTTTCTGCGCCAGAAATGAAAGTTCGCTGATTCTTCAAAGTAAGTTGGTTCTCAGAAGCCTAAAATCCATCACAACAATTCATGGAGGCTGAAGGCTGTAGCGCGGGTGCAGCGCTGACGTGGAAGCAGCCATTGGCTCAAACAGCAAAGTGCATCAATCGCACTGATAGCACCATAATCAAATAGCGCCAGAAGGTGGATTTAACAGGGAGTCTGTACGACAGATTACGACATGCATGGAATATCATGGAATATCATTGATCAAACTGGGAGGTCTGCATTTATCAGGTCTGATGACTTGGAACAGGGTCTGTGAGCAGGACAAGATTTGCGGTGAATCAGTGAATCTGTATATAAATATCCTAAATATGGCGTGCATGCTTCACCTGTCTAAGACATCCGCATGCTTCTCCCGCATTTACCTGACCACGTTTCTGTCTTCTTCGGGATCATCAGATGTGACTGAGTTGATTGCAAGCAAGCACTTTCAAGGAACCGAAGTCTTGACCATGCCAATTATATCCAATTATAGGAATAGGGCCTGAGCTCAGAATCCAATGACAGCTGGGTGTCTGGCGAAGTTCCCATGGAGCTCAGATATCTACAAGACTTGGGCCTTGAAGTAGTATCCTGCGAGCTTCTTGGCCCGGATTGGCCCGGTGCAGAGAGAAACTGACAGGTGGCCAGGATTGTGTGGATGAAAGGATGCAAAACGAAAGGCATGGTGGGCCTTTGCCAGCAATATGTGCAATCATTTGCATAATAGGCATGTATATATAATTCATATATATATAATATATAATATATATATTATAGAGAGAGTACATCAATACAATAGACATATTTCATCATATTTCAAGTTGAGATTCAGAGCTTTCTTTGATCCAGATGATAAACTCCCGACCTTGGACACAATCCCGTCCGACACATGACAGCCTCAGGCTGCCCGTTTGTGATGAGACTCCGGAGGCCGTCCAGGACTTTGATGCCTGGCTCCAAAGGGAGCTGTCTGCTGGCCAGTTGGGAGAGAAGCAGGGACCCTAGCCGAGCACATCCGAGCACCGCAGAACAAAATTACTTGGGAGTTGTCCAGACTCCTGGGCCCCACAATTTCAAGATTGATGTTGTTCAAATAACATCTCAAAGCCAAGGTAGCTAGACTCAAACCAATAGAAACATGTTTTTGCACATGACTGCCACTGGCTGCCCTACAGTGGAGATGTATTATGTAGAAATGCTTCTCTACAAAACCCAGATGGATGTGAAAAATCGGAGATCTTAGAGATCTCCAAAATCCAGCTGTTTCATAAAAAGTTGTTCGTTTCCGCCGCGGCATGTCACCAGGTTCCCAAGCCTTTGCCAACGTCTTGCAGAGGCCGTGTCCAGTGGCAGGTGATACCTGGTGGGTATGTGTTCCAATGCTGTTCGCGAGCGATTTAAACATGATCACTGTATATAGTTTCTCAGTTCCCAGAACTTTTTCATAGATCTGACTTGGTTTGTCCGTGGCAAGCTATGGTTTTTAGGTGGCTATTATGGAGGTCCACCACTGTTGTCCCCTAGTCTCATGATGCAGATTCTACCCATAAGATTGAACCAGTGTCATTTTCCAACTGCACCATGCGATAAGATGCACTGTGATGCAATATGTACATCATACTGACTGATATGTATAATATATATATACACGTTAATAAGTTAATTAATTATATAAGTTGATAAATTGAACAAAGATGAACATTATCATAACATTTATCTATATAACTTAATAGATACATTAATTGTCATTATGACATATGTTATAACCTACGCATACATTTGTCATAACATTTATCATAACATTTATCACAACATTTATCTATAGACCTCCTGCCATCCCCATGGCCCCGGGGCCGTGGGAGGTCGCCAGCTCGTGGCGACGGCGCTTTGATCCGCAGCTCTGGGTGCGGCTCCGGATGTGGAAAAACCATGGGGGAAAGGCGTTGGGAAAATGATCTACAACGGTCTTTTTTGTGATTGAGAAGTCTACAACATTTTGAATTAGTGGTTTAATATGGATGATTATAAGTTGTAGCTGTGTCATGTGAGTGGTTTTGAATGGTTTTGAGATTTTGTATTGCCTGGCAGACTCGATGGAAATTGCTATAGATGATAGGAGGACGAAAATCAAGGCAGGAGAGTTCTTTGCGACATAAATGTTGCTATGCAAAAGCTAAAATCAGGCGGGCTATGCAGTTTATCGACATTTCTGTGCTTCCACAGGTCATCAGGTCCCACAATCCACAGGTCATTCTAGGCTTTACCTTGCGATAGGTTTCTCCTTCATTCTATCGCATATATTTCAATGGACTGGTTTAAGGGAAAATCTTAACCGGAAACCATAGATTTTTTTGGACCGGCGAAACAATGTAAGTTATGTACTAATACATCCCCCATTATATATATATTATGGTGAACATGCAGAACAATATCCATATATTATCCATATCAACAGCTGCAAGAATCCATGATGGTTGATTTGTTATAAATTGGTTTATCGGTTTATGTCATCGCCATGAAGTATATATGTCTGCTAAAAACCCAAATTATTGGAGTTATTCACACCAACTTAGCTAACGATTTGGGGCACCTTGTCATGATGCTGGGACCAAACAACAATGCCGAAGCGCTCGATCGTCGCAGGGGCGCTTGGCCCGGGACAAGTGCTCCACTTTGATCAAGGTGCAGCTGGGATCGGTGTCTGGAGGTTTCCTCAATGGCTATTTGAGGTACCGATTTATTGGAGGATTTTGAAGGTATATCTATAACATTATATTATGATATATCATATATAAGGTCTAAGCCCAAGGCCTATGTAGAGGAATATCATCCCAAACAATGGCCTTATATGGTACAGTAGCTCCATTTTTAGGTACCTGAATGGGCCATTTAATTTTCCATGGGGAACTTTCTCCCTCACCAACTGCAGCACCTTACTTTATTCATAAAATGCTTGGAATGAATCCCATTAATAAGAATATGGCGATTTAATGGGATATTATTTGTGGGATATTAATGGATAATATATATCTTTATATATATATATATGTATATATATACACATTTGTTTACAATTTACAACTAACCAAGTGCAATCAATCCCACCCCCTACACATATTGGGGACCATGGAATGGCAGGAGGCACGGGAGGCCGTACCAGCCATTGATTTTGTCCAGCAGCAGATGAAAGCTGCTTGGCCCTGGTAACTTGTTTGTTGCATCAAATATTACCCTCTGGTAAACTAACATAACTATGGAAAATCACCATTTTTAATGGGTAAATCCACTATAAATGGCCATGTTCAATAGCTATGCTAGTTTACCAGAGGGTACTGATGATTACAAAATGGCAAAGGTGTGCAAATGGATGTTCGTCTTCACATCCCCATGGGAATTCACAGGTTATTTTGGCTGTGGGGAGCCAAGGACTTGGATGAAAGAGATGGGAAAATCACCATCGTGGAAGCTCAGACGTTGCCTGAAAACCGGGCTCGTGGCATCGTTGTGTTTTTTCTGATGGCTACCATGGAGGATGGATACATAAGAGAAACACCCCAAACAACACGGGCTGATTCGAGGTTTGTGTTTGTGAAGTCTGAATTGTGTTAATGCTCTGTAGTACTGGTTGTGCGGGTTCAAGCCCCAAGTGTCAAGGCCATGATGTGGCAGCGTTATATTTGGTTGCCAAACTTTATTGATTAAATCACCGTTTGGCCTGACTATGTTGCTGTGAGGTCCCATGGGACCAAATGGCCCTTGAGTCATCGCTCGGTTAAATCCAATTTGTAGTTGGTTCATCCAATAAAAACTTCCTAAAGTCCATTGGTTTAACCCGTTAATTTAACATGTGTGGTTGCTGAATCCCATAAAGATCCCCCCAAAAAATGGTTGCTTGGCATACCACCCAACCCTAGGGCCCCAGATCCTTGAGCCAAGGACCTTTGTTCCGGTTTGGGTTTCCTGGGCATGTTCCTCTCAGAGCTTCTGCCGCCGGACAGGGTTCAGGCCACCCGGCTGGATTGCGCATAGGGTTGCTGAGTGTTAGGACTTGGAGGGATAGCCCCAGGATATACCACCTGGACCTTTAAAGGTATAAGAAAAACATGTTGACTTTATTGAACTTGTGACACTTTCAGACACTGAGAATGGGAATGAGCTTGATTCGTTTGATTCTAAAGGAGCCAAATGAAGATGCAAAGTACTTTCCTTTGACGTTCTGTAGGGCTGGCAGCCTGGCATTGAACTTCTCACAGCTTTCTTCTGAGACGTCTTGGAAACCATGCCATCGGCCCATCATGATTTGATGGCACCCCAGTTGCGCAAGGCTTGCTTGCTACTGGATCAAGCGTGGCCAATGAAAGGAAGCACAGGCAGGGTGACAGTTTATTTGTTATCTTTTCACAAGAGGATCGTATAGAAAAGTGGAGAGGTCGTTGCTGCAGCAAGATTTCTGAATTCAGCCCCAATAAAACTACACAAGCATTTTGGCCGGCCAGTAAAATCCTTCGGTAGATCTGGATTGATTGTTGTTGTTGTTTTTGTGGGGGATGTGATGTTGCTTGACTGTCAAACGCCCCATTTAAATGACTCCAAACAGCTCACTAGGTGGCCTCTCCTCCCCCAACATAGAGCGAAGGATGCATCTGAGCCCGGCCTGCCACCAGTGGTGTATCATCAACAACCTTCCATTTGCAAGACCCAGAGCTGCTTTAAGACAGTATTTGTGGCAAAGTACTGGTGAAACCATGAGAAACCGCAGCCCAAAGGCGAGATGCCGAGTGTTCCAAGCCGCAAGGGACGCACGCGTTTGAGATTTGGACAGCATGGGAGGATGACGATTAGCAGCCTTGAAAATTGGGATATCATCATTGCTATAATAATTAATGTATCATTTATTTATATTTTTTATTGTCATAATTATTGTGGTTATTGCTATTATTGTTATTATTGGTGTGATTGAATTCTTACAATATGATGGGTCAACACCCATTCATTATACCATTTTTGGCGGGGATGTGCATCGCCAGCTTTTTCCTCAGTTTTTTTTCCCACTGCTATATGTTTGGGATGTATTGATTATGAGTATGATTTGATAAGAACTAATGAATGAATCGTGGGAAGTTGATGGGGGCTAAAAGGCCTGGGTTGGAACCGGAGTGGATAGGTATAGTTTAGTACTAACTTATCATAACTTATCTTTCGCTATAAATCGGGGAAAATAACGGACAATGCAGCTAAAACGAAAGTCTTGTTTGTCTACTGGGTATCGAAGATTGGCAGCACACGACAGCACAAACCCCTAGAGAGAGATTTAAGCTGGTGAAGGGTAAGCCAAAATGGTCAAAACATAATATCGTCTAGCAGCAAATGCAAACACTGTTTCATACCATTTATATCCATGCTTAATTGCAACACATCCAATATCTTCAAGCATAATCTTCAGCCACCAAGGAATTGGGATCACATTTACAATCTTCACTGGCCAATTCCATTGGTCACACGACGTTGCGACTTGAAGTTGCCCTCCACTCACCTGCAAATTCTGTCCCGATGCTTGGTGATATCGCGGTTCTAGAAAGCCCAGAAATGCCACAGGCATGTTGCAGTTTCTTTTGATGATGCTTAATTAATGTAATATATCTTGAAATTAGATGAAGTAGGAATTATTGGATGTGTTCATGTGCTTATTTTTTGGCTGAAAAGCGTCGACAAAAAAATCTGAACGGACCAGAATACTGGTGCTGAAAACTCGTCGTCAAGATTGGTGTTTTCATGGTGCCATTGAACACCTTAGAGCCATGTGAATTTTGATATGTCACCATATGAATCCATATATTATCACCAGATTCAAGATATTCAAACCATATTATTCAACCCATACCCCCCGGTAATCAAACGTGGCAAGCTCATGCAAGCTGGAAAAAACCTCCATTTCTATACACATATCTATAGTGGATTGCCCCATCTTTTCCACATTTTTTCTCAGCTACGTTCTCCTCCATTTGGCGTGGGGATTTCCATGGATTTCCCATCTTCACAGGGGATGTCCCATATTTTCAAAATAAAAAACATCCATGTCTGTTTGTCCCATATGTTTCCATGTTCAGAAAGGGGGATTTCATGGGATTTCCATCGATTTCAACCACGGTTCAACCGGTTCCTTTTTCGGCACGGTTAGGACTTCTGGAGCCCGCACCTGGGCCCGTCATGATTTTGGGCATCCATCTCTGTGGAGCCTTGGTGATTGAAGCTATGGAAAGTGGAGGAAAGTGAGGATTTAATCCATACATCATTATACCACATGGAAAAGCTATGGAAAATTGATGACAATTGGGTTAACCTATGGAAAATTGAAAATTGGGAGTTGGCTGATTTTTTGTTGGTGGATCATTCATGACATGAAAACGGGATATTAGAACTGGAAATAAAGGGGTGGCCCTCTGGTAGACTAACAGAGCTATGGAACATTTTTTCATGGGTAAATCAGCAGGCCATTTTCCATGGCTATGTTAGTTTACTGGATGGTAAATTTACAGATGGGTGATTTTCCATGGCCAACTGTTGAATTACAACAGGGTCCGCCTTTTGGCAATCCAACATTCCAAGAAATATTTGAAGGGAATTGAGGGATGTGTTCCTTCTTGAGGAAACCCCAAACGGTTTGGGTGTCAATGTTCCATGGGACCAATCCATTAAAACATGGCAATAGATCACAGCAGCATTCTTCGAGGGGGAATCATCACAACAGGTTGCCTACATGATCCCCTGCTTGCCTCGGGCCTCGCTGAGGGTTGCTGTCCATTCGCGCCATCGAAACCTTCAATCAAGGGCCGAAGTGTGTTGCCTTTGGGTTGAAACCCTGCTGCCTCCCCTCGATGCATTAGGAGCCTCGGACGTTGGTGGAAAGTCAGCCAGCCAGAAGTGGACATGCTTTTTCGTTGTTTTTCAGGGGTCAAGGTCCGAATCGTCATAAATCATCATAAAACATCATAGAACCATATAAGATCTATCACAATTCCAAGCCAACTAATACAAGAAATCCATGCTGGTTCGACCCCTCGCTGTGCTTCGCCTATCGACCGAAGTTGTGCCTGGATCCCTTGATCTCTTTTGCAATTGCATACTAATACCATTTTTTGTAGCAGCCCCCAAAAAGATAGTCACATGTTTCCAGAATACCATAGATATCCATATAGATGATTTTTTCCATCCCCCGTGGAATTTCCTCTACGAAATGGTAGGGGTTAACCCCCAGAAACGCTACCATAATGATATAGGCTATAGGCATGTGTTTTAGCTTTTGTGAAGGGGTTGGGTGCTAAGACCATAATGTAAAGCAACAAATGTTTATAAACCGATCTGTAGTGACCTGGTTTTTAAAAAGTGCCGATTCAGTTTTGGCCAAGAAAATTATAAACCAAAACTGAAAAACCAATTTGTAGTGATTTGGTGTGCTCAAGGTGCCAACTGCTGATTTGCAAGAAAAGGCAAAACCATTTTGTAGTCATTTTCGGTGTTCAGTGCTGATTTCCAAAAAAATTGCAGAACCAATCTGTAGTGACCTTGGTTTCTGACAAATATTGATTCAAGTTTTGTTAAAAAAATGAACATCAAACTGTAGATTCTTTGGGAGTCAATGCTGGTTTCCAAGAAATTTACAGAACCAATCTGTAGTGACTTTGTGTTTTCATTTGTGATAAGTGCTGATTTCCAAGAACACTTAAAAACTATTCTGTAATATTCTGTAGTGTTCTTAAGGTTACCACACCTCAAAATCAAAAAGCAAAGAGACCCTTTTGTAGATGTTGGATATGTTAGCACTGCACAACACTTCAGCCGCACGGACTGGTTTTCAGGAGCCATTTGGTTCTCTCACTCTGGGAGCCCAAACTGATCAAACGATGCTTGCCACTAGCATCATATGTGTTCATATGATTTCATATGTTGGAATATGTTGAACTATATATATTTTGAAAAACAACAAATTAAAACAAAGTTCGCAAGTAGGTTTGGATTTACAGAATGTTTTTTTTTTTGTTTTTTTTTTTCCGCAGATTGGTTTATATCCTGAATAACTTTACAAAATGGTTTTGTTTCTTTTTCAGAAAAACATGAGAAACACTTTTTTTTTTAATATAGGAACACTACAACATGGTTTACAACATATTTTTGGATTGGACCACAGATTGGGGTTGGCTTTACAAAATGGTTTGTAGTTTTTTTTTTGAAAATGCTAACTCATTGTTTCAAAGATGATCGAGCTCTACAGAATGGTTTATAAAAATCCTGGAAATCTGAAGTTATCTCTACAAAATGGTTTGTAAAATATTTGCTACAAAATGGTTTTGAATTGTTTTTCCTCAAAATACATTTCAAAACCATTCAAAACAATTTTTTTGGGAGTCTCCAACCATTCTGTAGTGGGGGGGGTTGGGTGCCTCTACGTTTTGGCTCCCCCAACCCACCCCCCTAAATTCCAAGGGGGATCCTTTTCCCATCTTTTCCCATAACGTCCAGGTTTCCAACTTTCCTATATTTTACATGGGTTACTGTAAGAGACTGGAAGTTCGAATTTTGACTCGTCAAATCCAGATTTTTGGTGGTTGAACAAATCCTGAACCAGGCTCGGCAGCAGGTGCGCTGGACCTTGGGTGCCCATACCTTTGCCGCAGCCGAGGCACCCGGCTGGAGAGTAGCAGGAGGATGATGGTTCTCACACCGCGTGTTCTGATTTTTTTCACATCCCCAGGTTAAGTTGGCTATAAGTTATAGGCTATAGGCTATAGGTTAGGTTGTCAATATCAAGATCCTCATTCGGATGATATTTGTTTTATATGATTTCGCCACATTTTTCAGGGTGAACTGTGGTTAACCCGCGAAGTTTCTCCACTTTTTTCCCTTCCAAAATGCCCCAGGTGTGCTGCTGGGGCAGCTACCACCACAACCGCTGGACGGGCCCCGTGAAGGCCACCATGGCCCCACGCTTCAGATGTTGGGCGGAACATTTGCACCGCGGGATCCAGAGCCAACGCCACTTGGTGTCCGCCCAGCTTGCCAAGAACAGGTGAAGGACACAAATGAGACAAATGTTTGTTTAAAGATGCTAAGAAAATAAGGTCTTTGATAATTTGATGTATTCTCATGTTTTTATTGTTCCCCTGAAGTTTTTGTTGTATGTATATATATATATATACGCTTCAGACATATATCCATCTATTCGTATGTGCATGTGGTATCGTATATGTGTAGCATGTGCCATGGTGATGCTCCGGAAATGGTGGGAAAGTTAAGACTTCCCCTGGATATCACCGCCCCCAAAACCAACATAGAACCTGAGAATCACCAAGCTTTAGGGGGAAGTGGCCTTCCCTATTTGGGGTCTTTGTTCGTTGGTGGGATGGTAACTTGTTTTGCTCCGAACGCCTGCGGTTGGAATGTCGGAACATTTCTCATAGCGCCACAGTGACCAGCAGAATCCTGTTTCACCAGCAGCAACCAACAACGTGCGCGCAAGATCCTAAACAGGCGAATTGTTTTGCAGCTCTTGGGCATCCCCAACACCACTGCAAGAGATAGTTTTGCCATGTATCATCTTGCTGTGGACAGAATACCCTGTTCAACCATTTTCAGTTTTCATGATTGTGAAGACTCAATAAGATTCTCCTCCTGAGGATGATAGGATTGATATCAATGGATATCGATCATAAAAATTGGGATTGACATTGAAACATTGGAAGGATCAATGTTGAATCATCCTCCATGCATGGAAATGTTTCCCCATTTCAATGAGGCGAGTTTCCTTCGTTTCGTCTCGGGGAGGGTCCCAGCCACCATTGGATGTTTTGACGAATGGGGCTACTAAGGGAAGGCCATTGTGAGGGTAGAGCTGGTCGAAGCGCACTATCAGGAGACATGCTGAAGGTTTGCCTGTGCCATTTCAGGTTTGCCTGTGCCATTTCAGGGTGTGGGTAAAGATATGTCAAGAATTGAAAATGGGATGAGATGGCTCAAAATGAAAAACTGACGGAATTGGTGCTTTCTTGGTAATTTCTTGGCATTTTGGGCAGGAGAAGGAGGCTACATATCATTGTTTTTCTGAATGCCCCATATGGCTAACGGCCAGTTGCAATGGTGGTGACGTCGCCTAAATTACTCTCAAAATCACAGATGCTTGGATGCACGGTTTGGTTGCAGGAAAACTCGGCACTTCTCATGGTTTATCCGACAATTGGACGTGTGATACCCTTCCAGTTGTCTCCTACATGTTTTTGCACACATGTGTAGATAATCAAGCATGATTGCGGCTACATTAAGTGACATATAGCCAAGCACTCTCTATAGTTTGCCTTCACTGCATACATATACCCTGGGACCCTCCGTAATCCAACATGGCTAGCTGGAAGATTAGTCGCCCATTTAGTTCATTTTAGTTCAATGATTTTCCTAGCTATTAAACCTTCATCTATAATGGATGTGTTCATGATTTTCCCAGGATTTTCCTATGTTTTTTCCAGCCATGTTACAGAGCTTCCGCTGCAGGACACCTATCTTTTCGCTTCCAGGCCCTTCTCTGTGAGACGCCCAGCTTCTCCGGTCGCTTCGCCCAAGGTGCAGCCAGCTGGAGCATTTGATAGACTATGATGGCACATGATAATGTATAATACTTGTATGATGATATATAAATATATAATTAATATGTGGTAATATCTGATAATATGTGATTGTGATAATATTCTGGGCGGTTGCCCCAAAGAATGCTTCTTTGCATGCATGCTGGGTTTGTTTACAGTGTGTGCATGCATTTTTTTTCAAAGAGACAGGCTATGTCATACTCTCTCGGTTTGTGTGTCGAACAGCGAAATGCTTTCGTTTTTGGGTAATCTCGGGTAGAATTTGGAAGTTGCCTTCCTTGTGAGTTCGGTTGGTTTTTCTTTCCCTCTGGGGCTTTTGTTGCATACATTTTGACTTGGAAGTCACTTGATGTGATTCTTTCCTCTAGTCCCAGGGGCTTGTCTTTGTACCACTTTCAAGAGTTGGGATTGCTCCTGATAACTGTTGGAGAAAAGGTCCTGCGGGGAAAGAACATGTCAACTGGCATTTCCTGGTGGATTTATGGCTGGTCTCAGATTGCGTTTCCTTAAGACTCAACAGAGCTTGAACAAATGGAGGTTCAAAAGCAGTAAATGCCTTTGCTGAAGCGGATGCAGCACATTCAAAAGTTTCAAACGCAAGATCCAATATTGGCGGACCGACCCGTAAAGTATAAGACTCTGGAATTACATGATGGTTACAACATGTTTGCCTTTATTGCATTTTTTTGCGCATCGCCAGTTTATCATGTGCGATCACCAGCCTATCCCCAGGTGTCCCTTCGTAGTCTTTTGATGTGATCGTGCCATGGCTGGCTGTCGCTCCTATGCTGCGCAGCCCAATGCTGCACCGCTTTACTTGTTCTACGAGACCTTTGCCAATGGGACGCGTGCCATTGCGGCGCCTTTATTGGATGAACGCTCAGGAGCCGGTTCCAACCCCTTGCAGCAGACTTATGAACCCCCGAAAATGGTATGCTTGCTTATGATGGTTGAATATGGCTGAATACTGTAATTACCCATGTTGCTTTAAAGTGATTTAAAATGGATGGACCAACATGATTGACTGGTTGAATGCACCAAAAATGGCGAGTTATTTGTAGGTCCTTAAAGTTTTCAAAGTATTCCAATGTTTGAACCAGACCACACCCACATTACAACCACACGTAAATATAATAGAACACAACTATATATACATATTATGCATACATAACACATAATATTAATATAATGTAATATATGTTATATATATATATACATACATGGACATGTATATATAAAATAATATGTGCATATATACATATATATATTATACACACCCATAGTACACAAACATGTGTTTATGATTTCACACATCGTGGGCGTTTCCTCTGTCAACCTTGCAAACATCAAAGATATGAAGTTCAAACCGAAGGTCTTGTGACACTCCATTGGGAGGAACAAAAGTCACGGCAATTGCTTTCCATGTCAGGCCTATGCTATTACTCTGTGGATTGCGATTCGGCGTTGCCCTGTTGTTCTGCAGATCAATGGGTGAGCTCGGGCCAAACCAACTCGACGAATGTGGTGAATTTGGGCTCGCTGATTGTCTATGTGGCCTTCACTGTCTGGCTAAATCGTTGGATGAACGCCGTGCGACAGAGTTGCTGGGTGAATCAGCATGGCCCGGTGGATGTTTTCTCCCTTGAATTTGAATGGGGCATATATTTTCCGAAGGGATGCGAGGGCTCAAATTTGCCAACAGACGGGCCCACTTATCAGATCTTATCAGCTTAATTGAAGCCCATTGTCTTAGTAGCTAACAATCCCTTTTTTGCGTTTTATTCTTAATTTTGCCCCTTGCCAATTCATGAGTGGTATGGCCCTTTGTCAGTGAGTATGTCTTTGAAATTCTTTGAATGTGTTTGAGAGGCTCAAGGATAGTCAAGGGTTCCCCTAAAATCGTTTAAAAGTCGCTATTTTCAGGATATGATGGCGATGAAGACCCCAGACCTCCCAGTGGCATCCACGACGGCCTCAATTTGCTGGGCGTCTACGTGGGCATCTGCGTCACGGTCTTTGTGTCCATTGCCATGGCTAGCAGCACTCAGCTGGCGCTGCCAGTGCCGGAGCGAAATTCCATGCTTGCCGCCATGGCGTTTTTAACGCCGGTGAAGGATCGGGGGATGGAGTGCAGCTGTATATATTTCCCCACCTGCCAGGTGAGAGTCCCTAGATTTTATCTAAGCTTGTGTTCCTCCTTGTGCCTTCCTCCTTCCTCCTTCTTCCTCCTGCCAGCTTCCTCGCCAGCACAACGCTATCGCAAGCTCGCCAGCTCTTTGGGCCCTGGCAATGCCAGAGAAAAATGTCAGATAACAGATAATGGCGATGGAGAGAGAGATAACATGTCAGATAGAATGCTAGACTGTCAGATAGGATGTCAGAAATTATGGCAGATAAAATGCCCACCTTGTAGAATGGCAGATAGAATGTCATATAGCATGTTCGAATGTATGCCAGATAAAATGCCAGAATACTTGTCGAAGAAAGTATATAATTATAGGTGCGTTTGACATGTTTATTCTTCAATGGTTCAAGGAAATTTAACGCGTTTCCTTATTAGTGGATAATGGATGGTAAAATTGATTAGTTTTTCTGGGATCGTATAGATGGATTGTGTGCATTTGGGTGCCCCATATCCCAGTTTTGTCAAACTCTTTGACTACAATATCTGCTGAATAGCCATTTCCGAATGGGCTAACCAGGGGAACATGCGATGTACTAGAAGCAAGGTTCGCGCGCCGCAAAATTATTCTTCCACCCCCACATGCTATGACTCATACATGCGATGATGGCGACCGGCCCTTGTATCACTAATAGTTAGTGAACTTGCTAATTAGTTTGGAAGTTACTTGAGGTTCTAGTAGAAGTACAGTATGACCGACAGAGTTCAGGGTGGAACTAGTTATAGAATAACCATGGTTGGTAAAGGTTTTAACTCTCTCTCGTGCATTACTTTGAAACACCCGAGAGCGCAGGACTACTTACAGTTTTCTTGGCTACAGTAAGGCGTAAAATCATCCGCAACATAATCTGGCAGCGCCCTGGTTAGGGGATTGGCTGTTCGAAGCATGATTGCCAACCACTCAATGACGGGGATCACATGCAATGAGCTCAATTTTTCCGTCACCAATGCAAATGGGAGGGATGACAGCAGAGATCAGCAGAATCTGAACTCCGCAACCCAGTTTCACTCGCCAGCTGCTATGTTTCAGCAACCTATACATGATCCACTTCGCGGTGATGTGATGACCGCATTTTTGCAGTCTAGACCCGGACCCAGACGCAGCCTCGGAGGACATCTTCCAATTTTTAGAAGACACCACCACCGTGAAAATTACCCTGGCGCTCGGTGCCATGGCGGGAACACCACGGCGGGATGGTCGTTGATGGTCGTTGATTATTGTTCATCCTTGAGTGTTGCTGATGCCCTGAATGTAATCTATGGTGATTACCCATGAGAATCCTTTTGTAACCAATGAAACAGCAGTGAACTCATGAACCGTTGAAGTGTTGATGGTGGGATTGTTTCTCCAGCAACTGCAGGTGCTGGTGACTATTCTGCCATCCGGTGACTTGCCTTTGGTCCTGAAAACAGTGGGTTCCAGGGGCGTCTGCCTGTTATAGCATCGTTGTAACTGGCGGTCTGTGTGGTTTCTAGGTTTCTAGCCCTGGCAGGCCACAGTCTTAAGGCCAGTTACAGCTGGAGATGATCATTGTGTTTATGTTTGCCTGTATTTGCATGTTCTATCACCGCCTTTCTATCAAAATTATTGGCGATATCATCTCCATGGGCAGAAAAGTCCAACTCAGCTGGATGTAGGGATCCAGCTTGATTTCTTTCAGGCCAATTGCCCTGCTGGGGATTGGGGGTGGCTTGGCTGCCGGCGTCATCGGCGCACTTCTGATGACCGTCCTGGCGTGGTGGCCCCAAGGAGCTCCTGCGGCGGCAAGAGAACGGGGACATGGGAAAAACAGGTGGTCCCAGTACAGGATTTCCCCAAAGCAAGATGCGGAATAGTGATGTTCAACACTATATAACTTGTGGGTTTCTACTTCTCTATCTTTCTTTTGGGGGGGTGGTATTATAATGTGCTGCACCCCGATGGTGGCTCCTCGTGTGAGATAATTTTCACTTGCCACGCTGATGTGCGATGATTCTGTGCAATTGACTAACTATATAATCTTTGGGGAGTGGCTCATCATCATATTTGTTAAGTTTTGGCTTCACTGATTCTTGCCGATTCTATTCCTATTGAACCGACGAAGCAATGCCACGCCATCAAATATTATATCTCCAGATACCAATATTGATCACTTTTCTTGGTTGACTGTGCTTTATTGCCATGTTCTTTTCTACAATTGGCTCATGGTATTTTTTGGGCATTTTTCTTTTTGATGATTTATAGATGTTTATAGATTATAGATGCCTAGATATAGCAGTCTTTGGGTGGTTTATCCTGGTTTGTATATTATGACAGTTTGTTCCCATCCTTTTGGGATGCCCCAGCCGTGGTTTCCCCAGGTGATCCAAGTCCTACTTGCGCCGGGCAGTTCAGACGCCTTAGCGCGAAACCCCAACTGCCAGCTGCTGCCGTCAGCGGAGGAGGTGGTGACCACGGCCCGGGGCTTGTGGCTGTTGACCAGCTGGCGCCTTGGTCGTATTATGGGCATCTTAGAAATGGGTTGGAAATACGGGGCTCCTGGTGTCAGAATGATTCAGAATGGTGAATTTGTTGTTTTTTTGCAATTTTTTGCCCAGATCATCCCAGATCAAGAGCACGAGCTCAGAGTGAGATGCAGTAACAAGCCAGTTAAGCAGAATCTGTGCCAGCAGGAGTATGATTTTTCAACAGAACCGCATCATGGTCAGGTCGTGGCCGCTGCAGTTCTGTAGCATGGTGCTCTCCGGCCTTTTGATGGGCGCTCGAGAGTTTGCGATCTATGGCATGGCGACGATTGCAGCACAGGGAGCCCTTGCTGGAATTTGGTTCATGGGAGGCGTGCAAGATCTGCAGCTCAGCGTTGCAATTGGAAAACAAGGCGTTCAACTTTGCCATGGAAATGATCAACTTCCCATTTGTCGTCAAACCCGAAGTAGTGACACTCCAGAGATAATTTTCAACGCTTAGTGGCATTTAGTGGCTATATCCTTGCAGCAATGGTTCAGAAACCTTTGGCACACTTCTCAGACATGACCATTTCAGGTCAATGTCACCATTTGTTTATTTTCGCGTCATTCGCTTTGTCCCTCGAAGCTATAGCTCTTCTGCACACCATCACAATTTATTTTTTTTACTTTCCATTCCCGACCCCTTTCCCCAAGAAAACACAACGGTGGTTTTTATATGTTTATATATGTTTACACATTTATATGTAATTGATATAGCTTTAAACTGAACATCACACACACACACACGCGCATATATATATATATATATATATCATACATTTGCGCATGTTTCCCCAAAAATGACATGACCCAACATGACCCATCATGACGAGGAATCTCCTGGGGTGGGCCACCTTCCTCTCCAACCTGGTTCTTTGCGTCTCCCTGGCCATCTGCCTGGTACTCCACCGACCCTTGCGGCGCAAGATGGGTCTTCTGGGAGCCCAGCTGAGCGAGATGGTCCAGGCATTGGAACCCAGGGAGGTCACGGCCTCCACCTCGAAGGATGGGCTGCTGAGGATTTTTTTTTTTGGGTGGAGTAGTTTTTATATATATATTTTTTTAATATGTTCCTGTAAGCTTTAGTTTTTTTTCTGTTTAATAATAATAATAATAATAGGTTTTTGTTCTCACTATATTATCATTTAATAAAAAGCGGGTTCTATCCCCAAGTATATAATCGGAAGAATGAACGCAGGTTGCCGGCTTTTTTGGTTGGTTGGTTGGTTGGTTTGTTGGTAAGACAAGAACAACCTGATATGTTTGAGCATGTTCCACCCTCTTAAATGGATCAAAATGAGAATGCTTGGGTAAATATTGACCGTTTGGTTGGTTCGGAGTCTCCATTTGCTCAACTCCCAAAACTATCAAACTAGTTCAACACATTAAGATGTCACCTCCATTGACATGTTTTCAGGACGTGTTGAAGGATGGCATCCTCGCCATGATCCTGGACTTGGCCCTGCAATTTGCGGGCACCACCTCAGTCTATGTCGCCGCCTTCGTGAGTTTGCAGGACATGTATCAGCTGAGCGCTGCAGGGGCGGCCCTGCCGCAGTTCTCCGCCTACGCCACGGCGGTGGGCTACTTGGCATTGAGGCGAAACCATGGAGTATCATTCTGCAGTAAACTTCCAAAGATTTGGGGAAGAAAACGTCCTTGTTTGGTTTTGTTGGATATTTTTTGATTTTATGAAGGTTTGCCCGAAAAAATAGGTCATCTTTGTGCCCCAACCATCGCAAATCAGCAAGCATTCACGTGGCAAAATGATGATCGAGACACACATATCAGGGTAACCAGCCCTGAGCCAACCCTCAATGGATAGGTTCAAGGGAAAATATGCATGGCATCAATTTTTTTTTGCACCTTATATAGTTCAGGCTTTCCTGCAGATCCCAAGCCACAGTACCAAGCCACGGCCTCAGGCTATGTGGTGCGCTTGGTGGGCGGTGCTTTGGTTGGCCGCCAGGCTTATGCTGAATTTACCCAGCTGATGAAGGTCATGGTGGTCTTAAGTGTCATGTGCCTTGGCTGCCTTGCCGAAGGTGTTGCTACGGGTTTAATGATGTGTATGGGTCTGTTCAAACATGGGGTACATATATAATAATACTAATATATCATAATATATCCAAAAATCGTTGGTTTCTGTATGCATATATTACAGCCTGTATCATGTTTTTGTTTTTGATAGGAATACTATATGATCAACCATCAATTTTGGATATTTTGGGGTACTTGGACAAATGGGCAGTGAACTTTGTCATGATGATAGTGATGCTGACGACGATGGAACATGCTAACATATTTTTGGACGTGAAAATTCTCAGACAAAGAAACATGGAATGGAGCGCAAGGTATGCCCCCACCACCGGCCCATCACAAGCCGCATGACTGTTCCCATCATACATGATACATCTGGATGAGTTACAATACGGTGCCAACATAAAAAGTTGGGGATAGTTGCCCTCATCCATTTCGCATCATTCGTAATAGGATGTTGGTCAGAAAAAGGTCTTTGGACAAAATTCATGAGACAAACTTGCAGGATGGAACACCCCAAACAGTAAGTTGTTACAAAAAAAATGGCTTGGAGGAGCGGCCCAGAGCACGGATGCTCCGTAAGTTAATGTAGATTACAATGGACGATCAGTTGGATTCTACCCTCTTCTCATCAACCCTGGCTAGCTGGAAGATCCTCACTTAAAAGAGGAGTGTCCCATTTATAATCATTTATATGCCCTCATGTATAAGGCGTTTCCCAGCTAGCCATATCTGACTACCGGAGGGTAAACCATGGTAAACCCTGCCACCCCAAGCATCACACATCATCAGCTGCTCAGCTTGGGCATCATCTCTGCAGTGGGCATCTATTGGAACAAGACGAGTCTGGCAGCCTACTACTCGGTACAGGCCTGTGAGTTTGCCAGTTCCCGGGAATGTCTTGAGATCTATGCGGGCCTCTATGCGGAGGGCCTGGGGAAGCACCTGACCTGCGGTTTAGAAGTAAAAAAGCGTGCCCATATGCTGTGTATATGTTGTGTTTTTTCATATTTTACCGGTGGCAAAGATCCCATACATAGAATCTGGGCTTTCGGTTTATCGGACTTAGACTTTTGATATCTTGTTTTAGTTCCCTTTATATCCTTGAATTTGTTTTCTTATGGTGTTCTCCTGTGAAGGCTGAGTATGGTTGAATGGTAAACATCGGTGTGTTGTTCAGTCTATTGCCTCCCGCTTTCTGTCCACACGTCTTGCAAGGTACGACACCACTATTTTTACTACCTTCGATGCTAGACATTGTTTCAGCTTCATGTTTAGTCTGTTTTTAATGTTTTTTTTAATGGAGGCGGAGAACATTGTTTTTGGCAGTTCACAAGGCACGCTTGCGGCGATTTCCAGCCCTTTGCAGTTGAGTTTGTGAATCCCATCCACAAAAAACATCGAGGATTTAACCCATTTTAACCACCCTAAAGATTATGAGACCCCCCAAAAATCTGGGTCTTGGATGTCTTGGGTGCCTCCCAGCCACGTTCACCATCGTTCACCTCTTGGCGGTTGAGGACGTGTTTGGTCTCACGGCCATGGCGACCTGCATTTTCAATGTGGTCAAGGCTGGTCTGTACGCGTGTCAGGACTTCAAGTACATGGCCGTGGCCTCTCTGTGGGCACCCCGGCGAAGCGCCCTGTGCCATGGGACACTTGGGGAATCAGCACTTTCAGGGTCTTCCAGGGGAAACAAATGAGAAATGTCAGGAAAAAAACATGGAGAGACACAACCACCAGGCAGGTTGATTGTGAGGTTTGATGTTCGAAAAGTAACGTTGAGCAATATCGCAGGGACCCAGGAAAAATGGGATACCTTGTAGGGTCTGTTGGTGTCTACATCTCACCCGTGATAGGTTCACAGCTGGGCCATGCAAATTGCTTGGTGCCCTTAGACCTTCTGGGAGACGACATGATATGCAAACAGATTGGTTTTTGTTGGGAATTTTGGTTCAAACTAGGTGTGCTGTGCTGTTCATACCAAAAGGATGTGAGAGTACACTGCCAGATTTAGCCTTGGGAATAGTTCCGTACTGGTTAATGTCTATGTTGTTGTTGGATGTTGCTGGGGGTCGTTGCTCCTTCCCGTGGTGGGCTGGTAGTCTACTCGGACAATCTGACGCTGGAAACTAAATTGAAGATATACGAAAATACAGTACTACATATATCTACATATGACATAGGACCTGAAGGTGCCATAGATAAATTCAAAACCCATCAGACAAAGCCACGCAAGGCATACAACCATGGCCCTATAAGGTCATGCTCCTGGTGTTTCTTCCCGTCCTTTTGTTGGCGCGTTTCTTCTTTGTGAGCGCCACGGCGTTGTATGTTGCCTCGGTGCTTCCCAGCTGGGTGCTGACGGTGGTTTTCCTGCTGCGGCTGCGCAGCTTGTCGTTCCAGTGGGACCCGGCCGCTAGGGCACCGGAAATTTCGACCTCAGTGGAGGCAGCGGCTATGTGAGCACACCGGACAGCTACATGCCAGCCGGCGAAGGAAAAAACCGGGGGTAGACTGAGTGACTGGTGTCGGCAAGATGATTTTGCGACACTGGATGTGGCAGTTTGGGGATTCCATGCCAAATTTGGGGGGTATCCATGCTGTATCCATTGCTGATCCTGCAGCTCAGCCAGGCCCTGGCAATGGAAGCAGCTGGGCAGATTCTGGCAGCCATGGAAGCGCATGAAGTGCAACTGGGCTGGATTGGGATGATCCCAGCAACTAGTTGTTTGCTATATCATGAGAATCACTGCATTGGTTTAAGGGGAAACCTAGAGCAAACCATGGTTTTCACATATTTTTACATGCTTTGTTTAAATCATATATAATCATATATATATACATAATATACAGATAGGGGTTCCTGCAGGTTTTCCCTTAAACCAATTCTGGGAGAGGACGTATAGATGAAATGGCCCCTTCTGACTGGAATACAATCTTGGGATTTGTTGTCGGATATTGCATGATATGACCCAGGTAGCAGTGATTCCTGAGATAGTTTGCAGATGTGTTGAAAGATCATTCCTTTGCCAGCCATTTGGGTTTGTCCAAAATTGGACATACCATATTTATACACCCAAAAACATGTCCATGTCGTACGGAAAATCGATGAACATATGTCACTGCATTGGTTTAAGGGACAATCTACAGGAAACCATGGCTTTTACCATCAGCGATGGAATGGGGTGCCCTATTTTTTGACAATCCGAGTTCATCTATGATTTGGATGGTTGTCACCACGGCTAGGCCAGGAGCTGTAGTGTTGCGTCTTAAGAGCAAGTCTATGGGTCAGCAATGGGTGCCCCGGGACAGACAGGATGTTTTTTAGGAGTCAGAACTGACATATAAATGACCAACATTATCAATATTTGCAGAGCTGCAAGCTCCAAAATTTGACTAATCCCATATCCTTTCACCCATGCCCATGTTACAACATTCCCAGAATTGGATGCATGATGAAGCTGAAATAGCAGGAAAGCTCCACGTTCAATGATTGAGGTTTCTTGCAGGCTTTCCAATGAACCAACCCAATGAAACAGCTGCATGTTGGAGCCGCCTGTGGAGAACGAGGCTCAGTGTTCCACTGGACGTGTCCATGCGACAGCTGCGAAGAAGATTCAGCTGCCTCACGAAATTGCTGGGCAGCGATAGCTACAATGATGAACCGGACCTGTGGGTATGGGGGCAACGGTATCATTCCCACTTTGACCAACATTTTATTCCAGATGAGCATGATCGTCATGCAGTTGACTCAAATCATCTCAAGTCCTAAGGCTGCCCGTTCATAGGTGTTGAAACAGCTTCAACCAACAAGCTGCACTTCCGTTTCTGCAGATTCTTCACATGAATGTTGTCCTTTTTTCCAGGCCTTTTTCAAGGCTCCAGCGGTCGCCCGTTCACCGTGCCACACGCCATGCACGTATCCATCCCGGTTCGTGCCACGTCACACCAGCCCGCAGAGCCTGCGGGCGATCCCTGCGATGGCCTATCGCCTTCCTCGTGGGTGTCGCCACCGGCACCGATGGCACCGGTGGCGGGGGAGGCCCGGGAGCTGACGAAACGCAAGGAACGCGAGGACCGCGAGGAGTTGAAAGGTGAAGTGACCAAAGATGAGAGCCTTAAGTCAAAGTCGGACACCTCATCCAAAAATCGAGTCCTGGTTAGCTTGGAGATTAGTGACGATGAGTTGGATGGCGATGAGACCTACTGCTTGTTGCTGCGCAAGTTGTCATCTTACAAGTTGACCTGGGTTTTGGTGACAGCTCTGACGGTGCTGGTGTGTAGCTGGGTCGTGGGTAAAAAAGACAAAATTTAATTTACATGAATACCAAATGTTCCTTTAATTATTTTTATTGGGAGTGATGACTTTGCACGTACTTTTTGTCAATGCTTTCCATATCCCTCAATCCAAAATTGGTATCCCCACGGCCCCAAAGGCTCTCATGTTTTTGGCCTCCACGGCCCCCAGGTAGCGCTTTGGCCAACCCGGTGCTGTGCACCCAATCTCCAGCATGTGAGCAGCTCGTTCGCAGTGTAGCTTCATGAAGCATATGTTTTTTCACCTGCTAGTAACCAATCCCCGCCAAAAAAGCAGGAATATTCTCATTATATCCCAAATAAGTTTAATATGATAATATCATTCTTATTTGATGAACAAATATCTATCTACAGTGACCTAGATATTTGATTGATATTTGTGGATATGTGTTCCTTGTGTTTGCTTCTATCTGTAGACATGGAAGATAATAGATTATCAGCTGATTCTCAAGTTATAACCCCAATCCATCTAGTGGTTTATCATCAGTTTCCCTATTCAAATGCCATACTGTGACCTCACTGAAATCATGGTTAGGATTCGGGGAGTCATCCCCAAATGGCCCCTCGGCCATTTCAGGCAAGTGAAATCTTATCATTTACCCAGACATTTCTGTGGGGATATAGCCTAGGGTAAACGTTGCCATAGATGTGGAAAACCCATGGTTTCCCTAGGAAAATCATCAACTAATGGTGGGTCTTCATGGATTTTCCACATCTATGGCAACGTTTGCCCGAGGGTATCCCAGTTTTCCATGTGCGCAGGCAGCACCACCTGCTCGACCAAGACCTCAGCTTCTACAGCGGCGGCGTCTCGGCGGCCTTGGCGTCAGTGCTGATGCATGAATTGGCCTCGGTGATGCTGACGCATAACACGGCCAAGAAAGCCATTGAGACTTGGAGACCTTAGGGATAGTGACAGATATGGGTAACGCAGCAATCTAGAAAAAACAAGCAATAGAGACTTAGAGACTTGCTGGTTCTTACCGGAGTTTTATTTGGACACATTTTGAAACATAAAAATGAGGATATAATGGCTTGGTTATGATGGGATAGATTGGGTATCGGATGGTATCGGTCTATTTATTGATTTTGGGCCAAGAAAACTTGTGAGACTGGATTAAGCCTCCTAAAAACAATGGGATATGATGGGTACATAATTGAATGAGTGAATTAATGTAACTATGTGCGCTAAGAGTGCCACTGAAACTGGAATGGAGGATCAAAATAGCTCTAACTCCACCTCTTCATTCTCATGAACATCCACTGCTATTTTGATTTTGATGTTCACCTGGGCACATGTTTTTTGATACATCCCACTTGGTTTGTGATGTTTGTGGGATGAATACGTGGCATCATAATAAAACTTGGATATTCAGCTAGAAGTTGCCATCTCAAAATGGATGTTTTCCACTTACTTGATGGCTATTCAAAACCAGGGAAAATAGGGGTTCAACGATGGAATGTTCTGATGTACCCAATTCAGAGACATGTTTTGCTAGGCTTTGTAAATTACCAATGCTGGGTAGAGAACACATATAAATCGCATACAGTAAATGGAAGCATTGCAATCAAGCACAACCATCATGATCGAACATGGCGGGTTTGAACAGTTTCAACATGTTTGAACTACTTCATTATCATCCATCCGAAAGAAGGCCCCACGTGTTTCTCCATGTGGTTCCCATGTGTAACACCATGGCACCTAGGATATTATTCCGGATATCAAGGATTCCTTGATTCCATCCATGCTGCTGTGTGCCACCTTTTTGGTTCTCATCATCGAAAACATGGCTCTTGTGCTTGGTGAGCTTCCTTGGTACGCGCACGCAGCCAATTTGGGAACCGAGTTGAATGACACGCCCGTCTACAGCTTCTGAGACTGGTGGTTTCAACATGTGAAAAAACGAGATGTGTTCTTTTTGTCCATCAAAAATTGGCACGGTGGTCACCAAGCTTTCATTTACACACAAAGACATGTATAATATATACTTGTATATGATATTAAAGCCATATTAATAATATATATATATATAATGCCGTATATGTTATACAAATGCATGTATGCGGGTTTGTTTGAACCTACAGTAGAGTAGGCTGTGCGGGGTTATGGTCAGTTATTGTGTTCTAGTGTGGATGGGTGTGGATGGCTCAACCACCACCCAGGCGTATTTTATGCGGAATGGCTCATCAATGTGCCCATTCTCCTAGTTTTGGCGGGGTCCATTGCCCTTGGAAGGCCAGGGTCCGAAGTGGCAGAACCATTGCTGATCACCAATGTATCTTGGTGGTTGATTTTACCCTTCGGTAAACTAACATAGCTATGGTATAGATGGCTCATTTACTTCGATGATTTACGGTTTTTCAACATTCTGATTGTCCATAGGTATGTTCAGTTGCCGGAGGGTATTTGTTTTGTTGGCGGTTTTGGGGTAGACTTTGGATTGGTAGTAGGGTTAGTTTTGGAACTTGATCAATCTTTATTTCAAAAAAATGTTGTGATAGATGGGAGCAGTTGCTACTGCAGCCAGCCAAGAACGTTTCGGTGTAGAATTTCATTCAAGGTTTGCAATGGTTTGGATGCTTAGGGTAACCGCTGGTGTGGCCGATCACCTAGTGGTTTCAAACATGTTATGATGATACGAATAGACTACTTGGTGGCTCATCCCACTTAGTAAGTGGGTTATAACCTCAGTTATAAATGGGATAAGTAAGGTTAATCCACTTATAACTGGGGTTATAACCCACTTACTAAGTGGGATGAGCCACCAAGTAGACTTCCAATTTGTTGGGCGGAACCCATAATCGATTGTCCTAATTCATTTTGTTTATTATCTCGCCGAAGATGAGTGCAGCATCCCATATACTCCCACCAGGTTTACATTGTGTTCGCTTGGGTGGCGAATTTTATCTCCAATCTGGCCCTGCGATACGCCGTGCTGTCGATCACCTTCCTGATGTATTTCAGGGCGTCATGGACCATGTGCCAATGGGTCTACCGATGGAAACAACGCAATCCCAAGGGGTTCCTGTTGGGGCGGCCATTGCTGGCATTTGTGCTGATTATCGTGTTCGGCATCTATGGCATAGTCTACCTGGCTAGAATGCAGCTGGATCATCTTGGTATGTTTTGGAAGTTTTGCTGCTTGAAGTCATTCTTGAGTTGTCAATGGCAAGCACCCCGCATCATTGAACCTATTGATCCCGCTTAAACCCATCTAAATCCTTTTTCACCCAACAGCCGAACAAAATGCAGATGAAACTGTCCCGTTTTGTAGCACAAAGTTTGCTCCCTCTTCGCTGCCCACATTAAACCATGATCCCTAAAAGCGACCGCTTTTCCATGGCAGGCATGGTTTGGTCTCCTACCGCCACGAGCGCATCTTCTACGTCACCATGAATTTCACCACCAAGTTATTTGCATCGATGACTCTGGCGGGCATCCGGTCCAGTGATTTCCAGGAGTTGCTGTTGACCATGTTGGTCAACAGGAGAACCTCCTTCACACGGAAGCACGACTATGGAGATCAGGTCACGCCGCTTTTAGAGAAGTGAAAAGGACTGCGGCAGAGCCTTGCGGATGTCTAGTCTAATTCAATTGCATTCAATTGCCACATATGTCCAAAATCATTTGAAGTTTCATAGATCAGGAGAAGGATTACAATTTTTTGAGAGGTTCAAGTTTCACCTGCAATTTGAGGCTTCAAAAATGAAGCAACTGTTTCACCCATCAGCCTGTGTTGAAAAGGATTTCTTGCCACCTTCACGTTCCCCATTTCTCATGGTTGAATGGGCTGCCAAGGAACTTTGGAAGCTCAGGATCCCCGAGAGAAATGGAGGTTTCAATAGGTGTCCTAAAATGGGGATACCCCAAATCATCCAAACTATCACTATATTTTAGAGAGTATTGACACCTCCATTTCTCTCGGAATTTTCTCGATATTTTAGTATATTTCATTATTTTATTATATTTTAGTATTGAAACCCATGATTTTGATTGATTTTGTTTTGATGGATTTTGGGGATCCACCATTTTAGGATACCCTTAGGCCTTAGGCATCGCCTAAAATTCAAAGACGTCTCTCTGGGAAGGACGTGTCCGCAGCTTTCCGAAAGATCAAAGTGGCGTTGGAGGAACTGCGCGGATTGTTGGCCTTGAGGAGGCCCAATGAGGTGGAGGAAAACGAGCCAACTTGGATCATATTTTGTTGGGGACTTGTTATTGGGCTATGTTATATATATTAATATATATATATATATACAGTATATATATATACGTATATATATATATATGTATTACATATATAGATAGTATAACTACCAATGATTATGATTGGATTGATTTTCTTCCTAATGATCAGCTTGGATTATGAGTAATGACTTGGGGATGTGGGAAAATGCTTGTAATTTTGTCGTAGCTTCTGACAATGTTGTGGTGCTGCTGATGCCTACATTTGGGATAGGAGTGAATTGTGTTGTGAGCATTGGAAGCTGTGTGCATTCAGCAAGAAACACCAACATAGTGCTCTTGCTGCAGCTGTATGGCAATATGACATCTTTGGGGTCATGTGAAGCATGCATTAATTAAATGCCGGTGTCAAAGGCATCAGTTTCCCATAGTTCCCCTTTTCACTAATGGTCCAGTTGTTTTTTTCCGGGAGTTGCTGGAGCAGATGCTGCGGCAAGGCTACGCCCAAATGGTTGTTTTGAGTTGGACACCAAGTGAGGAATGGTGCCAGGTGCAGGACACCCGCGTTCTTTCGATCGCTATCAAAGCCAAGTGAGCACTAGGTTAGGCTCGAAAGCCTTAGGCCACGTGTCATGAAAGCTGATCATTTGACGACAAGCTGCGAGAATAGAGATATCCAAAATCTGCTAGCCGAGAGCACGTGAAGGCAAAAGTGAAATACAACCCAACATGTGCTATCTCGAAACATGATCATTCTCCAAACCCGTCTTTGGTGGTTCCGTTTCCCGTGGCGCTGCATGGACTCCTTATCCGGCCATGGGACTCCCCTTCCATGAGGGCTTGTACAGGATCGCGGCGCTCCCGAGGGGACGCTAGTGGCAATCCCATGGGTGGTGACGTGGGGATACTATCTGCAGTTGGAATCATCATAAATTATCATAAAGGATCCCTACCTTTAAGGAAACCCCTGGTCCTATAATTATCAACAAACTGGGCGCTATTTGTATAAATCCGGGTTGACACTGGCTAGCATAGCTCTGATTTCTGAAGCATACATGGGCCAAAAACATGTGGGAAATACTGGCATGATTTAATGATGTTGATGTATTTGCATGCATTTGCGAAATGAATCAGTGTGGACTTTGATTCTTGATGTGTTTCCAAAATGTTGCAACTTCCCACCACGTTCTTCTTGGTATGAATTGATTCCTGTAGTGAAGCCAGGTGATGGGCCTCATTTATGGCCTTTTGCCCACTTGGACCATACGGGTTTAGGGCCACTTGTGTCTAATAGCTCTTCGAGATTTGTTGTTCACATTGAAGAGTGGAAGTGCCAATATCTCTGAAATTTGGGCCCAAGAGCTCCTCTATATACCTGTCTATACCATTCTATACCTCTATACTATATATATATATATATATGTATATATTACATATGTTTCTCAACATTCTCCGCGTGTTTGTTGTCGGAAATTGTGGCTGCAGGCCGCAAGAGTTTCACGTTCTCTCTGGTCCTGGGCTGCGCTCAGGACCAGAGAGGAATGGGGGACGTGTTTTCACATGGGTCATAGCCCAATTCCACCGGATGTGTTTTATTGTGTTTGTGACACTGTTTGTGAATAATAGATTCCAAAAGATTCCACATATATATATATATATAACATGGTTGTGAATCTTAATGCAACCAAATTAAGATATATAATACCGTCTTTTGTATGGGTTGGTTTTAGGGTTTGTCTGAAAATGGGATAATGGCCCATTTCCAAAGGATTATATCATCATGGTTATTCATGTTCGCTCATTGTTCACATTTGAACGGCCATGAATTGGGGTATCTCCCATCATGGGTAAACCATGATAAACCCACATCATTAAATAACATTAAATATGGGGTTACCAAGAATCCACCAGATAGATGGTTTAGCAGTTTAGCCTTTCTTTAGAAAGACACTTCCAGTTTTGCTGGAGATGTTGGGGTCCTGAATTTGGGTGAAAACATCAACATGACATGCCTGGGATGCTTTTGGGTTGGCATTGGGGGCGTCCGGTCTCTTTCATGGCTTCGACATGATTCTTGTGGCCGTAGGGCATGGGCAGCGGTTCCGACCTGCCACGTGGGCTTTTCCCCCAATGCTCAAGGATGCAAGGTCAAACCAAGTCCCTTTCCACTATTATCCACTATTTTATATCAAATTTAGCAGGCTGGTTTAGTATTGGATCATATTGGATCCGTTGATGTTGAAGGCAGTAATTTCCAGGGGGACTTCAATGTTTGGCTGGTGGGTTGATGTTCTTTTATATTGTCCATCTATTGTATCGACTCATTTTTTGGATGGCCGTTGAAACCACCAATCAGATGTAATCAGATATTGGTTTCTCGGGATATTAGAGGATTTAGAGGGATGGGAAATACTATGACATACTCATCTACCCTCTGGTAAACATCACCATAACTATGGAAAATCACCATTTTTCATGGGAAAACTCACTATAAATGGGCTATTTTCAATAGCTATTTTGACATAACCAGAGGTTAAATGGGACACATGTGGGACACATTTGGGATATGGTTTTCCCCAGGAGACAGCTTTGCCGCGAACTTTGATCCGGAGTTGTTGGACCTCGTGGTGTGCCACCGGCTTGGCCTTTGGCAACGTGTAGAGGTTGGTCCACGTCCCAGGTGTGGCGTTGGCGTTGTAAATTCTAAACACGGAATATCAGGGAATCCTCAGACTCTTAGATCTGATTCTTGCATCGCTTCAGTGATTTTTTTATTGGACGCTGCTGTTAAGACAAAAAATGACTAGGTCTCAGATCCAGTGTAGTCAGATGTAGTCAGTCTGGGGCCTGGGGTTCCAGAACCCAAATGGCTTTGCGGCAGTGTGCCATCAGGCAACCGTCTATTCATGTCAGGCCATGCAATCCAACAGATTTCGAACGTGTTTAAAAATTAGTGCATTTTAGTGCGAAGCATACCTGCCTGACCATCCACATACCATCCATGTTTATGTATCTCTATACATTATATACATATATATATATAATTGCATGTCCAGAAATTGTTTGATGTAAATGTAATTAGCTTGCGAGCCAAACCACCCAATGCCCACAATACTCTTCAGTAAACTAACATAGATACGGACGAGCCACCATTTGCAGATCATTTCCCATATATAAGAAAACCCGCGGATCAAAAAAAAAGAAACCCATTGGGTTTCCAAAGCAATAATGTTTCTTTACTAGATAGGTATATTGACCATGGTGAGCAGCTGACCCTGTGCCGCCCCATGCTGCGCCAGGGAGGTCCCAAAGAGTCAATCCGAGTCGGTGACGGAGTTTGAACTGCCCCTACTCTTCGACCAGAGGCGTGACAGACGAAGATGGACGTGAATGAACACAATACCCTCTGGTAAACTAACATAGCTATGGTAAATCACCATTTTTAATGGGTAAATCAACTATAAATGGCCATTTCCAATAGCTACGTTAAATTACCAGAGGGTAAATTTTGGCGCAGAAATTGGGTCAAGGAACATCCCCAATATCTCCTGTAGTTTGGTCGTTTTTGCGGAGCCATGGTTTGAGTGGCTGAAGTTTCAAGCCATATCTTCCACCGCCGTTGGCCAGGCCTCATGAAGATCCCATTCTGGAGGCCTAGCATTGCCTGTGCTGCCATGAAAGGGCAACGTTTGACGCACAAAAAAAGAGTTCTACAGTCCACCGTTTGTTCAAAACATTTTCCAAAGAGACTCATGGAAGATCAGCTGGCCCAGATCTAGCAACATGATAAATGTGGATGAAATCTCTCACAAAGTTCTTACCTCACACCTTTGAGATGTTGATTTCATGTCAGGCTTGGCTGGGTAAAACGCTGGACAACCCTGACAAGGCGCCTTAGGAGATAGGGACATCTAAGCTGGCATCCCAAGAAAACACATGAAAATGACAATAGTGCGTGCCCCCCTCGACATGAGTTGAAACCCAGAAGTGACTGAATGTGAATTTCACAGAAATTTGTCCTTTGGATTGTTTTTGCAGGTATGTATATGTTTGACACGTTTGCATGCATATGTCCCCAAGAAGTTTCTGAAGTTGGTAGTTGAGTAGTTAAGGGCCTTCTTTCATTTCTTTCCTCCCGTTGAAGTCTTGGAAGCATGGACCCCGAAAGATCTATAGATTCGATATTTTTTGGGGCTAGCCAGATGTGCCACACAGTGAGGCGCTAATTATCCTTGAGGCGGCGTGATGGGATATGGTGGGCTCAACGGATCCTGTTTGGTGAAACCGCTTGGCTCTGGATTTTCAGATTTTTCCGGCGCCGAAAAGAAGAAGCATATGCTGCATATATGCTGCATATATGCTGAGCACCTGAAATCTTGGGATCCATCTTCACTCAGAGATCTTGGGGTTGTCATGTCAGCCAGAAATGGTTCCGAATATCTCAGAATACTTGGTGTCAAGAGAAACTAACAGCCTCAAGTCCCACACAGGCACACCTAAATGTTGGCTGTTCAGTCCACTCACTAAACACTGGCAAATCCTAAGCTATTGTCATCCGGTCCTTGTTTTCAGCGAAAACTCTCAAGGTTTTTGAGGTACGGGGTTTCACACATTGACAGCATTGACAGCTCTATCTGGCCTTCCAAACGTTCAGGCCAGATGCTTGCAGAAGCTGCAGCAAGCGGTGGAAGATCAGCCCGAGGTTGTTTTAGGGATCTTGCCATGGGTGAAGCCGGCAAAGAGTGGAGATGAAGGAGATGTTGATAAGAAACAGGTGAACATGCGAGTTTCAGTTTTAATATGTTTCAATGGATGTCATGAGTGGAAATGGTTTTTACCTAAATGTGTCGTGCATATTTATATATGTAACATATATATTATATTACATATATTTGCATGTGCTGCGTATATATGTACACCGAATATGTCATCGAGAATATCGAGAGAGTTTGGATAACATGCTGCCCGTAGATACTGGAATCCTTCCCCAACTGACCAGATGATGGTCATTTTGGCCAAAGCTGGTGACAAAAAGCCAGCGTGTCGTCTCCTTCATCAATAGATTGCATTTCTTTGCCCAGGAAATCTGTTGATATTCGTTTACCAAGCCCCAGAAGATTCGATACGGTAGGTTGATGATGATTGCGCGATGGGAGGCAACTTTTTTATACTTGTTTGGCTTACGGTATGTTACGGTTCAATTTTAGCAACTTCAACACAGGGGTGCGGTGCAGTCTGAATCACCTGTCTCACACCTTCTCCCTGTAGGTGTGCCCCGTGCTGCGGAACCTTCTGTCCAGATTTGAGGTGAACGCCCCTGTCTTTGAATGACGCCTTGAAATCTCGCTGTTGTTGACTGAGCCCGAAAACTAAGCCCTGCAGAAATGGAACATAATGGAACCCATGGAGACTTTGGTACCTGATGTACCTGTGCCTGTAGGACAGCTCTAGAAAACCGATGAAAACCGTGCCCACTTAGGCTCACTGCAAGTGTTTTGACAAAAAATGTGGGACTTTCGACACGTTCTAAGGATCACTTTTGAGCATTTTTGTATGTCCGTGTCATTCACATCCCGTGCATTGGCTTTACCACATTTCACAGGAACGTTTGCCGGAAACCCAAACACTACCTAACAACCAAACAGTAATTACAACTGATCACAACCCTAGCATCAGAATCAGATGAAGGAACCATTTGCAGGAAATCTCCAAACAAATCAGGACAAAAAAAGAGGAAACAAGCCATGCTTTCCTGATGTTGCCAGTAGATTTTCATCGATTTCCCATTTTTTCCAGGTGTCCACCATTGTCCCAGTGGCTTCCGAAGTGACGTTTGACCTTCCCAGTGCTACACGGTTACACGGCAGGCTTCGATCGCTCAGTGGCTTTCATCCTGGCCCCAAGCCGAGCCGTGGCGCGAGGCCGGTGAAGTTGTACCCTTGGGCCCTGGAGCCATGGGAAATCACCCTTTTTAATAGGTAAAATCATCATAAATCATCTATAAATGGACCATTTTCATCCATTTTCCATAGCTATGTTAAATATATCCGGAGGGTATATGTATGTATATCATTATATATATAATTATATGTATATGTATATGTATGTATATATATATATATTTGTATATATATATAGTATATATAGCATATATGTATATATGTATATATGTATATATGTATATATGTATACATGTATATATGTGTATATGTAATTATGCAAATATGTAAATATGTAAATATGTATATATGTATATATGTATGTATGTATATATATATGTATGTATACATACATATATATATGTATGTATGTATGTATGTATTTATGTATTTATAATAATATATATGTATATGTATTTGCATTTATATCTGTGTATGTATTTATATTTGTATGTGTATATGTATATATATATATATGTATATATATATATGTATATATATATATATATATATGTATCTATGTATGTATATATATATATGTGTGTATATGTATATGTTTTTTGGTTCAAATATATATTATATATATTTAAAATATATATATATATATGTATATGTATTTATAATAACCACCCGGAGTACAAATATTGTGGATGGACAAGCCATCCTGCAGCAGTTGCTAACTATTGCATAAATATTGGTAACTATGAAACACTGCAAACCTGGGATTAGGATGATTTCTTCCATCCACAGTGATCGGCATTTTCTTGGGGGGAGGGATGTGAAGACCAGGGTGCTGGCACCAGGATTTTGACCATAATGAGAGGGTACACATTTTGGGGACCACCATGGACCAGCCTAATTAATCAACCAGTTTTTTGTCAGCCAGGGTTGGCGTCACTGTAGTTCTTTGATCTTTTGCCACATAGCCACCCGTCCAATGACAGAAAATGATACAAGAATTGGAAACCTGGAGATTATGGGTGAAACTTCCTCGAAATAGCATCCTGGAAAAGAAACGGTTCTATCTTTTTGGGGGTTGCTATGACCGGGTATATGTATATATGCCCAGCCAATAAACAATGTCAATGTAGGGTCCACTTCAGTGGACTAGCCCACAAGCAGTGAGGATTCATCCACCGCAAAACAACATGGGGACTGTTGATTGCAAGGAACAACGGGAGTCATTGGAGTTTATCGACTTGCAAGACGGACATTTTTTTCATATTTGTTTCAAGTGCAAACAATAAAGGAAAATGAAACAAGAGTTAGCCGGCATTTGATCTACCCAAACTTAATTGGGAGATCTGCTAACGGAAACCGTTGATGGAATTGTGTCAAATATGAGAAGAGCTGGTTGATAAACCACTGTTCGCCTACCCAGTGATAGATTGGTAAAAGCGGAGAATCCCAGATTTGTGGGACTTCTAAAAACCAAGGTCATTGATCACTTTCCAGCTGAGACTCTGATCCATAGATCAGGTTGTGCACATTGTAACTTCTTAGGTCGAGGGCAAAGCGTTGGAAGCCCAAGCAAACTAGGTAAGTTGTCCTTGACGATCAGAGTTTCCCAGTGCCTTTGAAGCCTTCAGCCTCAGCCTACTTTGGTGGCATAAATGGCTTTGTTCCGCCCCGATCAGATGGCAATGAACATGTCACCATTAGAACATATCCGTTGGCAGTACACGGCTTGGCCCATCATTGACATACAATGGGGAAAATGATGATAAACCAGTGTTGGAGATTTGTTCCCTTTAGTTCCCACATATTTCCCACATATTTCCCACATATTTCCCACATATTTCCGCTTGGTTTTTGGTCTTTCCCCATTGCAAAACGTGATTTTCCCATGGACCTTTCTTCTTTCAGGGTCTCACGCTTTGTGCGTCGTGCTCGCAATCTGCGGAGATGTTGGAGCCAGGGGCGCTCAGACCGTGTTTAGGCTGTGAGATGGTACCCTCTGGTTATGTCAAAATAGCTATTGAAAATGGCTATTTATAGTGGATTTCCCATTAAAAATGGTGATTTTCCATAGTTATGTTAGTTTACCAGATGGTCATCACCTGACTTTAGGTCATCACCTGACTTTAGGTCATCAGTGCTTCCAGGTGAGCAAAAACAAAAGCATGATTTAATCATTATCGTCATTGACAGCCGTGTTTTTAATCGTCACTGGGATGTATACTGTAACTGCATATGTTTCATTGTGGCTGTCTATGTTTTGTTGATGACATCCTCCCGTTAGTTAGTCATAAGATGTCATAAGCGCAGCGGGTGAAAGGACTGAACTTGGCTTGCTGCAGACCAGGTTTAAGGGACGATCGCCAAACGTAGCGACGTAGCCACCACCAATATGGGGATGGATCAAAACGTATCAAAACTTGAATTATTACCATATCTGGGGAAAATATATGGATTATTTGCATATATTTTACATAAACCTCCATTGGCCAGCTGTATGCCAGCTGTTTTAGACCCAATTTCCATATAGCCATGGCCTGGGCAGGCTGGAGCTCCACAGTGTATTGGCTTTGCAGGGTGGTATGGCCCCAGGCGTGTTGAAAGGTGAAACAAGCGATCTTTGGATGTACGGATTGGCTAAGTATATTGTATACTATATGACTCTATATATATATATAACATATGTAAGCTCTTGTACTAGTTTTATTTTTTAACAAATCATGTTTTCTTCTAATTGCTATATTGAATGTCATTACTATGTCATACTATATTTGTGCATGACATTTAATAGCGCAACATACATGTTTTACACATATATATATATATGTTTATTATAGTCTGTTGCTTGTTTTTTGATGGGTGACATTTGACATGAAAGAAAAATATTTTATTACTCTACAACATTATGATTTGTTATATGATTCTTTGTGTTATGTATATATGATTATGTGAAATTATATGCTATGATATTGTTTCAGTGCTTTGTGCCGATTATTACTTTATAAATGGATTGGAACCACCCCCAGAGTTTGATCATCTCGGTTTGCAGGTCCTCAACAACCGCCTTTCTTACCAGAATCGGAGGCTGGTAGGGAGGTTGCCAGGGTTTATCAGGGATGGTGATAGGGGTTCCATATACAGATACACATGATGCCATATGATATTTTTTCTTTGTGGCTTTCTGCCTGTATGCCCGAAGGCTGCCTACATCAGTGTGATACACATCATTCACATCATATATATACATTGTATATACACATTTCAAGTATATATATATATATACACATATGTATATGTCAATGTTGAACTATATTTCAAATCATACCAATCCAAATTATATATGTAAATGTATTTCTATATGCATATATATATATATAGATATGTGATCATAATATAAAACATGCGTATATAATAAATTGTGCACACAGTCCTGAAACCTTAAACTAATCAGGTGTCTAGTGAAAGTTTCACATTATACAGCATTTTTTTTATGTATGCACCAATGCATATGCATATCTATGTATGTATATATGTTTTAATTATATATTATGTATAGGTGCATGGTTTTTATACATGGGTATAGGCATACTTATGTGTATATATATATATATACTGTTCAACAAATCCTCACTAAAATTCGGCAAATACGTATGCTTGAACATCCCATATTCTATCTACTTTGGCATGATGATATACTTGGCAAGGCAGGTCAACATGTTATAACGGCTCACCACTGACGTCAGGAGGCGCTTGATGCCTTTCGCCAGGTGGGTTTGGGAAGCAACTTGGGGATGACTGAGGAGCATCAGTGGTGGTGCCCGGGCCAAGTATAAGTGGTTGGTTTATATGCCCAATGGGCACAAGTATAAGTTGGTATATTATAACATAATTATGGACCCAATCACTTGGTAAACAATGGGTATAATCCACAATCACCATCAATGGCAATTGGGTAAATCCACTATGTGCAATTTTTAATAAACTCAAGGATATACATAAACTATATATATGTGTGTACCATAAACATCCAGAAACCATAGTTGATGGTCAACCTAGGCAGATAAACCCACTTGGCTATCTAGGGGGCACCACCTTGTAAGCAAGAGGATTTTGATGGGGATATATGATTCAAATGGGGGTATATTCAATGGTTATAATGGGTATATTATACAATCAAGACCTTTGACCATCAGTTTCATGGCGATAGAATGGGAATGCAGTGGGATAACAAGATCGGAACATGGTTTTTAAATGTCCTTGATGATGGTCAATTATTTTATTGCTAACAGTAAAATATGGTGTAAATCCTGATGACGGATTTGTATGCGTGGGTTATGACTGCGGGTTTCGCCATGACTTTTCGGGTATAAGATGGTATAATGGTGAAATAACCAACAAGATAATAGGGATATGTTTGCCTAACATGATGATAACAAACATCTAATGGTGACATAAACATACTTTTACTTCAACAACAAACCTAGTGTTATACTGGGGAGGTGATGGGAATGCCATGGGGAGTATTTGGGTAAATTCTGGTGATTTACATGTTAAGATTATATATATATATATTTACGCTTATTTATTTAACGGTGATAAGCTGATGTTTTTCATTTTCATTTCAACGGTGATAAGCTGATGTAGTGATATATACAGTAAGCAACAATATGATAGAGATGGTCAGCTTATAGCGACCGAACCCTGCCTGACCCCACCTTTTGCATGATGATGAGTTGTTTATTTCAGGTTGATGAATTACTACAAACATATGCAGAGATTATGGGTTGCAGGACCATTGTTCGCCATGTATCGGCCAACATCCCTTCAGTATCTCCAAGCATTGGTTTCCAGCAATGTTCTTGGCAGTTTGCCTGGAAGTTTGCCTTCAGAAGTTGGTACAGCAGTGTACAGCATGGGACCCTGAAACTTGTTCAGTAGCAACATCCATCAGGAGGCAGCTGCTTGGCTCTTCAAATTGGAGGCCCTATATGGTTTGGAGCTGATCAACCAGCTGGCTGCCCAGATGGCTGCTTCTTTGTGGTGTTGGAGTGTCAGATAAGGGTTGCACCATTTTCCAGGGACCCTCTTTCTGACAATCACTCCAAAGATTTGCAAAGTATAGGTCCAAAAAAGACGTGCTGTTTCCACGCTGGGGGCGTGCTGAAAGTGAGGATGTGATTCGTGAAATTCATATGGAAATCCAGGTTTGCCCTACCCGCGGTCCTGGTCCCAAACCAGTGGTCATCGAATCACCAGTGACCTGGGTTTGGCCCTGACTGCACACCGTTGGCCGGGTGTGGGGCGCATGCCGGGGGGTGCCTTCTAGTGGGCCGAAGTTCACAATAAGTCTGGCAATCATGCTCGGAGAGTGCGAACCGAGGACCTTGGGAGGCAGTTTTCACCCTTGAGGCCAACGCATCCCAATCCCCATCTTGGGATGCATGGGATGCATGACAGTGAGACGATGCGCTAAAGTGCTCGCTGGGGGTGTCAGGCGATTCCTGGCTGGCATGTTGTGAGGGGAGGCCAAACACATTGTCACGTCGTCGCATCAGGTCACAATGCTTATCGCGTGTACACTTCGTGGATGGTTGTGCTGTTGTGCTGCTGTTCGAATGAACTATAGACCTGTTCGCGGAAGATGCAGTTTTGCATTGTTTCTTAGGTTTTGTCCGATGGGTTTTCGCACTTAAATTGCAAAATGAGTTAGTCCGTGCCAAGGATCAGAATCCACAATTCATATGGAAATCCAGGTTTGCCCTACCCGCGGTCATGGCCCCAAACCAGTGGTCATGGAATCACCAGTGACCTGGGTTTGGCCCTGACTGCACACCGTTGGCCGGGTGCGGGGCGCATCCCCGGGGGGTGCCTTGATTACGCAGTGGTGAACTGATATGCTGTGCGCTAGTGTGCCTTGATTACGCAGTGGTTTTCAACTTTTGGAAGCTATAAACATGTTTTGCTTGGCTGTAAAGCTTAATCGAGAAGCACGGTTTCCTTTGCCAGATTTTTGTGCAAAGATGATGATTAATTCCACCTTATTGCAGACCTGGAGATCCGTTGTTGTGCTCTTGATTCAGTTGGGCACATTACACCCCATGCCCTGAACAATCCTGGAGTTTTTGTTTGCAGATTTGAAGTTCGGACTTATGACGTGGAGCTGATGTGACTTATGATTGCGCAAATGCGTGTCGTTCGAATGGCTTTTGAACGGGACATAACGGGACTATATATGGATGTATCTGGGTAAATTATAACGACCTCACTGCGACCTCACTGGGAATCATGGTTAATAAGGGACATCATCCCCAAATGGCCTTAATTCAGGTTAGTGACATATTATAATTTACCCAGATGTATGAATACATATATGTTTGTGTACAGTCACAGTAATATATTCATACCAAAGCTTGAAAGATTTGAAAGTCACCTGGAAGACACTAGGAGCTTTCAAACGCTTTTGTTGTGAGAAAAAACACCAACGTTTGGGCGAAATGATGACATTTCCCAACACTGGGGTGCAACGGCCTCAGGAGTGCAAGGGGGGACGAATTTGGTGCTTCCTATCCCACACGCCTAATTCATGTAGGATACGATGCCCGAAACATCATTGAATCATTGATGGCAAGGGCGAGGTCATGTGAAGTGGTGTGATTCTGGTGGCTCTGCCCCGTTCTGGGAGTTGGATGAAATTGGACATTGAGAAGAAGCGAAAATTGTGCCCTTCAAGAATGTAACATGGGAGAAACAAAACAAATTGCACCACCACAAGCAACATCCAATTGTATTGGTTCAGGGTTCCATGCCAAATGTCAAATGTATATAAGAGACCTCCAAGTTGTGGATGGTTTAAACAACCCACTTGTAAAACATTGGGAATGTTTACAAATCGATCCCTTCCCATCCAAACGAAACCATGGTCTTGTATTGCGGGGCAGGGACCCCTAAATCTATAGTAGTTACAGTAATTCTCATGTTCCCTATTGTTCGATGGCCAAAGATTCGGGGCGCATCCCGATTTTCAGACACACCCTTAATATCCCACCGTTGGTTATGCTTATATTACTTATAATCTAAGACGTGGTATCACCCTTGAAAATGATTGTTTATAAAATGTTATAACCTGCCAAGTCCGCTTTAGCTTTATTGGTTAAATGTGTAATTACCTATATTCATATAGACTCCACATGATGTCAACTCACCGTTTGTCATGGTTGACCACCCCATTTTAGCTGGTTCATGCTCCATAACATTGTTGACTAAATCAATCTTGACCACAATTATTGCTGACATATCCCAATTATCTCCCCATTCAAGCATATTAAACCTAACTATATTTTCGTTTAACTGTAGTGCATCACGTTTCTATACACCTTTTGTTTAGGTCATGATATAACATGTCAATATCCGAAATCAACTGATATTACCCAATGCTCACTGGTCCAAACACGACCTTCCATGCTCAGTGTTCCCTGCCGGACCTCAACCACGACCATCCACGCCCAGTGTTTTCAACCACGACCATCCACGGTGTTCCCTGCCGGACCTCAACCACGACCATCAGTGTTCCCTGCCGGACCCAACGCACCAGTGTTCCCTGCCGGACCTACCACGACGGTGTTCCCTGGGAGCACTAGGAGTTACATGCCAGAAGATATATTAGTTGGTTAGAATATATGCTGCCCCATAGAATGCCAGAAGATATCAGAAGTGCCAGAATTATATCCCACTACTATTTGCCCCACATGCCAGAAGATATCCTGCCAGAACAGGTAATGATATCCTAATCATCACCAGAAAATATGTCAGATAGAATAGATTTGCCAGACAAAATGTATAAATGTCATGGTGGGGATCACACGAAGTAAAGTAATTTTTGGGTTCCATCAGTTAGATCAACCGAAAAAAAAAAAACATGCCAAATCCCCCAGAAAATAGATCCACCATTTCTAGCCCCAAAGAATTATATACCATATTATACTATATATTTCCATATAAATCCCATGAAAAATCCTCCACGTTTGCTGCTTAAATCATGCAACATTTCCCATACCCCAAAAAACACGCTACTGGGCCGCCTGGTTTTAGGCCTGAGCGCCTGGCACAACATCCACGGCTGTCCATGCTATCCTGGGAGCTGCCGGAGGCATCCCAGCTATTGGATGGAAATCCCCGAGATGTGGGAGATGGGAGATGTATGGAAGATGAAAAATGTAAGCCCCTGCTTTAGCAGACTATATGCCATTTAAAATGGAACGAAACACATCTCAACGATTGGGTGATGTTCCAGCAAACCATGTTGGAAAGCCGGAATTGGATGAAAACATGGGGGAAAACGGATATATATATATACACAGTATATATAATTTCAGATTTGGAGGGAAAACATGTGTGGGAAACGCTGATACATCATTTTGAGAAACGGATGAAAAAGACCCAGGGATTTTCAGGATTGAGTAGAGGAAAATGGTATAGAAGTCAAACATATTGTTGGGATGAAAAATCAAAGATGTTCTGGGGATGTGAATAGCGTCACAGGCAGGTCTGCTGATAGAATCAACCATGTTGGGTCCATTTGGCACCCAAGATCGTTACCTGGGAGATACTGAGAGGACTTGGACGCCTTTCCTGTTGGTAGGCTTGGATGTCCAAAGTCCGGCTATTGAACTTAATTTAATATGCATAATTTAATCGTACACACACACACACGCAACACATATACCGTATACATATAAATACACAATACACGCATGGGGATGGGTAAAGACCTATTATTACATATATTTACCACATATTTTGGGTGGATGATCATCTATTTTGATATGAACCTCGCGTTGCAGGTGGAAGCGCTGTTGCAGTGCCCCTACTTCAGACCCCCGGTCCAGGGCTGAGGGGCGCAGAAAGGGGCAGGGGCATACGGGTTTGTCTAACGAGGTGTACCCGAAATGGCTGTTTTAATAGGGAAAATGATTATTCACCAATGGATTTTAGGGGTACTCTATTTCCAGGCAATCCCATATCTTGAAATATTTTGAAGTGGACAAGGTTGAAACTTAGAAGCAAGAATTGGCCAAAGAACAGATATGGAACTGGAGTGAGCTGACTGCAGATGTTCTTAGGGGTTTTCCCGATTCGCAGTTGAATTGGATTGTCATGCATTCAGCGGTATGACAATGGAAAATTCATGAAAATTCATGAACATTCTATAATAAAATGGAGGTTTAATGGGAGAAAGCATCCAACTAGACAAATGGGGGACTTTGGTTTGCCATGTTTCATTACCAAAGAACGGCCCAAAACACAAATCTCCTCCATAAAAGTTAACCCGGATAGCCGGAGTGAACTAACAAGAACGTCTCACAGTAGCAAGCTGGGCTCAACCATGTCTTTGTAAACGCATGATGGGTTCCACTTGGGTCCTTTCACAATTAGCACATATTAACAACATGAACGTGGACTCGTGCGGACTCAACGCATTTCCCTGCTGGACTGTTCTTTTCGAACGGTTTTCCATGAGTTTTTCCCACCATGTCGTCATGATGCATGCTGGGCTTAGGAGATGAGCGTTTGGCGCTTTGCCCGGCGATGGTGCTTGGAAGGTGACGGAGATGTTGGTTGCCTCCCCCCCAACGCAGGACATTAAATAGTGGATGAATGATGATGAGTGGAGGACTAGGAGATTCGCAGTGTTTGGAAAATTTGGAAAGACTGACTGCAGGCCGGACTCTTTTCCGGCTGGTTGGGTGGTTGTATCCTCAATGATGATGACTCATGATGGCTCTTGTATCTATTTCGATCTATTTCGCGTTTTCTACTCCCATTCTCATTCTTGGTGACTTCATTTGCACTACCGGCTCCTATCTCCCACGTGTCAGTTTTCTGCATCCCCAAATGTTTTTTTAGTTTGATCCTTTGTTTAAGCCATGATTTGTATAATGGTCATACCCTGATTCTACTTGGTTTTGCTCTAATTTTGCCAACCGCGCTCTGGCAATCTTTGGGCCGGTTATTGGGTCTTGAACTCCAAAAAAGTCAAGGTCATTCAGTCAGTCCCTTCCTAAAATTTGATGTTACTGATTTTTTTTCTGGGAACCCTGCATGACGAAAATATAGAATTATATGATATATATATATGTAATATAATATATATGTGTGTGTGCTCTTCCATTGAATATTTCGATCTCATCGCGCTCCCAATTTGGTGACCTCGGTTTCTTCGCAGGTGGAGGTGCGTGTGCTTTCCGCGACGAGCCGGAAGCAGGGGCCGGGCCGCCTGTGAAGCACTGGAGGCTGTGGCTATGACACCGAAGGTTTGTAACCAATGATTGAAGTTTTTCGATGCGAAAAAACAGTTCCAAGAACTGATGAACTTCATTGAATTGGAAAGAAATTGACAATTTAATACAATGTACTATGAGACGGTGTACATCAATTTGCCAAACTTTGGGCTGCTCATCCAGGCAAATGTGGTAAATTGGGTGCTGGCCAAGATGGCTTTAAGACTCTTTCAGAGACTGCCATGTCTAGAATGCAAATCATCTTTAATTTCGGCAATTTAAAGCCATCAACAAGAGGCACCGGGCGCCCAGTGGGGCCCAGTGAGGTGCCAGTGACAAAGGAGAACATTGACATGGCCATTTCCAAGGCTGGGACGGCGTTTGGAGCTGGTTGGAGCTAAGAGTTTTGCCGGAAAGTGTGTTATGCCAAGTCTGACTTTTGGAGGTACCCTCTGGTAAACAAACATAACTATGGGAAATCACCATTTTCCATGGATAAATCCACTATAAATGGCCATTTTCAATAGCTATGTTAATTTACCAGAGGGTACCTCATGCCCCAAAAGCTTATTCATCCTAGGTGGTTGCACCAGCCACATATACATCTCCCATGAGCCCAATGGGAGGTCAGCAGAAGTTACGCTTAAAACTGTTCGTGTTTGGCTTCCAGAGTTTCAATTTGCGGTGGGCAATGACACGAGAATCTTGAGGCACTATCTTGCTTGGAAATGGCTCCAGAATCCGAAGTACCAATTCAATTCCATTCCACTCCATTGAGATCTTTTTAGCTGCCGCACAAAAAGTCGACCGGAAGCACCATGTGGAGTGTAAATATTCCCATCAAAGAATTGACTAATCCCAACCCCCTAATAACAAAAAAATCACAGCCCAGCAGGGATTGATCTGGGAATTGCTGCCTCCAAAGGAGGAGCTTGCCAGGACCTTGGATTTTGCCAGGGAAAACGTGGCTTTTACTGAGAAAATATGGGCCCCAAGAAGAATCTTCAATGAATTATTGATTAAACACATGTGGATTCAAAGACGAGTTTGTTTTTAGCATATTTAGCACCCTAAATGATTTAATGGGCCCGTGTCTTTACCCAGCAAACTTGCAAACTGAGAAAACCCCCAGACTGATTGTTGAAAGGGTAAAGTTAACAAACTGGTGAATGGTTAGTAATCAGATGTAATCAGAAGCCGAGGTTAGACATGTCGGGCGCATGTTGGTGTGTAGGGTTTGGCGGTGGCTTCAGGAAACATGGTGTATGTAACCAATCCACAGTTACTTTTCATGGGTATATAGTTATAAACTAATGATCGGTATTTCCAGGCGGTATGTGGCGTAATTAATCAAAAAAAACAATTTCCTTTGCTCAAAGTAGACCACAAGTCCCGCATGTTTGGTGGTCACCCATTCTTGCACCTTGCACCGTTTTCGTAGTTGGATTATCCAGCCAGTCATCCATCCATCCACCTACCTACCTGTCTATATCTATCTAAACCATTCTAAACCCAGTGTGGGGCGACACCCATGGTCTAGTGATTGCTTCCACTTTGGCCGCTTTTACATTGAACATGGTTCCGGCAGCCAATTTCCAAGGGGTACACTGACTTGTTTGTAAGTGTAAGGTAATACACAATCCACCATTTTTTCTAAAAAATCAGCGGTTTTCCTGTTGAAATGTATGGTTTCTGCCATGTGCACATGAAAATTGCAACGCCCTTGGCATCCCCTGAGCATCCCTCAGGTTGCACGTTCCGGTGGCGAAAGTGATGCGCAAAGCCAGAGGTATCGAGCTCGACGTGTGGAGAGCATGTTTGGGACACTTGGGTGTCTTTTTAAAGCCTGTTCTTTTGCATAAATTGTTTGCCATAGGTATAGATGTATGATATATATATATATATATCTATCTATAGATATATATTTATAATTATGTATATATAATTATGTATGTGGAATATTATGGAAAATAAACCTGCGCATGGGAATGTATGTTTGGTCTGAAATCTGCTCGAAATGACATGTGGCTGCATGGCGGTGGACATCTCAACACGAAGTAAAAACAATTGCTGTGATTCCCCTGAAAAAATCATGCAAACTATATGGTTGATGGTCATCCCATCCATAATAAGGATCCTTATAATGGTTATTATAAATCCCTATGAACCATTGGATGACTAGCCCCGTTTTTAATGGTTATTAACCATGAGTATTGACCATAGCTCATATACAAACTTTACACTAGCTATTTCTTTGTTTGGCCATATGTTGGTGTCAAATGCCTTTCCACTTTCCATGTCGAATCAATCCATGTTTTTCAGTATGGAAGCTGGTTCTGGCTCGAGCAAAAAGCTGCTGGGATTGGCCAGGCCTGGCAAGGGCGGTGGCTGTTTCCCTGGCATTCTTCAATAGAGAATCACAAGGTTTCAATATATTCAATAGGATTTACATCAACCATAGGTGCAAGAACTTTTGACATTTTATGTTGCATATTGAATATATTGTTGCATTATCAATGGATTAATTAATCAATTAATTCCATTGTTCTGGGATTCGTGATATATTTGTAGGGTATTTGTAAGCCTGTGAAAATTTGTGTCTACGGAGAGGGATTGGTGAGACAAACTAAAATATGTCGACGATGTCGACGCAGTATGTTTTCATTGTGGCGAGGGTGGAGCTGGCAGGAATCCTTGGTTGCTTCAGTCTGACTACTGGATAATTATCTTGCCAAGATACAAGATACCCACATAAAAAGCATGATATAATGCATGATATAATGTTAGGACATGTTAGGAAAGCAATTTAAAAAAAAACGCCCATGCTTTTGAACCACACATTTATGGTGAGATTGGGGAATGGTTAACTCTTGCAGCACCAGAATTTCACTCCAGGCGTCGCCTGTTTCGATGGCAGGAGCTCAGTCCTCTGAGGTCAGGTGGTCAGCAGAGAATGGAAAGATCCACCATTTTTAATGGACAAATCAACTATTTCTATGGCCATTTTCAATAGCGAACTGTTAGTTTACCAGAGGGTATCTATTAATGGGAGTTTAATATGATTTTTTTGGTGATTGAATGGGATATGAATGGGATATCGGATATACCCCTTATCATATGCACAATATATTTGTTTTTCTGATTTTGAAGTAGCCCAGATATGATAACCTTTTCAAAACATTTCAAAACAGTATTTAAATATGCATCCCTCAGGAAGTAAAAAGGAAGTGGAGTTCAACAGGCAAATTAATAAAATTTACGGGTGCCGGTACTCAAATTCTCTCAATAGCACGTTTCGGATACCTAAAATGGAGATACATCAGGCTATCTCAGGCCATATGTGGGGTAGTGATTCTTCCCTGTGAGTAGGTTTCAAACACAAACGCCAAAGTCATGCATATTGTTAGGGACGGCATACCGTTTATATAATTATATTGTAAAATCCAAACTTTCCTCCAGGGACCCCATGTTCGTATCTGACCAAGCAACAGATCGATTTTTTCTGTTTTTTTTTTCACAAAATGAACTGTTCACTTCTGATATTTGTCATGATTTATCTCATGTTTTGAAAGCAATTAATTTTGACCTAGCATTTGTTGGTTGCCAGGGTTTATTGATATTCCACGTTGACATACGTTGACCATATTGAGGTGGAAATCAGATAATCTGCAACAGCTGGCCTTCCTGGCGATGGAAACCAACTACTTTCAACCACCTATATATTTCATGTCAGTTCCAAGGGTATCTAAATGTGGTCAAACTCGAGTCAAACACCATCTTCCAACATGTTCCAACCCCATCCTTAGGTCCTACTTTTTTCGTGCTTCTCTTAGTCCGTTTTCGTTGCCACCGGGCCACCGGGCAGGTGGATGCCGTGCTGAAGGGTTTTTTGACGGACTTCCCCAGCATCATTGGCTTTGTGGTGATTAATGCGGACGGCATCCCCACCAAGTGGCCAGGGCCTGTGGGGCCTGTGCTCGGGGCTGTTTTTGGAAACGGATCTGCAGTTCCAGGTAGACCCTGTATAAGGAAAGAACAGTGGCATAGCGCTATGGTATAGCTATGGCTGTAGAGAATCCATTCAGAACGGATCGATCGTGGTTTTCCATAGCTATCTTAGATTGCCCGAGGGTATACGTGAGGTTATCACCATGACATCATGGTTGTGCCGATTGATAATCATTGATCTCCCCACCTGCAATACCTATTGACCTAGAACTGCCCAGATGGGGGGGGGCAGTTCTAAGATTTCTGAAGGACGACCAGGGTCCAGGAAAGCTCGTCATGTACTTGGCGCGAGCATCCTAAATAATTCTGCATTACTGTAATAATAATAGTGTATATGTAACTTTTTGTGTATGAGTATATGATATTTTCTGTATAAATTGTTTGTATAAATTGTGCGCAACTATGTAAGATGTATGGATTCAAATGCGTTGTCATCAGCCACGAGGCATGAGACGATGCCATACGACAGGGCGGCACCCTCAGCTGCAGGTCAATGTCATGTCAACGAAGACCTTGGTTAGTGGTGTCGTTTTGGCATTGATTTCCGTCTTGGACATGGCCCATGTCGCGTCAAACATGTCAAACTGGGTTGCTCAGCCTTGAAGCCTTGGGCAGCCAAGCGACCAAGGCTGTGATGTATGCCGCTCTGATGTCTGACTTCATCGCACACTGCAAGAAGAGTCTCAGAGCAGCTCAGCTCCGTCGATGGTGATGGCCCCCCATGGATGGCTCCCCGTGGCCTCATTTCTGATTGGCTTCCCCTCGGCCCCTAAATACTGAACCCCATAGAGGCCCTAGAACCTTTTAGAAGCCATGGTTCTGCATTGGGCACAATCACGGCAGAAATTGAGATTGGAAGGAGTTGTGAAAAATTCGGCCACCCCCAAGAGGCAAATAATATAGAAAGTTACATTGGCGAATGGTATATGATATGTATTTACTTCAGGAGACTTTTTCTAACGGACAAGTTTTATATAATTACTTCTATAGTTGGCACATGTTGGCACCTTGAATCTATCTTTTGGATTTTGGATGCGTGATGGGGGGTGGTGTAGAAATAATCAGCGCCCGGCTACTCCAAGACAACTTTGAGCAATTAGATATGGTGTTGTGGGTAATGTATGGCGACCTCAGAATGGACAAGGAAAATTGATATATATATATATAGATATAGATAATTATAGATATATTTTTCCCCACGCACACATACATATAATAATATCCATACATATGCACACACACGTACATATATATATAATACATACAGATGCCATATAACCAGGTGAGGGATTTGTTAGAAATCCACCCTTAAGTGCCCATTTCAAATCACCACGCTTTGCGCGGCAGGGTCTCTTGACATCTCCAGCAGTAGCTTGGCTGAAATCCGGTTGAGAGATGTTCAGATTACTAGTAGTTATTAGTTATCCTAGTTCATTACTGCAAACATATTAATAGCTGTGATATTCAGATTCAGATGATGTGATATCACTGGTTGCACCAAGTATAAATAATATATATATATAATTGATCCACTATCATATCACTATATTATAGCGTTTTTGTACTATTGATATCCATCGATTCATCTATCAGGGATCCATGGATCCTTCCCTTCCAGACGTTTCTTCTGCACAACAGAACATTGTGGCGGAACAATTTTGGATACCAACAAAAAAAAGGACACCCTGTTTTATATCCCTTTATAACTGGAGTACTCGAAACTACCCAATGGTTAGGAGGGGGCGGTTTTCGGAGCTCGGGCTTCCTTATTAAATGGGGAGCCAAGGAGCTACTAAGAGTTTCCCAGCCATATGGTAGTAAATTTGAGATAATGACTGCTATGAAAACAAAATCATATAGATGTTAATCATTATTACATCACACTCCATTTGCGAACCACTTCCCAACTGGATTCCTATGGGTCCTATGGGCATAGGCATCGCTTCGGGATACGTCGGGTGCATCGCTTCGGGCTACGCCTCATGCATCGCTTCGGGATACCTGAAGATCAGCATCATCATCTCTCATCATCATCATCATCATGATCATCATCATCTTCATGATCATCAATGTTATAAGCATTTTCTTCTTCCGAGTATTATTCATCTTCATCTTCCTCATGTTCATGGTGATGATAGTGTCAGGAGAAGATGTGATAGCGTGAGATCATGTTGGTGTGCAGGTGCAAGAGGAGATCGGCTCATGGTGTAGCATATATTCTTTGTGCCAAGAGCAAAAAAGAACGTTTCACACACACACACACACACCCCACACCCCGCCCCCACGCCCATCCCCCATCCTCCATCCCGCAACAGGTGATGTGAGCAAACAGTCGCATGCTACAAGTTAGCGGTTTGCCGCGCTGCGGGGGAGACATGCGGGACGCAAGTGAGACAGAGTTACAAGTGAAAGCTTTTCCGAGTTGCAAGTGAGACGTTTGCCTGGCGCTCTCCCGAACAAGCCAGAGAGTGCTGAGTCAGTTCGGTCGGATACACTTATGTTCAAGGTGCAGTGCTTCAGATGACAGGCGATGAAGGTGCAGTGCTTTTGTGTGCAGAGGAACATGAAAACTTTTGTCCCCTCCCCACCCCCCAACCAAACCCTAAATGGCTGAGTCAAGTGATGATTTAAGTCCATGGATCCCACCCTTGTTCCCAGCATCAATGACGCTTTTGTCCCCCCCACCCCCCCAACCAAACCCTAAATGGCTGAGTCAAGTGATGATTTAAGTCCATGGATCCCACCCTTTCCCAGCACAATGACGCTTTTGTCCCCCCCCACCCCCCCAAAACCCAATGGCTGAGTCAAGTGATGATGATTTAAGTCCATGGTTCCCCAGCATCAAACGCTTTTGTCCCCCCCACCCCCCAACCAAACCTAAATGGCTGAGTCAAGTGATGATTTAAGTCCATGGATCCCACCCTTGTTCCCAGCATCAATGACGCTTTTGTCCCCCCCACCCCCCCAACCAAACCCTAAATGGCTGAGTCAAGTGATGATTTAAGTCCATGGATCCCACCCTTGTTCCCAGCATCAATGACGCTTTTGTCCCCCCCCACCCCCCCAACCAAATCCTAAATGGCTGAGTCAAGTGATGATTTAAGTCCATGGATCCCCCCCTTGTTCCCAGCATAATGACGCTTTTGTCCCCCCCACCCCCCCAACCAAACCCTAAATGGCTGAGTCAAGTGATGATTTAAGTCCATGGATCCCACCCTTGTTCCCAGCATCAATGACGCTTTTGTCCCCCCCCACCCCCCCCAACCAAACCCTAAATGGCTGAGTCAAGTGATGATTGACTTACTGTAAGTCCATGGATCCCACCCTTGTTCCCAGCATCAATGACTCTTTTGTCCCCCCCACCCTCCCAACCAAACCCCAAATGGCTGAGTCAAGTAATGAGATGATAAGAACGATGTTTTCCGTGTTGCCCAAAGTGATGAAATCCGTGTTGCCCAAAGTGAGCGTCCAAAGTGTGAGGAGTGTGTGATTTCTGGATGTTGCCTGAAGTGATGCGTTTGGTGTTGCCCTAAGTGATGCGGGTGCCCTAACGGTCCCGGTACCGCTCTCAGGAAAGCGAATTGGCCAACATCCGCCTGCGGACCAAACAAGGGACCGAGATCATCTGTGTCACCCAAGTGGAGTACACCCTGGTGGTCATTCAGAATTGCACAGGCCTGGGGCCGAGAGGCCATAAGCAGCCCAAGATAGGCAATGTTTGTTCAATAAGTCATGGAATTTGTGCGTGTGTGTGTTGAAACCTCTTGAATCGTGGAAATGCGATGGGGTTGTTGATGAACGGTGGGACGCAGGTGTGTTTGGAGTGTCACCCCATGTCACCCCCTACAAAACCTCCGTGCGTGGCGTAGCATCTAGCATGGCAATGAACATCCGATCCACTCTTCAGCGATGTTTTACTTTTTGATTTTTGATATACATACAGAATCATACATAGATGTAATTACAGTAGATCCATCATTTCTGTGCATCTACAATACATGTATCATATACATGTAGATATATAATCATATGCATAGGCAACATATACAGTATACAAACATTATTTCTATAAATCACTGTCTTCCCTGATCGTTTTCATGGTCCTATCATTTTCATCTCGGATTCCCATGGGGCTCCCGGGGACGTTGCCAGGCGTCCCATTGGTACAGGATGAAGAAGCCAACCAGCCAGGCGACCATGGGGACCATGGGGAACCATAGGACGTGATCCAAAATTCCACAGTGCACCCAAACAGATGGGGACATCATGGGTAACTCATAGGTCAGTTGTGGTGAGGAGGCCCCCTGATGTGGAGCTTTTGGAGATTTGCGTCTTTGGATGGGTTCGTGCACCAGTAAAGACATTGTTGCCTGGTCCCTCTTCGAGTTTGTAAAGCACTGGTGCATGTAATTTCTTTGCTTATTGATCTTATTGTTTGGAATTGAAACCCTCAGTGAGTTTCTCAATTTTGCAGGCGCGAATTCGGATTCATGTGGATGCTGTTTCAAGATTCAAACAAGAGGATGTGGTATTTTGTTTATTGTTTTTGGAGATCTTCAATTCTATATATGTTTCTGTATATGTATACGCGTGCATCTATATTCACAAATAGCAAAAGCGTACGCGTACAACCACATGACGAGTATTTCATGTATATAGTATTTCAAAATTGGGCACAATTCCAACAAATTTCCATATCATTTCCCCAACATCTGTGGTTTCTTCCTGTCTGAAAAACAAACCCAGGAGCTGGAGGAGAAGGCTCTTAAGAGCTCCGATCCCCACCCGGTAGCGACAAGCTGATTTGTAGCTGGTGAACTGGTCATATTCAGCCAGACTCAGTCCTGGTGCTGGTTATGGCTTGTTTTTTTGAGCTGGATTAGTCAATGATTAGTCTATGTTTGATAAAGGATGATGCAGAACAAAAAAGACCTGGAGCAGCGAAAAGAGACTCAATGACCAGTCTCCAACATGAGCTGCAATGGCTTTCCGGCCCCTGATCTTCCGGTGTCCCACAGCCAGGTTTCACTCAAAACACGAGCTGACGGCTCTGGCAAAAAGCCGGAATTGCTGACTAGATGAAATTGCATGGCTCGACAAAAACTGCTTGCAAAGCTAAGGTTTCTGGATGTCTGTCTGGTTCCTTCAAAATGTTCTCTGAAAGCTGGACACTTGGGTGCCAAACTCCAAATCTGTGTCTTTTACCTCCCTCGAGAAAAAACATTAATCATTAATCGCCAGAATATTTCTGACGTGTTGTCTTTTACAAATCGTTAGGGCTGATACCTATGGCTTGGGCCATCTTGGGACTACCAATTGCAGTGATCAGTTGCCACATCTGAGGAGTGATGGTGTGGCCGATGCTGCCTCAGGTGGGAGCCATTGTCCTTACTACAAATTCCAATATCATCTATGATCTCAATAAGGTATTAGTTCAATATCCACTATAAATGCTGTACACATTCTTTTATCATCATATTCCTATGGTTTTCCTATCATTTTCCTATGGTTTTCCTATATATATATATTGTTAGATTTTCCTAGGTGTTCCTATCATTTTCCTGTGATTTTCCTTGGTTTTCCTATCATTTGCCTAGATTTTCCTCGGTGTTCCCTTTGATTTGTGCCGTATCCACGGTCACAGGTGGAGCTGAAGAGGTGGCCGCGGAGTTGCCGGAGGAGGCCTTCGCTCGGGAAAAGGCGGGGTGTTTACATACTTCTACGACATATATCATAATTAATCATATATGTATAATATATATATATATATTGTTAGATGATATATATATATATATATGTATATATATATATATTTATATCTACATGATTAATTTGATGGATGGATGGATGGATGGATGGATGGATGATTAATTATACATATTCATGGGTCAGATGGACATGGAGTTAGACAGAGAGACAGAGAGACAGAGAGAGTTGCCGGAGGAGGCCTTCGCTCGGGAAAAGGCGGGGTGTTTACATACTTCTACGACATATATCATAATTAATCATATATGTATAATATATATATATATATTGTTAGATGATATATATATATATATATGTATATATATATATATTTATATCTACATGATTAATTATACATACAGTAGACAGACAGACAGACAGACAGACAGACAGAGACAGACAGAGAGACAGAGAGACAGAGAGACAGAGAGACAGAGAGACAGAGAGACAGAGAGACAAGAGAGACAGAGAGACAGAGAGACAGAGAGACAGAGAGACAGAGAGACAGAGAGACAGAGAGACAGAGAGACAGAGAGACAGACAGACAGACAGACAGACAGACAGACAGACAGACAGACAGACAGACAGACAGACAGACAGACAGAGATACAGAGATACAGAGATACAGAGATAGACTTACTGTACTGAAAAAAGAAAAGCATATGTATATGTATATGCGTATATATATATAGACGGGAACTGTTTCTTTGTATGCATATATTCGATATACACGGTCATATAATAGACATAATTCATCACAGAATTTAGACATATACATACTGTATATGCTATGGAATTGTGGAATTTTTTTCATTCATTTTCATTCACCCGCCATTGAGTCTCACTCGTGCGGCACATGCGCGACTAATTAGCCTGGCTTCGTCAACCCTGAAAATCGGGCAGAAATTTGCCTGACAGGGAGTCTTGAATAGCGCAGGCATGGAGAGCAGAGATCCACTCATGCTCATCAGCAGCCAATGGTAAAGCCGGAACAACACCGTGAGAATCAATCCGATGTTTGAGGCTGTATAAAGTGGCTAAAACCATGGCTCTGCACAGATGAGAAGGGTATTCTTTGGCCGACGCAGTCTTATATGATCCGTCGCCATGCTTTCCAGCAAGAGCATAGCACGGTCGTACAAGAGTCGAATCAGTGTTTTGCTCGAGAATTTTTCAACCAAGGCAGGGGGCCCCATGTTGACAGCACGAAGCGTGGTGGGTTTGATCCCACGACTTCCATATTTCCACTGCTCGATCTTGTGTTGCTTGGCCTCATGCAACGCCATAACCCAATCGGAATGGCAGTTCAGCCTCCAGACAGAAACTTTGTTGCTGTCTGAATTTTCAGTTGGATGCTCCATGAGTGAGCATGCCCCTGCCAAAACTAAAGAAACTTCAGCGATTAGGGAATGGAAAAGGAGCCTAGTGCCAATCAAAACCTGAAACATCTCACGGCAACTACGGTCAGCCAGCAACCACGGGAACTCAGAAGAGCGCAGTGGTCTGGGATGTCGTTGATCAGGGAGATCTATATGCCGAGCAGCGCTAAAAGTCTCACAGGGTGGTCCGGTTAAGCCTGCTGCAAAGAAGCGCTTTTTGATGATGCGCAACATGCGATCATAGACTGGCCCACGATCTAAATTGCCGTGAACGGGATGGATGGCCGTGTCGACGGACAGGATGCGTACAATGAACCCAGGCAGCACTCCAGAGCAGCACTCAGTCCAGAAGTGGCAATCACCTCTGCGTCGTCGGCCGCTGAAAAGGTGCAAGATCCAGAGCACGGGTGTACCGTCTTCATATGAGACAGGGACACGGTTACAAGCTGGCTTTGAAGAAACTGGTGTCCTAAAATGTTCAAACCCAACCTTCTGAAACAAAATAGGATCAACCAATGGTTCAAGTTTTTCCTTGCCTCCAGCCTCTGCTTCAGCACTGAGAACAGGCTCACCAACAAAAGCTGTGTTCATACGATGTTGCCAGTCCAAGAGCCTACCAATTGGAAGTTCATCAAAGAGGTTGTGGATCGCTTGTTTCAGCCGTTGAAAAACGCTGGGCAAAAGATGATCGAAACGCCGAAAAATGAGCTGCTGGTGCGTCCACTGCCAGGCTGCCCAAATGCGAGCATCGTCATCCGCAAGGAATTCGCAAAGCTGAAAAACAATCCGGTCAGGGTCAACACTCCCAGCAGGATGCCAATCCTGGACGATGGCATCGGCTGCTTGGAAAACCTCGTTCACAACATCATCGTCAATCTGGGAAGGCAAACCTTCAGCCTCCCATGCAGTCTGTAGTTGGCAAAGCGCGGCTTCTCGCGAAGGACAACCCTTCACAGCAACCGTTGCAACTGGTGAGGAAGGAAGGCGTGTAAATCCTCTGAGGTCTTCTGGAATTTCAATGGCAAGAGCTTCATTCAATGGAGCATACTGCCATGTAAGCTGTTCGTAACATCCATTGCGATGTGACCGCGAAAGTCGCAGATGTTGTTGCAAGCGAGCGGAGGACCAGAAGCAACGTTGACATGCGAGGCAAGTGTCAGAATAAACAAACCGTCTTTCGTCAGAGATGATTTGATGAGCAATCCACTGATGTACTCTCAATTTCTGAACATTGTCAAATGACTTGGAACACCAGTCGCAATGCAACTCAACTGATCCAACAACTTGTTCGCTATGAGCGGCTTTGCCAAAAAGGACGCCTCCTTCACTCAAAGTGCTCTGCAAACGGTGATGCAAGGAATGGGCTTCCCCAACCACATGCAACTGAAAAACAGAGCGTTTGAAAAGACGACGGACACGTCCAGGCCCACGTTCAGAGTTCTGCTGCAACCATGTGGCAATTTGCTCGACTGTGCAAGTGTTGGGATTCCAGGGAAAAAATTCTGCATCGACACTGTGCAACCAGTCAAAGGCTCGGCGCAAAGCAACAAACCAGCCCTGAGAGTGAGTGGCATTCGCAGTGAAAAAATCCACCAGCAATTGGGGTCCATCCTGAATGCAATGAAATGCATACAAAAGCCGGGCTTTGGCCAAGCGCAAGGCTAAAGGAGGAAGCTTCCAATGGCATTGGAGCTCAAAATCTGTCTGTTGATTGTCGGTCCAGAAGCCGTTATTGATAATGGATCGTTGCCAGTTCATAATGACTGCATGAATCTGATTGAACAATCTGGTTGATAAAAGTCCCCAGTTTCCTGCTCCATGCAAAATAATGGGAATGATGAGAGATTCAAACAGTTTCAAACGAGCTTCAATGGGAACATTGCGGTTCCTGAGAATACTCTTGGCAACTTGTCGGTGTGCTTGGATAGCTCTGGATCGTCTGTGGGTGATCTCATGCTTAAGGGATCCGTCAGCTGAAAATTGTGTCCCAAGATGTTCGTAGATTGCAACACATTTCAGCGGTGCATCCCTGGAAGGCAGAGTGATGTGTCCCAATCGCTCCACAAACAATGCATGTCGAAGCTCTGAAGCGCCTTCACCACGAAAATCCACAACGACTTCTGTTTTTTGCCGCTTGAAGTTCAAGGTCATGCCAGCAGCTAAAAACGCATCAACAGCCGCTAGAGTAACTTGTTGAATAGTAGGTTCAAGAAGGCGGCCTTCTGTGACAACAATGGGTACGGCAACGTCGTCAACCCAGGTCACCGGTGGGGCAGGAAGCCCAAGGTGACAGAGGCCTTTCTGCAAGGCAGGGATATTTTGAAGGAGTTCTTGAAATTTGGTGAGGACCTTCACCATCATCGCGTTGAACGCAATGTCTGCGAGAGGACTGCCCGGCCGACTTCCTCGTGAAGTTTCAAATGATGAAGTGGCCCCAGGGATGCAAAACCAAGTCGAATGATGGGCATCCTTGATCAACCGCTGTTCATGAACAGGAACCTGCTGCAAGAAAGCTTGAGAGGCCTTGGAGATTTCTTGTTGCAGTTGGGAGGGATCACACCCAGCATCTTCAAGAAGGCGAAGAAGGTGGTCAGGTAAGTCAACGTCATCACCAAAGAGCAACTGACGAATCATGCTGTGAAAAG